AAACGAAACTGCTCCGCCTGCAATGCACCGATCAGACAATAATTTGCTACCTGCTAAATGACATTCTTGAAGTCGACGATCGGAGAAAGATGTCCGCGGGTAGCAAAATTGTACGCAGAAAGAGAACGAAAAAAAAAAGCGCCCACCATAATATCGTATACAGTAAAACCAATGCGCATTCTTCGCTGTACGTTTAGAATCTAAAACGATATTTTCATTTCTAGTGTATTTATATAATTTCTACATAGTCTTACGCCGAAAAATCTAAATAAATAATATTTACGATTCTGTATAGATATAACAATACATAAAAGTACTTGTATAAATTATTATTCGAACGTTACATCCACAGGCACGTAGCCAAGATTTTTTTTTTTTTTACTGCGGTCGGGAGAAAATGTTTTGCGGCCTTTTTAGCGCGCTATAAACCGCGCATGGCTTGTTTTTTTTTTTTTTTTTTGTCGTCAAAACACGTTATTTTAGGGTCGCAGTATTTTATAATTGAAAAATATCGGCCCCCTCTCTCCACCATGCCATGCAGCGTATCATACGGTAATAATAATATACCGATGTGCGCGTAAGAAAAATATATTAGATTTTAGTATTTTTGTTATCAAAACGCATTTGTTATAAATAATAAAAAACATAAAGAAAAGAAAAGACGCGCTATAATTCGAAACTCGGAAATCAAGTGTTTTTTTTTTTTTAACGTAACAATGCAATTCTGCCGCCTCAAGGTATAGTTGCTGATCTGTCAAACAGCGGTCCGAGTGAATTCCGTCTTTACTTTTATGTCGAAATTATTATTATTTTTTTTTTTTTTAAATACCTATAATGTTCGTCTATATATATTATTATAATTGTGTTATTTCGAAGCGGCGCCTTTTTATTCAACATCAAATAATATTATCGCTATATAGTGGAAAACATAAAAAAAAAAAAAAACATTTACCGCGCGCAAAACAATTATTGTTATAAAAACTGAACAACTAAAAAAAAAAAAACGCATTGCACAATATTGTACTCTAATATTCGTCAGTGACTGGAGCGTATAGTAATGCGAATATTACGCAACGCGAATTCTATGTAAATCTGTGTTTTACATCTTTTACAGAAGCTACTAAAAACAAAAAACGAAATAATCCCGGTGTTTATGTGAAAAACTATCCGTAAATTACCGGCGGTTATCGTAAACTCGTCCGAATATTAGCGGCGGCGTTCTATTCGGTAATTATTCGTAAACGTTTAGTGTAATACATTTGAAATTTTATACTGTTATCATTGAAGTTCAACTACAACCGATCGTTTACCGGGAAATTTTTAAGCGTACCGAATACTTCCGTTTTGTTTTGTTGTTGCAAAAAATTTAGTTTCACGTCGGACGTGGAAATATAGCCACTGGCAATATTTTATTTGGTTTCTGATTGTGATCATGTTATTTGAGCATAATGTGTAAACAATAGTCTTGGTTCTGCCAACATTTTATTTTCAAACGACTGCATAAAACGTAACATTATACATTTGTAATTATTGCTTTTGAAAATTTTTCAAGTGCAGGTATCGAGGATTATGGGATTAATATATTATTATCCTATTATAGGATTATAGGTAAAGTTTAGATTTAATCATTTCGTATGGACGTTTTATACTTGCAGTAATTCAATGTTATTAGGACTATCCAGATAAAATCACCCGAAAGATAATCTAGATGATAACACATTCAATTTTATCTTTAAACATATAAAATTAAAATATCTTATCTGTATTTATCGGATTTTTTTTTTTTGTTAATTATAGCAGGTATACATACAATACGAGTATTATGATAGATACTATACGAATTGTATTATATTATCATCTATCTATTCAAAAGTTTATTTTTTTTTATCACACTGTAATCTAGGTAGTTCATAAATCATTTCGGTATTCAAAAAAAAAACAAAAAACGCAGTAGACTTTCAATACCTATTTGCAGCCGAGTCTATATATATATATATACATAGGTACTACGGTTTCGAATATTTAATAATGTGATGTTTTAAATCTGAATTCAGATCTTAAAACGAATATTTTTACGATATATTACATATTTTATTATCTGTTTATATTATCCGCAGGTAATCTGCAAATTATCCATTATCATTTATCCAGATAAAAGTATTGCAGGTTATCTTGGCCGACGTAGGAAAATTCATATGCGCATAATATGTTCAATGGATTTAATTTAATAATTAATTTAAGTTTTCAACGCTGAATAATTTATAATATTTTGTTTGTGTTTGGCCCGACCAATGGGAGCCTCCTCAGTATGAGTACGCATATATTATACTAAAAACCAGTGCGTTTTAGATTCTGAGCATAGTGAGAAATATACTGATTCAATTATGATGTACACGTTAATTTAGATTCTGAGCGCAGCGAATGATATATTGATTTTACTATGATGAGCCATAAAAAGAAAAATATACACATACATTCATTGTTGCGTGTGTGTGGGCCGAAAACAAAATGTCTATACCAGAAATCTTGTTTCAATCGAATAATTACAATATATTTTTTTTGTTAGATTTTGGATTCAGTCAATGCCAAGGGTGATTTTTTTTCGGATTTTCCGTGTAGTTTTCTTAATAATTGAAAAAAAAAACATGGAAAGTCTACGAAATTAGTAACGGTTTCATTTATATTTCGATTTTGTTTTTTTTTTTTGTTTTAATTTGAATAAAAATAATGGCGGAAACTTAAAATTTTCACCGATTTTCGAGACGTAGTGAAATTTTCAAAACAAACCTTTGTGCTATTTTTATAGACATTTGACATTTTCGAGTGTGGTTTTATGTGGATAGAACTGTTTCGAGGAACAGAAATCCTTGAAAATTCAACACCAGGTTCATTATAACAGTTTAACTGAGTGATGTAAACGAATTTTTTTTCGAGGCCGTTTTAAAATCAAATTTTGACGGATACCGTAAAAATTATGGTAAACGTGCTTCGGTCAGAATCGTTTTTCGTCAGCAACGGTCTATCGTTGCATACGGATATAATTTAAATATCTTTGTGTATCCTTATTACTTGCCAAATTTTTCGATAACATTTTTTTTTTTTTTTGTGCGTCCAAATAATTTCCATCATATTAAATCTCACTCCAACCTAAAACTTTATGTAGAAACTTTCTTATACAGTATTTTCGGTTTTATTGGTGCGTGGTCGTTTTTGGGTTTTTCTCGGAGTTGGCAACGCGGGAAAAAATACGAATATTATAATATCTCGCTCAGAATCGTTTTTCATTGGTAAACGGCGTACCGTCTGGCGCGCGCGGTCACGAATCGAATATATTTTCCACAACGTCCATCCAATTGCAGGCGTTTTACGAAACGTAGGCACGCCCAACCGGCGTGTACCGGAGATTTTTTTTTCGTTTCTCTCTTTTCCACGGCGTTTTGTTTTTTTTTTCAATGGAATGGAGGTGGGCAAAGCAACCGTTAGATATTAGATCAGACGATTTAGAACACGGACGTAGTATAAATGTTAACTGTACAACCAATTATCAGATTTTTACTTTTCCGAACAAATTCGGCATAAACACGATAAGATTAACCCCTGTAACCTGTTTTACGGCCGGGAAATGATCCACGAAAATATGTATTATCCCCTGAAAACGTATGGCATGACATCACTACGATACGCGCAACGGGCCGATTATGAGTCGTTTTGTTGACAATGAAATAACAAAACTATTGTGTTTAATCAACAACAGTATTTAAACGAACATCAAAAAACAGAAGAAAAAAAAAAAAAGATCATCGTTGACCGAAATTTCGTGATCTGTTCGCCGCGCGCGCTTAAAGATCTGCCTTTGCACACGCGGCCCCCCCCCCTCCGGAAATGTACGATACCTCCCTACCGCCCCCGGGGGATAAAAGTTGTGCGAAACAAACATCGGCCACAGATACCGCTGTTTTTTTTTTTTTATCGCGGACGACGATATTATAACCGTCGCGAAACGTTAACAGTGGAGAGTAATACGTGGCGCGACAATTTTTTTCGCGGGTAGGGATAGGGGGCGCCGTCGGAGTTCGGGGCGTCCTGATTTTCGAAATCCGGCGCGTTGAGCGTAACGCGCGCGTTAAACGTCGACGGCGAAACGAACAAAAGAAATACGAAAAATCTCCTGTCGCGCGAACGACGACAAGACGAAAATAAAAAAAAAAAAAAAAGAAAAAAACAACTCTCTTATTATTATTATCCGCCGTCGTACGTATACGCGCGTACGTTTGCGAACGTCGTACGCGCGCGGCGGCGGCGGCGGCGTCGTCAGTGGCGGCCCCGTTGTACGTATGCGCGGCGGCGGCGCGTACAGGTTGAGTTGGAGAGTGGAAATAAAACGACTCGCCTACACTGTGCCGGCGCGTACCGCCGTTTCGCCGCGTCCCCACTCCTGCGCAGCTGTTCAGGCACGGCCGCCGGCGTTATCGCGGATGCGGCGAATCTATTTTTACACTCGCATTTACTCCGTGCGTCCCCGTTGCCGAAGACTCGTCTGCGCTCCCGCGTCCGCTCGGTCTCGCACGAATAACATAAAATAATTTTCGCTCTTTCCGTGTGTCCGTGCGACCGTCCGTGATGTGTGCGTGCGCGTGTGTCTGTTGCGTGTGGCTGCTGTGTTTGTCCGTTTTGTGTGTGGTAATTATTGTCCTTTTCTAATCGGGAGAACGCCGTTCGGTTTGTTTTTTTATTTTTCCTCCCCCCCCCCCCCCCGATTTCTTTCCACTCTTTCTTCTCCGCGATTTTTCCCCGTTGACCCGTCCGTAAAAATACCTGTATCGTAGGTGTTTTGCGGGCTATTTCACGTTTTACGATTTCGGCACGGAAAAAATTAAGAAAAAAAAAAACTAAAAAAAAAAACTAAAAAAAAAAAAACAACAACAACACCCGACGATAATAATATTTTGTGAAAGCGTCGATTAACGCGGGTCAAAATTTCACGAAAAGTCGCGTTCGAGATGACGAACCGGAAGCACAAGAAAGAACCGAATAAACCGCAGAAAGCGATCCTCATAATGAGAAAGGTACGTAAAAAAAAAAATAATAATAATAATAATAATAATAGTAATAATTATAATAATTACGGAAAATTCGGGTTGGTTTTTTTTTTTTTTTTGTTCGTTCTCGTCAGCGTAAATTATCATAGGCCACTACAACGCTGGTTGTAGTTCCGATTTTTCGGCGAATATATTTTTTATCGTTACATACACCGCGGCGCGCGAGCGTACGATTTAGACGTTCGGCCGCCTTGTTTTTTTTCGTCCTCCCGAACGCGGCGATTATGTTTTTAACAGAAAAATAATCGCGCGTCTTTTCCCTTTTTCCCGTTTCGTTTTCGTCCCGGTAAAATCGCCGTCGACGCCGCGTCCGCCGACGGCAATCGCGTCGCCGGCGTGTAATGCGATAGTCGCCGGGCACCTACGTCGACTCTACTACACGCCGGCGGACGACGGAAATCGCAATTGTCACTGTTACGTGGTCGCGCCTGAGTGTGCGCGCCGTCCGTGCACGGTCCGGTTTCGAAAAGAAGAAGAAAACGGAAAGAAAAAAAAATATTAACAAAACGACCGGAATTTAATATTCGGAACGGTTTAAAACCGCGGCACGGCCGCCGCGCGTCGTCGCGGTCTCGGCGCGGAAAACGCCGGCGGTCCTGGCTCCGTCGGCCGCGCGCGACATCGCCACACGATTTGGGCGCCGCGATTGCGGCAATGGCGTTTTACGTGGCGACGCGGCGTGCGCGGCTCGGTAGTCGGAATCCGTTCGGAATCACGCCGTCGCGACACGAAATCGCGTTGTTAATCGTTTCGGTACGCCGCGCGGCCTTTGTCTCGTTTTGCTCATTTCGCCGCGCCCCTCAACCCCGGCCGCCGTTAAATGGAGTCGGGAAATCCGTCCGCGCGTCTAATTGAAATACCGTTGTCGCGGCGGCGGGCGGGAAATTAATAAACAGAAAAAAAAAACTTACAATTTATTTGTAATATCAATTAAGTAATTCTCGGCGTGGCAACGGCAACAGTAATTACTGTTCCGCGCGGAAATCGCGTACGGACGCGTCTCCGGTATTTGTGTTTCTGTTAGGCGTTGCGGCGTCGAGTCGGCGGCGTTTCGCGCGCGTAAAAACCGCCAACGTTGAGTCGGGGTCGTCGTCGCCGTCGACGAACGGGTAACCGCGCGGCTCGTCCGTCCGATGGACGAAATGCCACCGAACGGCACCGCGTCGCGTCGCACCGCAATCGTGCGGACGCGAGTGCCGTTGGGGTATGGACGAACAGTCATTTATGTGTTTTGATTGTTTTTGATTGTGTTTTTGATTGCCGCGTACTCGCGGGTTCTCGTTTTACCGACGGGACGGCATTGCCGCGTGCGCGTGCCGCCGGCACAGCGATCCGCACCCGTTCCGACGGATATTGTCCCGGTGGCGCCGTAAACGCCGATACGCGATAAACTGCGCCTGGACGGCGGTTCGGACGGTTTCGATATCGCTCGGAAACGATTCGCGGTTTTATTCGCCGCGCGGTATTTATTGCGATCGTCGAAGAAAAAAAAAAAAAAAGAGAAAAAGGTAAAAATTAAAATTCTCGTCGATTATTACGATGGTAACAGAGTGAGACAGAGTGAGAGAGAGAGAGAGAGAGACCCGTGCGGCCGTTTATCGTCTCGGTCCGATCGGCGGCGAAATATTACGCGGTTTTACTTTTTACTTTTTTACGGAGATCGCGTACCGCTCAGAATCGCGGAGCGCGCGGAATAACGGCGGGAAGAGTACGTTTCCGGGAGCCGCGTGGGTTTCCGGGAGAAAAAAAAAACTATAAAAAATTATCCGTAACGAAAAAAAAAACACAAAACGAAAAACAACGAACACGGGTATAACTTTTTTGTACGGCGATTTTTTTTTTTTTCTGCTGGGGGGCAGGGGGAAACTCGCACGGAAATATTCCCGGTTTTGTCGTTGGCGTTTGCATTCCGAATACCCGGGGACGCGTCCCGAGTGTAAACCGTTCGTTACGATTTCGGCGGCGATTGCGATGAGATCAGAGGCGTCGTTTCGGCCCGGGTCCAGCGCGGACGCGCCGCGAACGAACAGCCGCCCGCTGCGGCGTGTACGGCGCGCCGTTTTCATCCGTCCGTTTTCTATTATCTGCAAAATTATTATTAAGAAGCGAGGCGATTTCTCGGGCCAGTTATACAGGTATCCGAAATTCTACCGCACGGATGTTCTCGTGGTTTATTTTTGTTTTTGTTTTTTTTTTTAACGCGAGTGTTCGGCGTTTATAGACGAGCCGTCTAATGGGAAAAGTTCGACTCGCCAAGTAGCCGCTCGCCGTGTGTGTTAGCACGCCATTCAATTGCGTACAGCTGTACGGAGGACCGCGGGGCGGGACCGACCGAAAAAAACGCCTCAACAAAGTACCTTAATACACTTTTGTTTGTCAAATAAAGACCCCCCCCCACCACCATTTTCAAACACGCATTCGAACGGAGAGTATTTTGATATGCGCGGCGCGAACGGCAGATTTACCGTGCATGGGTCATAACCGTTTAAAGTTTAGACCGGAGCAGTAGGTGAATGTTATAAATGCATCGTCGGAAAATAGATATTACGCTATTTATTATACTAACTTTCCCTATACACTCATCCGGTCTAAACTCTGAACGGTTGTAACGCACGCACGGCAAATCTGGTCTGGGTGTTGTACATGTCGAAAATTCTAGGCAAATATTCTCTCCTCGAATCTGTGTTTAAAATAGGGGGGGGGCCCGTTTGGAAAAAAAAGAGTACATACTTATTTGAAGTGGTGGGTGTATGGAGAGAGGGCGAACAATTAAAAATGGGGCCGGCAACTAAAGCTTAAACGATTCCACAAAGATTAAAACAATTTCAATAAAAGGAAACAAATTCACTTCAAATCTTCCAAGAAAATTGCTGGTTCATGACAAAAAAAAAAAAATCTCCCCGTATACTACGTCTATATATTTGATATATATTCGGTTTCGTCCCGAAGGATATTTTGTGCGGAATTGTTGATTATATCAACACTATATTATATTGATAAAAAAGAAAACGGTTTGCGAACGCAAACCAATCTTCTTCTCCTTCACCTTTACCCCTACTATTTGGGGTCGGCTACCCTCGTCTTAAACTTACATTTTACAAGATCTCGCATACACACCGACCGTCCTAATATCATTCTCAATCTCATCCAGCGACCTCTCTTTCGGTCTCCCCTCTTTCCTCATAAATTTATTTAATTACAATTTTTATTGCGTTAGGTTCTTCTCTCCTCGTGTCACGCCCAAACCATTACAGTCTATTTTATCTCATTTTGTCTATTATGGAAACCACGCCTAAGATACCTCTCATTCTTTTCTCGTCACACCACGTATATCCACCTGGCCAATCTCAATCTCATTTCTGCTACACTCATTCTCCGTTCTATTTTTCCGTCCACCGCCTAACACCCCGGACCATACAACATGGGCGTTCTCACCACACTTCTATCGCCTTTTTTTTTTTTATTTTCAAAATGTGTACATGTTGAAATCGTAATTCGCTTCAAAGTCTTCGCCGTCAAATAAAAATTCAAACGCAAACTTTTTATGCTCAGGAATGAAAATATAAATCTAAATCAAATGATTGCCTGCACCCGCAAAATAATAGCGCGGGATAAGCAAAATCGGTTTTGTCCCCGTATCAGTAACGACGGCGCACTTATAATGCGGGGGGCTGAAAACACTATTAAAAAAAAAAATCGGAGCTGCCAAATTATAGTCTGAGCCTGAATCCGTCGAAACGACGTCCCTGTGTAAAATGTCGACAACAATATTCCGATACGTCTCGATAAATACGTCGCGGCGTTGGAAATAATTCAATATAGTTGCAGTAGCAGTATAATAAACGTCGAATAATCGCGAATGAAAAGTCCGCGTGCGTGCACAGAGAAAGTGTTTATGATGAAATGATTTTTATTTGTGTTTATAGTGCGCGTTTAAAGTAGATACTTATATATGTTTTCAAACTGAAAAAAATGCGAATAAAACCGTACGGTTTTTTCGTCGTTTTGCAATTATTTTGATGGAAGAGAGAAAAAAGTTTTTTTTTTTTTTTTTTTTTACTTTTATTATTATCATATTTGAAAGGGGAAGAACTCGCGTACGTCTCGCCGGACGGGGCCGCGGAACAGCGGATTATTGACGTTGTTATAAAAATATTAAACGCGATTTCCGATGTTTAACGCAATCGGCAGTGAGAGAACGTTTTCGGAAAACCGGTGTTTCGGGCGGTTCTCGCCGATTCCCGGCACCGTATGCCCGTCGCGGGCACTCTCCCGGTTGAACATCCCGCGGGCGTGCTCTCGCTACAGCGTGCGAACTGTCCGCGGGTACGCTCGGGCGTTTGCTGTACGCCGCGAACACACGCCGACTGGTATTCGGACAGGACCGCCGTCGACCCAATGTCCGTGGTGCAGAGCACAATTGTCGGGGCCGTAAACGCGGCCGCGTTCAGAACCGACGCGGCGTGCCGACGTTATCCGGATTCCCGCGGGCCACAATCGCTGTGCTCCGACGCTGGCCCTGTCAACAATTTTGTTGAAAATTACAACCGTAGACCGTATTGCCCGTCGTGGTTCGCTGAATTTCGTCGCCATTCGACGTGTCGCGTTCATTTACGTTTACCGCGACCGTTGCGTTTTCTCGGGTATTCAACAACAACAACCAATAGTGACGGCGGCAACGCTCCCGCGGGCAGCTTCGTCTCGTGTGAACAACATTCCGCGGCAAGCGTAATTTTCCCCCGCGAAACCCGCCGATAATCGCCGGCGCTGCAGCGGGTTTACGGCGTCCGAACAGGACCGTCCGGACAACGGCTTATTAACGAACACGGTTCTGTCGCAAAAGCCTCAAATAACGGCAACCGTCGCGCGCAGGGCCGACCGCGCGTGTAACACGGCTAATATCGCTGCGAAAAGCGACGGCGCGTCCGGCGAAAAACGGCCGTGCATAACGGCCGGCTGTCACTACCGAGCGGTCGGTTCCGTTGTCGTTCGAAACGCTCGCCGTCTCGGAAAGTATTGACTCTGCGCGGAATCCGTTTCGCACAGACCCCGGGGTACAAGCAGCTCGCTGCAGCGTCACCGCGTTCGCACTGTTCATCGTCACTCTGATTTTCGGAGGCGGAACGGCTGTCCGCTTTTGATTGTCAAATAGCAACCTATATTAAAAATCCCACAGACAGATTGGAGTATATCAGTTAAGATAAACGTCGGTGTGCACGTTTTCGTTTCCCGTCAATCCGTCGGCACGGCGAGACGCTGCGCTTTCGAGTTTATGAGAGTAGTGGTCTTCGTTTGTGCGGCGGTTCAATAACGCACCACTACGCACACTCTCCCCCGGCCAGCGATATTAAAACGGTTGACGGAAATCAAAAAAAAATTTCAACACCAAAATGTATTTTCGCTAATAGCCCATTTATTTAAGGCGTTTTCGATTTTCGATTTTAAATCGAATGTGCACAGTCGTTTCACCCCCGACATATAATGGTGACAAAAAAAAAAAAAAAAAAAAATACGATAATGTTATTTATCTATTTAGCACTGTTCGTTCCGCAAGGTTTTCGTAAAAAGCGAAACACATTTCGAAATAATTCGCGTCAAACGGCATAAAAGACCACCATTACTATAGCCGGAAAACGGCTCCGAACGAAAACAACGCGGTCGTTCGCGTAATCGTGTTTCGCGCGCAATACAGACAATGACACAATGACGACGCGGGTAAGTTCTATTACAATGTGACGATGGTGACGTTACCGGGTTGGTATACCGCAATACAGGTACGAAAATGTTACCGGGTAGTAAGAACTTCCCGTTACACCGATAGCCCGGCGGCGGAGCGTGACAACGTCCGGGAGTAATACGTTCGTCCCGTCGCCGCAGCACCGGCACGCCGACAGCCTTTGATATTAACTCGTAGAGCGCCGACGTTTTTAACATTTTTTTTTTTTAAACAATAAAATATCGCGGAACGCGATTTATTAATATTCACGTTATATACGCGTTTATGGCGATATAATGCCGAGTTCGGATTCGAAGGCGAAAGCCTTTTTTTAATTGTAATTTTTCTACAGAAACGTGTTTCATTCAATATCGAAGATGATTGATGTATTTGTTTTTTCGCTTTTTTTTTGACTTATAAATACCTTTTTTGTTTATAAATGTCTCTTTTGTGTTTGATTTGTAAGTAACAAACGATGACGATTTAATAAGTAGCAATCTTAATCTAAATAGTTATTTATGTACATGAAATACGTCCCAATAACTTCATTGGACGTAGAAAGATCATTTTCTATGTGCAAAAATATTTTGAGCCCAAACAGTCAACGTTTTACTGAAAACAGTCTATTTAAGTATACGGTAGTGAATTTTTTATTTGATTACAAACTAGTTAAATCAAATGAAATCGATTGAACGTTTTTAGTACATTTTGTAATTTCTGTTTTACATATAAATTAAATGATTTTTTCTGCCATTTTTTTTCACATTTTAAATTATTTTTTTATTGGTTATATTTTCAAATCTTAACCTAGTAATATGCTACCCCCGTCAACATCGTTGTATAAAATTGTAATATTATTATAATACATACATAGTGACGTGTAACTTATATTCGCATGAATAATTGAATTATCGTTCGAAAGTTCGGAATTTGTTTCGAAATCGTTGGCATACGGGAAACGACTGTGGAGCATCGGCCGCCCGGCTATCTGTATTTTGATGTAATACAATTATTAGGTTTGTGTCGATGACAATTAATAATGTTGTAAATTAACTAGAATATACCTGTGGCAGCTGCAGAAACTCTGCTATAATTTATCGCCGTTTATATTAAAAAACGAACATCTCATTAATAAAATGAAATAAAAGGCTGACGGGGGTGTACTGTTTCACGGGGAAAGTCGAAAGGAAATACGCGTAAAGAGTGATTTATTTTGTGTCCGTACGCTAACTGTAGACTATTATTAACGAAAAACGATTCTGAGCAGACTGTCGGCTGTTAGTCGTATGTTCCTCTCGTTTTGCAATTTTAAGCCAAGAATCGAAAATAAATTGTTAACCATTCAATTTGTTAGGAATCAAAATTACTAGGAACATCAATAAATGTCCTCCTAAATACACCGGCTAGATCAAAAACGCTACAAGAATGATTTTATTATTATTTTTTTTTTTGAAGCAAGATTTTTGGCACAAAAGTTGTTTATATAGACACCTACATAAAAAAAAAAAAAGAAAAACTTCATAATAGTAAACCAGTGGCACTGAACCGATATATAGGTGTGGCAGCTGCCACACATTATTTAAGGGGTGGATATATCCTTAAGAATTGGTAGTTTAGTCTAAGACATTGTACATTTTACAATAAATATAAAGAATCGTAGACACAGGTAATATACTAAATATCGCGAACTAGTATATTCCTAGAATGCTGTAGAGCGTGTACTATGTGATTGCATTAGTAAAAGCAGCGAACTACAAGTTTAACTATAACTATTATCCATTACTATTAAATTAATAGTCTTACGGTAAACAACCAATAGTATCTAATCAATTTCTGAATCTACAACACCGATACAAGCTAAAAACGCATAATAAACAAATGTGAGTAAAAGAACTGACACTGAGTACTGGTGTGGCCACTGTTGTAGGTGATTGTAGGTAGTTGGAAAAGTACGATGTATAGTAATTTAATGTATACCTGTAGCCAACGATAAACGATTCTGAGAGGAGCTCGATTAAACATGATTCGAAAGGAATTTTCGTCAAAATATGATTTTAAAACTTTTAAAAAAAAAAAAAAAAAAATATTACATAACTCTCAATTTATTTTGAATCACTAAGTATGACTTATAATTGACTTCCTGTCAAATTTTTAAGCTTTTTTGTTTGGTCTAACAATTTTATCAAAAGAGTGCCTCTACTGAATAAATATTACATAAAAAAAACTCACAAAATTATAATGTTGATAAATAGCTCAAAAATGGCTCAAATATTTTGAAAATCTTACAACTTCTAAAAAAAGTAAATACAAGTTCTCTGTCTAAATTTTAAGTCTCTACGAATATTTTTAATTAAATCACAAGAAAAAAAACTAAATTAAAAATAATAAATACATTATTTTCGTAAATTTTCCCATTCTTTCTTCGTTTTTTTTTCGGTTTTGCTCAATTATTAAAAAAACTGCACGAAAACTCCAAACACAACTTTTTAATTCACTAATCAAATTAATAATTCAATAAAAAATTATCGTTTTTCTCTTGGAAGGATGTTTCTGGTAGAAAATATTGTGTAGGTATACAAATTTAAAACAATGAAATCGATAATTCCGTGGCCGTGGCGTGCGCTGTAAATATTTGCCGTTTTACCTATAATTTTCGTACGGATTTTTCCTAATTATTTTGAAAACCCCTAAGACAATAAAACATTGACGTCTAACTAGACAAATTTACCTTTCAGAAAAAGTGTTAACTCTGTACATCAGGGTAAGATTTCTAGTAGAAAGTTGTTCACAGACACAAAGAAAAAAAAAATTATTATCATACAAAACCATACATTATAGTAAAATCAATAGATCTCTCGCTATGCTCAAAATCTAACATAAACATCACTGTAAAATCATTAAATAAGTTTTTTTAATAAATAAGAAAAAAAAAAAATTTAAAACTGAACAAATATTTAAATATGTAGCGATAACGTGGATTTTATTTTTTCCGATTTCTGGGTGACCACGGTGCAAAAAAACACAATATGCTACTACAATTTTTCCGGCTCCGCTCAGAATTTTTTTTTTCGAATCCAATGATTTATTCCTGATTTCGGTATAATATTACAAATTATTCCATATCTTTTATATATATATATATATATATATATATATATATATGTGTACACAAATATAATATAATAATAATTTAACGCGTATACGTTTCAAACTTCCCACCAAAAACAGTGGACTGCTGGCGGCGCGAAGTATGTATGCGACCTTTTAGTATTATCGTTCAAAAACTGCCGTATTGATAATAATTTACTGTTCTTTCCTCCCATAACGCGTACGACTATGGTTGAAAATCAGCCGTGTCCTCCAAACTTGCCTGCAAATCTAATAACTTCACTTAGTTCGTATTGTAACATCCGATATTTTTAATCGTCGAGACGTGATAATTTCGATAAAAAAAAAAAAAAAACCAATAATAATTCTTCTATACGGTCGTACGATTATCGATAATATTATTCAAATACCCGCAGACGCCATAATAATTGAATATCCGTACACCTCTCTCGTTGGAGCATATCTATTTCAATTTCATCCTATTGGAATATTTGAACGACTCCCACCGCGCTACAGCCGCGGGTTCCTTATAACTATATTGAAATGTATACATTTTTTTTTTTTTTTGATTATCGAATTCGTGGCGAAAATTTCAAAACCAATATATTATAATCCTATATTTTGGGTAGGTATTATATGTATGTATACATATTAATTTTTTTCTTTGCCCGCGGTGTAGACCTACGACACATATACCTGATACCTGCTATATAGCTGCGTCGGTTTTATTGAAATTTATCGTAACCTTTTGCAATATTTATTATGATACATTATAATGTTTCGATAGCCGGCTAGTCATATGGTTCTTTTTTTGGGAAATTCGTTCTTTGTATATTATTGTCATAATAATATTATAACGTATACGGTTTTCGATCGAAGTTTAACTCGGGCCAATATTAAATATATATATATATACATATAATATGTACAATGTCACTTCGGTCAAAAAAAAAAAAAAAAAAAAAAGATACTATAAAAAAAGTTTTTTGATAAACGCCAAGCCGAAAAAATAAACGTATGTCGTTCGATCTAAGCTGCTCCGAAAATTCGCAGAGTTTTTCGTCTATATATACATAGGTACTCTACTGTTTTTGTCTCCCTTTTCATCTCTTTCGTGCTTACGATCCAAGTATAGCGAAATTCGTCGCATATTTTTTAATATATCGCCGATTGTCTTAACCTACAAATTGACATCAATGCTTCCGTCACTTGGATTGTCCTTGAACACTTCCAAATGCAGATCTATGTTATTTACCCGTGGCCGCTCGCCGATATATTTCTCTTGTTCCGTTAATGGCGCCAACCCGCTTCTTATCGACTGTAATGCAATGCAATCTTGGCTTTATTTTTCCTCTTTGTCCTAGTGCGCACATTGACAATATCACCTGTGAGGCGTTTAAGGTTTTAGGTTTTATTAAAAGAACAGCAAGTGAGTTCAAACACTCCCACTCTCTTAAATCACTTTTCTGTTCTTTTGTCAGGCCTATTGTTGAATACGGCTCAGTTGTTTGGGATCCTCAGACTGCGGATGCTTGCAAACAACTCGAGCGTGTCCAGCGCAGATTTCTTAATTCCGTAAAGTAAACTTTTAATATTAATCGTGTACCTCGTTACTACGCCTTCGTCCTCCGTTTTCTAAATCGCACAACCTTAGCCGATTGTCGTCACCATCTTAATAAATATTTTCTCCAAAAATTTCTCTCTGGCTCAATTGACTCTACTTCCCTCCCTGATCTTTTAAACTTTAAGGTACCGACTAGTAACACCCGGAATTATACATTTTTTATTACTCCACGTAGCCCTACCAAATATTTAAGAAACGAGCCTCTCACTAGGATGATGCGTATAGCCAATGAGGATTCGTCATTTTCCATTAGGTTAATTTTCGTAATTCTGTTTTTAAATTTTTGTTATACCCTATCTTATTTATATTTTTTAAGCTTGTCCTAGCTGCTTAGGTAACCCTACTGTAACTTAACCAATACCTTTTTCATTTTTTGTTCTTAATTTAATTGCACTCGTGTATCATAGTGAACTTGTTTGACATTTTTGAAAATCGGACTTCAGTCCGTTATCATAATAAACAAAATAAAATATATCGAATTGTCCAATATGAAAACCTAATTTAAAAAACAAGTTCGTATAAAATTATTATTACTAACTAATAAGTATGAGGAACCTCGGATAGAAAATCTTTTCTCGAGATTCTCGGTACCGCAAGAAAGTTATTGATTTTAGGTTTTCTTTCCCCGTTTTTTTTTTTTTCATTGGAATTTGTATAACAATATCATTTCGAGTAGGTAGGTAATTTGTAGAAAAAAAAAAATTCTTGTTGACTCCTCATAGAAAACGACAAAATAAAATACCATTAATAAAAGTTTAAAGGTAAAATACAGTATGTCGATATACTTTTATAAACTTAGACTATATTGGTTTACACTCCGAGGACTCAGTAATACCATCACAAAAACTATATTATGACGATATTTTGATGGAAATAAAAAAAAATAAGCGATCTATGAATAGTATAACGAATAAAAAGAAACGTATCGGCGACGAATCGACGAGATTCGAAAGATCGGAATACGCCCAGTTACCATAGAAATGTTTCCTGCATCGAAAATCCAAAAAATTTTTTTTGTACATTTTTGATATTTAGATTTGGTGTGTAGCGAGAGGATCTAATGGTTTTACTACGGTGCATGTTTTTTTTTTGTTTTTTCGGTCCGTAAACAACTTTCCGGAAAGAAAAATTACTCCAATAGTAAAATAACAAGAGACCTTTTTTGTTGAATTTATAATCTAATTTGAAAGTTCGAAAGTCGTGTTTTTAATTTCCATGCAGTTTTCTTAATAATGAGTATAACCAGAAAAAACTTAGAAAGGACGGGTAACTTTACGGATATATTATGGTTTCATTATTTTTCGATTTGGTTTTTCGTTATAATTCAAAAGTTTGTTAAAATTATTCTCGGGGATTTTAAATTTTGACAAATAATTTGTACTTGACTTCTATATAGGTGGTCAAATTTTCAAAATATTTTGGCGATTTTTAAGCTATTTATAAGTATTTAATGTTTGTTAATTTTTCTACGTATAGTTTTTATTTGGTAGATGTGCACTATGTGTACTTACGTGTTATAATTGTTTAACCAAACAAAAATTGTTGAAAATTTAATAGGAGTTCACTAAAAGTTGTACTTAATATTCGAAAAAAAAATAAATGTACAGCGTATAATATAATTTTCTTTTTTATAGTGGATTTAATATAAAATGTTGATAAAAACAGTAAATATATTACGGACCTTTAACCGGGTTTCGCTTGGAATCGTTTTTCGCTAGCAATGTTTTATCAAATATAAATTGCTTGCAAATATAAATTCAATAACGTTATGTATTCTGCCTGTCTATTTTGTTTTAAATTGTTTTAAATGTGTGCACCGGTTTTGATTAAAAACTGTTAACTCGACGTTTTAATAGCAGCGTTACAAATATATATTTGGTAAATAAAATTATGTAATGTAACAGATGTCGCTATCTATCGAAGCCAATCGGTGTTGCAAACGTTTTATATAGCATTTTGTTTTTGTTTCTCTTGTAGGTGCGCTTATTGCATTTTAACCATTTTCATCCGCAGCGTAAAATCTGTCATTTTACATTAATGTTTTTTTTTATTCGTTGTCGTAAAAATAACGAAACAAAATAATAATATATAAAATCAAAACCAACGGACATATTTCGCACGATGGGCGGGCCACTGTTGTAGGCGAGAAGTTTGGTGGAAGGCAGAGTGTAGTAAATATAATGCATATCTGTACGTAACGATTGATCATTGCTAACGAAAAACGATTCTGAGCGAAGTTCGGTTATACATGATTTAAAGGCCGGAATCATATTGTAGTAATTCAAAAATATGGCGGGAGGTGCCTAGTTATGTAAATTAGGTTCACACGTATAAGTTAACTATAAATTTGATTACCTTTCTTCTTCAGGCGGCAAATTGATCTGTTGAATTTGATATAGGTGACCGTAGTAAATAAAAAGATTTCAATATAATAACTGTTTCTATTTTATTAATTTTTTAAATATAAAATACTGTTCTAAGTTCCCGTGCTTTTGTAAGAATCTCTGCGTAGTCTTTTACACTCGCTTGTGATCATCTGTCCAAAAGCAACGGGAACAATACATACACTGTNGCGTGTGTAAATGTGTTATCTTAATTTGGTTAATACTAACAACTTAATCTAATAATTAATGGCTACAAATTATTATAATTATTTTACAATATTGATTATATAATTTATTTTAATTATATATGATAGCTTAAGTATTATCTCCTTACGATGAGTAAATATCGCACTAAAATATATGTTATTTGATAATAAAAAAGAATGGAATCGGATGTAAATGTTTTACTATCATTCCTGTTATTAATTGTTTGATTTATTAACATTACATAATATTTTATTTTACATAATGTATGATAGCTTAAATAGCATATCATTACAATATTTAAGATCTTAAAATCGTAAATTTCGTACATTTTCCCGTTCTTTCCATCAACTATGACAAAAACCCCTGAAGAAATCTAAAAAATCACCTCTTTAAAGTACCGCTCCTGTCAAATTTACTTTCAGAATAAGCGGTACACTTGAAAATCGGTGCAAAATTTCTGGTAGAAAAATTGTTCACTGAAAAAAAAAAAGAAAAAAAAGATCATTGTAAAACTGATACGTATACTCGCTCCGCTCGGAATCGAACAAAAACGTACAAATATTATTCGAACGACGTTTAATCCGCTCGGATATTCGTCGAACTTTCAAGTCCACAGCGTTTGTATTATTTAAAAGACCTTTGGCGTATCGTCTTCGACACGAAACGGTGCTATACGCAGTCGTACCCAGTAACTTACACAAAGCTAATAAGTGGGTATTCAGGGCGTTGAGATTGCATAATATACAGTAAAATATTCCATGAAATATGTATTAAAAAAAAAAAAAAAATGACTTGCGTATAATCTCAGCGGAATCGTAATAAATTATTCTGAAATGTTACGTTGTCCGTGATTTTGTCAACCTTATTTTCGGGGCGTGAAACGAATAATACAGGTGCACACTTAATTTTGATTTTCAAACGGCGACCCATACGGAAAATTCCATAAATAATAGTCGGAACACTATGTATAACAGTCTAAATTCGTTTCGACCCGTTGAACGAGATATTTCGCTTTTGAAGTTTGAGCGGCGGGAGAGTATAACAGTGCGGGGGCATCGTATTCTGAGTGGCGGCACGCGGTATCTCTGCTATTTTACTCGTATTATCTTCCTACCCGCGAACTCAAAAGCGACGTGTCACGTCAACGGGTTGACGGTGATCAATAGTTTAAACGCGTTTGAACCCTCCCGCGTGTTAATCGCATTTTCAACGTGCGTCTGTTGGTTGCAGTATGAAAATCGAAATTCGATTCGGGTCGTTACGCCTCTTTTTGAGCGTATCGCGAAATCATAGACGGCCCCCGTCGGATGCGGCGTACGCGGGAAAATATTGCGCTTGCACACGCCTAGTTTCCCGCAGCGCCCCGATGTATCAAAAAAAAAAAAACTGTATACGACGCGCGCACAACCGCCACGTTGTGTTATTATTTCATTTCGGACTTTGTTTATAATAAAAGTTTGTGGCGATATCCCGCGAGAAGACGGAAGGAAATTAATTCATTAGGCCGCGCGCGGGTTGCCGAACGGAAATTGTTTCCGAAAGAAAGTGCGGGGCACGCAGAGCCGACCCGACCCAATGCGGTACACGCGTGTACCGTACACTACATAGGTGGTAAAATCGCGTAATCCCGCGCACGAGATACAAAAGTTCCCTTTTGCGGCGAGCGCAGGCGTATTATAACGTATATGCGCATACACATCACCTTATACTTTGCGGATTTATTATCATAAATCAGGCGAGATAATACGATAAAAGTCGCGAACGAAATACACGAGTACACGGTTTAATATGCGACACGATATGATATGTATCGAGGGTCCATTCGAGCCGTTGCAAAGTCTGCGGATTAACTTTATGCATAATACTATGAAATTCGTTACGATAATGACGATTATTATAATATACGTCTAGAGCATAATAATTCACGAGTTTTTGATTTCCCGAACGCTCGGAGGGGGGGGGGTTGTCAAATATAATAACACGAACACGGTTTTTTCGAACCTTTGATAAAATATAATATGTACACATGTGTATTTTAGGTCGTCGCCGTCGTGCAGATCGCGCGCTCTAGCCGGACCGGGGATTTATTGGCAATTTTTTTATTATTTTTTTTTTATTTTTTTCCATAAATCAAACACGCGAATGTACGCGGAAAAAAAATATACAAGTGTTTTTTTTTTCTGTCTTTTATTAACTCATTTCGTTTTGGATTTCGCGTCTCGGTTTTCCATTTTATTTATTCCTCTCCGGCTCTCTTAATCCACCGAAAATTACTCGTGTTATCGATTTATTATACTTTTATACTTCCGCCGTGACATCGCTTCGCGGTGTGTTTTCTCATTTTTTTTTTTTTTTTTTTTTTTTTATTTTTACGGGCGGTCGTTTGTAAAAACGTAAACATTAGTTATTTTCTGGATACCTGCAATTTCCGAGTAGGTTTATATAGCTATACTATAATAATATTATCTGTTCACGTGATTTGAATTTTGTAGGAGTCGAACAAAAAAAAAAAAAAAATGTATACTCGTTTATACAGCGTGAAATAATTTACCTCTGAAACGATAATACGGCCGTTGTCGTGTACAGAAATTGTCCTGTAGGCAAACAATAATTTAATTTATACAATACGTGCGCTGATAGGAAATTTTTTTGCTAAAAACTTTTGAACGAATGTGTGTATAATCGAAAATTATAAGTTTTTTTTAAAACTTTTTATTTCTTATTCAAATCACGGTTACGCGCGTACGCGCGTACTTGAGTAGGCCGTATAGGATCAGAATGACTTCGCGTCATGTTTCGAAAACGGACGATTCAACATTGATGGTTTTTCTTATAACAAGTAATTCAAGCTAAGAAATCGAAAATTAAGATATCAGTCGTTCTCTATATTATTATTAGAACATCCGAGTTTTGATAACAGTCCAAGCGGGATACACGAGCTATGGACGCACATTTGGATTATATACGCGCGATTTTCGACACGGGTTAAATAACTTAGTGTTCGGAATCGTAACCCGCGCGGTCCAATTGCGGAGCTCATTGTAGATTTGACGCAATTGTTGCTGTCACACCCGTACACCTTCGACCCGGTTTTCGTGCGTTTTATTAAACGAAACGAATCGTTTTCGAGAGTCCCATAAAACGTTACAGTCGCCAAATCATTTTCCCCGTTTTTCGGAACACGATATGCGGCGTTTCGATTTTGTTTAGCAAACTCAGTCTTATCCGCGTGTTACACCAATAGGATGATACGCCCGACGATACGAAACGGTCGTTAATTTCTCGTACGTTTTTCTCGTCTTTTCGGTCATTTCGCACCGCTGTATTGTCAGTATCGCGCGCACCCACCGGCGCATTGTGAGTTGCCGCAATAATAATGTTTCATATTATTTATTGTCGTCCGCGCGACGTTATAATAATAACGCGTTTCCTCACCCCCGTCCTTTTTTTAAAAAACATTAACACCCGAGCGCGGTACTTTTTGCCCGCGACCCCGTTTATAATATTATTTTTATTTCCCCTCTACGTAATACCGTCACCGTTGCGCGCCCGTCTCCCCGTCGCCGGTCCGTCGAGTCGCGATATTTTCGATTCCGGCGTTTGCACTATTCCAATAATATCGGTTAAAAATTTTATTGTACCCACACGGCGGTACAAGTGTATACGAGATTACATAATAATAACGCACAGCCGTATAAGTGCCCCGAGACCGTTTGCAACGGTACAATAATAATAATAATTTCAGCAATAACACGTCGGTATAAATTATCGTTCGATAGTAATACGGATTCTATAAACGTGATCAAAGAACAAGTAAAAAAAAAAAAAAAAAAACCAATCAGTATCTCGAATCAAAAGAGCTCTGACACCATCGACGTGTGATTGCCGCTGAAATCGCGGACGATGGGAAGACGGGTAGGGTAGAATATGCACATCAGTATAGAGCTATTTTCTAATTTATATCCGTACGCTACGATAAATCGTCGATGACGAAAAAACAATTTCCGTACTTACGATCGTTTTTAAGCAAAATTCGAAAAAAAAAAAAATTAATAATAATAATAAAACGAAAACCATCGTTGCATACATTTTCCCGGTTTTCCCGAATTGTCGAAAACGAACGCAACAAAAATCAATGCACCTGTTAGACATTTTCTCTGCGAAAAGATCCTGCATTCGCTTACAGATCGGAGCAGACTTTCCGGTGGAAACAACAAATACAACTAATACATTTCTCGCTGCATTCAAAATCTAAAATACATAAAGCAAAAAAAAAAAATAACGATTTTATTGAAAAATTCACTTTTTTTTAGGGGGGGACAGAGAGGGAGAGAGTGATCAACATAACGTAAGACACTCGTTATCTCAGAGCTTGTTGGAAAATTCAAGAAACAAGAAGCTCTAATATGTTTGCAGTTGAATCACCGAGAACGGTTTGATTTTAAAATGACATCTTGTATTAAAAATTCCATACATCTATGAAAATTTAGCTTAAATATATTTTTAATATAATCGGCGACTCGTGATGAGATATTCCTCTTTTAAGTTTTTCATTTCGTGGTACAGAGAGAATAGCGCAGTGTAAAGCATTAATTCAAACTAAAACATCTTCTATGTGTGACATTTTTATTTGAAAATTGAAATTCGGGACCTACAACGGCGGTTTTATCCCTAAAAAAAAAGTCGACAAAAAAATAAGGGTAATATAACATTTTAGACCTACACCGGTTATAAAATCATCCATGAATAAATTTCGAAAAAACTTAACGCTTCCCGAGATGAACACGCGTCTATCACCCTGTATATTATACTATTGTAATGGCAGCATTTCCGAATAAAAAAAACAAGTTGTATTATATTGTCAATGAACAAAAAAATAAAAAATATTGTAAAATTAACTTATATAGGTTCAGTTTCGGAGAACTCGGGGGCGTGGCCCGGAGAAAAACATAATATTTTGACCACTTATTAACATTATTATGGTAAATACACGCGTGATACAATGATATATTATAGTATTATATTCTGTCACCGTGCACAGGGTGATTCTTTTAACGTGAATAACGTATTGTTATTAAAATAGTATTACGGTAAAACGATTATACGGTCATGATTTTCTAATATTCAAATCTCTATTAAAACTCCGTAAATGCATTCGAATTTCACATGTATTTGCAGTTGCGTAGATTGCCACGTGAAAATCAAAAACCAGTACTGATTTTGATGGTTTCGCCGTCAAACACATGAGGGCGAATAAAACATTAAGCGCGTTATAATTCGATGAATGCACTTAAAATTGTATGGGAAAGGAAAAAATTTCGACAAAAATCAATACGGACACGATAGATAGTGTGCGTTCCGCGTTAGAAGAATAGCGACCCTGTGTTACTATACTGTATACAATATTTATGCTGCAGCATTGGATACGACCCACGTTTTCGGATATTTTTTTTTCTTATTTAATTGGACTGTCAAAACAAAACAAGAGGAAAATCCAAAACAAAAGTTTGTTGCGCAGTCTTTTTTTTTTTTTTTTTGCAATTCGAACGGATAATATTTCACAATAGTATATAGAAAATATTTTTTTTTAAAAGAATGCCAAATGCACTCACCGTATTCTGAATAGCGAATAGTGTAATAATTTGGGATGTGCATTGAATGCACAACAACAAAAAAAAAAAAAAAACGTGTAAAAAAAAGCACTTAAAATTCAATACACAACTTATTGATAAATTGGTTTAGAAATCAAAAAAAATAAAAAAAAATATTATTCCCCATATATTCGAATTCAGTAAAATGTAATATGTTGAAAACAGACGATAATCAAACGTGTCTGGTTCAATATAGACAAATCATACTTGTCATACTTGTAGGTTTAACTCATACTTATAAAAAAACGCGTTTCATTTGTCTGAAACCTATGCCTGTCTATTATTTCGATTGAATTCGAATGACATTACCTATATTGAAAATTGCATAAATAGCTAGATGGAGTATTGAGTTGACATTATATTTTGGTGTCGAAATGTTTGATTTCCGTCGATCCGCCGACGAGATTTCCCGCATTTAGACTTGGGTCGGAGGAGAGCTGTATAGTGGTGCATTATTGAAACGTCGCGCTGCCACACGAACGACGCACCGCCACTCCTGCCCGCCCGTAACTTTAAAGCGAAATATCTCGCCAGCCAACGCATCGAAGGCCTAACATCATACCCGTAAATGACACAAATGTAAAATCGTCGAGCTGCTTGTTCCTTAAATGTTCTATAAAACAAATTTAATGCTTTCAACCCCTGTGTGTATTGGTATCTACCGGACCTCGAACTCTGTGGTGATAATATGTCAACAGCCAATAACGACAACACTCGTGTTTGTTCGACGCCAAGACTTTCATCATCACGCGGGGATGTCCAAAAGCAACTGCTATCGCCTGGATACTGGATGACTGGGCCACTCGCAGCCGGCGCCATCAAAAATCGATTGAAGGGTGATTAAACATTTTTACGTCGAATTCGCCGACTTCCGAAATTGGTTTTACGCATTATTCAATCTTTTTCGATAAATTATGTAATAGGTTATCGTTAGCATATTTATTATGTGTATATAATTTATAATCATAATAAAATACTAAAAAAAAAAAAGGAAAAAAAAGAAAAAAAAGAAAAGAAAACTGAATTAATTTCGTTATGTATTAAATATTAAATTATTATCGTTGAATAGTGTCAACTCAGTTATCTAAATTGCAAAGTTTCCAGTTTACACTGTACTATCTCCGGGGCCGCTCGGTGACGTGCGCGGGAGGAAGGATTAGGTTAGGAGGGGTTATTCTACTCTCGTCGTTGACGTAAAATACAACAAATATTATTCTTTATATAGTAATTTTATCTCGAAATTATAATATTTTAATCGTATTATAGGGAAAAAAACGGTTGATTTATTATGAATACGAATTAAAATTTTTTTTTGAATCCGGCTCGTTGGGTTAGGTACCTATAATAACAGAAGACGATTCTACGGTTCGTTCACGATACGCGATTGTTATTTACTACGGTCCCTTCAATTGAAAATTCCTGAACACGCCACTGGAGCCCCCTATAACTAACGTATAACATGCACTGCATTATGTTAAGGTATAACATTATGCGCGGTACAATGGCGTCATTTGGACCACGTCGCTACTACATCACTTGACGTGCCTACGTCCTCGGGTCTCGGTACATTATTATTACGTGTGCGGACGAACGAATCGCTCAAATGAACGAATAAAATGCTGAAAACGGTTATAGTCGTCGAGATCTTATCGTACAGCGTTGGTAGATCGTGCGTTAAGATAACAGACAACTTCGGATGCCCAGTTGCCTTGCGTTGTCTCCCAGTATACCCGGGCGATTTAGTACCGTTTTTTAATTTTTTTGTTTCAGTATTCCTGTGCGCGTGGGGATGGTCTTTTATAATCAATAGCCAATAACATAATAAGATCAGAGTAAAATAATTCGTGAAATTGAGTTCATTTTCGTGTATTTCATTAAATACTACGTTCGTTTGTCGATATACACCAACGCGCCATCGTGTAGCTTAAAAAAAAAAAAAAAAAAACAAAACACGATACATTCCTATCGCTACGCTACAATCTAAAAAGAAACAATAAATAAATAAAACAAAATTACGTGAAATTAATTGAAAGATTAATCGCGTTTTTTTGCGCGTGGCAGTGCTATTGCGTTCATAAAAAAATACACGCAACCCACTGCAGTATTTTTCATGATATATTTTTGTGTTTTTGCGATTCGTTTCGGATTCTTTGATACATTTTTTCGCATAATAATATAATATATACTTATTCCTGAAACGGCAGTCTCTTGTAAACATTTTCCTTTCAAGAATTTTTTTTATTTATTACTTTTCCTCCCGTCTTTAATTCGAATTTTCAAAGGCTTCTACGTCGTTACGCGTGGGTTTATTATTATGTACACGTGATCCGCAGCAGAGCAAATATAACGGGTTTTCGGTTCGAGTTTAAATTAATTCACCTTATTATGTGATCAAAAATCATATTTTAATGAAGAAATCTGTTACGGCGGAATTCGCTAGACGTTTTGTTCTTTTGATCTTTGGAGGGCAAACGACAAATATACATAATAGTATACAATATTATATTTTTTCAATGGAGCCGCACCGATAACGTAATCGCAGTGATATCAATATCAGTCGTTGAAGACATTATTTCAATAATGAATTACTCTTTTCTTTCCTATATTCTTTTATTTTATTTTATTTTTTTTATTTTCAATGTATAATTCCCAATTGTGTACGATTAAACGAGCAAATAGCGGTCGTTTTTTTTCTCTTTTGTTTTAATATTTAATCCTCCAATAGTAGACACGAATACTCTTTTTTTATTTGGTTTTTTTTTATTTTATTTTATTTATTCACGAAAAATGCAATGTGACGGGAGTTTTTTTTTTTGTAGAGTAGCTACTAACCGGTGTCTCTTTTCTTAGCGAGATAAAATATGAGTATAAATTTGATTTTTTTTTTCCGCAGCAAGCTTTATTTTCACGCGTCATTTTATACGCATACCGCGAGACAATTTTCATGACATTTCTGACACATATAATATAATATTATATAGTACAGTCAGATACGTCACAATGGTTGATACGATAACGGTGATCAAATTTCATAATAACGTTTCGAGTTTTCCGGTAGAATGTACAAAATAATAAAAAAATCAAATACCTGCGAATACGGGATGTCTTACGATTACATACACATTGTGTTATCTTCGGAAATAATAACGATATTCAAGTTCTGTTTTTTTTTTTTTCTATATACCTCAAGGTTAAGGACTATACCTATTTATATTTCAATTAACTGTTTGTGTTTTGGTAACAAAAAAACTTGGGAGAAGAACTTGGGATAGTAACTTTTTTTGTCCTACTAGATTTCTTAATAATCAAACGGGAATATTTACGAAAAGACCGTTTCTGTCACGATCCGTTTTTCTGCAGTCTAAAAATGAAAAATAAGTTACTACTACTCACTAATAGGTATTCTTATTGGCGGGTAGTGGGAAAGATGTGAATTAAATGATAAATTTATAGTTTGTATTATATTGTGTGTAAAGATAAATTTTTGCAAACGAAAAACGATTTTGAACGGAAAAATTCCTTGTTTTCGAGGTAACCAAAAAAACAAAAAAACGACCTGTAGGGAGGAGTTGAGTTGCTGAAAAAGTTGCGATAAACGTTTTTAACAAAGTATCACCCGGAGGATATTCCGCATCTTTTGCATTCTTTCTGCAAGATAAAATCCTAGAATTTATTGCATGTAACCGAATATTTAAAATAAAATAAAGACATTTTCTGGAAAAAAGTATTGGGAGATGCGTAAAACTATTGAAATAAAATACCAGTAGACAGATATTCTATATCTTTTGAGATAATGCGTGAAAAAAATCGGAGTATGCTAAAAAATTGTCATACCAACTTAAGTACAATATTCACGTAAATCACTTTACGGTAGGTATACCGAAATTAATCTAAACTGATTTTTAACGGAGTGCATTTATAATTTACTCCATTATATCATTACGCGTTGTCAACTTAGCTGCTGCTAGCCCATTAAAAACGTGTTAAAAATGTTATTGATAATTCAAAACTCAACACCATGTAGTCACCGCACGCCTATAATACCTAACTTTGTTATATCCCGACTTATAAAGCTCATCATTTCGGTACGCAATATTCGTCGACACGGTTATTATTTTCTGCGGTTTATAAACTCTTACGAAGGAAAATAAAAGTACATTACAATCCCCCTTGCGGCGACGTCGTAAAGAATTTTGTGGCACGTCGGTGTGTTGTGTAGAAAAACGATTTTACTACGTTTTCGTCAGTTTCACACCTCTAATACCGAATTACGAATAATATTGATACTACAGTAGGTATATTCACTTATAAAACAATAACAACATTGAAAATATATGACAAGAAAACGTTTCGCAGCGAACAATACATTTATTTTCGGTAAAAATCACGTTGTAACGTAATGATATCTTTTTTTTAAATGTTCATGATTTCCATATTTTCGTATAATATTGGTATTCCAATCGTTATAATAATATATCAAAATATTTAAGTGTAATAAATTACACATTTTCAGATTTTTATCTAACGGAGTAAAACATAATGTATTCTTGGATGCTTATTCAAAAGGGGCAGACCAATTCTGAGCCGACTCTGAGATTATTCTGTATAATCGTTTTCATTTGTATTATTTTTTTAAAAAAGTAAATTTGAGTTAATGGCGATAAATAGTGTACGATCCTTTTGGATTATCGAGCCCCAGATCCGATAAATTCTTAATCTGGTCCTGGTTTAGAGTAGTATAATGAATTTTGTTTTTTCTCATTTAAATGAGATTTAACCATAACCAAACAAAAATTTAAAAAATCAAAAAAGAACCTGGAGGAGAGAGGGGGATGGATTGCGTAGAAAATTTCGATAAATGTTATAATTAAAATACTACTGGCATAAAATTCGCATTTCGTTATGTACTGCATGAAAAAATTGGAGCATACGTCGTATAAAATACAGTGTTTTTAAAAAATACATAAAAATCAATTTTTTGGAAATAATGTCGAAAATTGTTTTAAATGAACATCTGTCGAACGAAAAATCCTACTGTGGTATTTTATTAAAAACCCAAAGCATTTTTAATGAACGAAAATATCTTTCCCGAGAAAAAAGAAACTCAACTTTGTAAAACTAATTGCTTTTTCGTTATACTTAAAATCTAATAAGGGGCCGTATTAATTCGTGTATTGACTTGGAACATTTCAATTGTATTTTTTTTCTTCTTATTCTTTTAAAGTTCACTGCGAATATTGTGGATCACGTTTATTACGATGCGGTTCAACTTCCAAGCACATCCGTTAGTGCAATAATTTATTATTAACCGATAATAAAAAAAAAAAAAAAGCGAAATACGCGTGACAATGATATCCAGTGGCGTACCCGGGAATTTAGCACTGTGGGTCAGCCGATTCATGAAAGGCCATCTTTGTAGGAAACTAAATATCTAATAAATCCAAAATCGATCAAATTCGCTCAAGATTTAAGTAAGATTTCATATTCTGATACTAACATAGGTAACTTATTTACATACAAAACATAAATACATTTTACAAACTTGCATAAAAACGATTAATATTAAGACTTTTAATAAATTGTTGGTTAACCGATGGATAATCCACATTATTTAAACAATCTAACTAATCAGTTTTACTTAAATCTGTATATGCTACTTGGTTACTATTATTGCGTATTATTATATGTAAGTATCGTCAAAACAATAAAATAATATAATATCTTGTATGTATACTACATGCACCAAAACTTGATAGTACTACGATTATTTAGTTTAAAATATTTCACCATCACTGATAATACTCAGTTATTGATATGAAGAGTATTTATTTTTAGATTTTTATGATAATAATATGAGATACCTTTTCTTTTTCAATATTTGTTTATAAATTTATGGTTTAGACCATTACGGGTTTTACGGGTATACCTAATAAGAAAATTCAAGGCTGGAATATACAACGAGTTAAAATACAGTTTTCAGCCGGACAGCCAAAATCGATAAACAGTGATTAATTTTGATTTCAAGAGCTTTACAGAACAAGACAGACTTAAAATACGTAATATTATTATTGGATACTTATTGAATAACCAAACCATTTTTCACACTGTTAATATGATTATTCCGAACCATTTTCAAAAGTAGACGTAAAATCAGACAAAAAACAGACGTGAGGATAATGGGGATAGGATGCAGTCACTGTTATAGATAATTTAATGCATACCTACAAGCAACGATGAATCATTGTTTACAAAAAAACGATTTTAAGCGGAGTTTTACATCTTTGTAATCATAAGTTTCTTCGCTCCGCTCAGAATCTAAAGACGAAGTTTGATAAAGATTTCTGTTTATATTTTCTTACAGCATCTGTTTAAATTACACACAATTTATTACAATTTATAATTCAATTTGTCAATTTGGCAAATTTCTGAAGTACCTACTTTGAGCAAACTATTTTATATTAATGTAATAATAATATTTTAACAAATGAAAGTCGAATCATTTGACTTTATATATTACTATAATATTTTTCTTAGACTTATACCTATCTTGTCTATAAAACTTTTAAATGTTAACAATGATCAACAACAAAATATACATTTTTTCTATTGACTATTATAAAGAATTTTGTATTGAAATTTAAATACATACCGAAAAGAATATAAGGTAATGTGAGCGAATTATCTTCTTCTGCACTGTTATATTATAAGCAGTAGATACTTATTGTGTCTTATTTGGTTTTAGGCAAAATAGTATAGTTTGATTGCCTTTAACAGCCTTTTCTTTTTCTTTAATTAGGCGTCTTACTCGATCGCACATTCTAATTTTTTTTCACTTGAGGTTCCTTTATAGAAACAAAAACAACGGAAGACCTGACACACTTCGATTACTAAAACGTATTATTTTTAACCTCTTGGTGCATATTGGCACATAATACAATATACCATGGATTAAATACGTGTATTTATATCACGGTCATAGATAGAACATAAAACTTATAAAGAACCGCCGTGATTTATATATAATATCTAAATTTCGTTAAAATATGATTTCTTTAATTGGACACACTTTATATAAATATAAAAATATGGTAATATAATGTCATAAACCCACAGATATATACCATATACTAGATTCCGGACTTTATATTTTACCGTATATATGGGTCTTTGAAGCCAAGTAGGTTGGGCAGTGTTAATAGTCAGTTATCAATATTATTATGATAACATAATTACAAATTTATAATATTTAAAATGGCGTGGCCTTCAAGCAAATTTCAAAACTAATATTCGGCCTTTTTTAAAATGTTTAGGAAGGACCGCTTGCATATTTATAATGGTTTGCACATATTTTTTATTTTATTATTTAAAAGTCAATAGTTATTTTTATTACTGCATGACGGAAGTTTACACTAAGAAGTGGTCAATTAGTTTTGCGGTACTAAATGACAAATAAATAGACAATATTGTAATTAATTTAAAAAAAAAAATGTATTTTAAGTGCTTATTTAGTGATAAATCACGAACTGTTGAATTTACTTACATAATATATTAATATGTACATACGAAATAAGACATCTGATTTTATGACATTATTTTTACAAATAAATATTTAACGATTAGAAAATAAAATCAGTTTATTAAGCTTATGCCTTTTACTAATAGTATTTATTGATGCAGTGTATTATTTACCAAACGATTTAAGTCTAAAATCTAAGTACCTATTTATTAAACCGGTAAGCATAACCATTTTGTGAGGTCTTTTCAAAATAATTGAATAGCAATCTAATTCATTAAAAATATGATCAAGACTTAATTAGCTGCTACATAGATATACAATTTTTCTTTTTAAATCAGTTAAATTATCTGTTAGTTTCAATAGAAATTTGTCTGTCTCAATTATAACTTTCAAACTGTTTTCAGATCTTATACCAAACCATCGTTATTTCTCAAATTTACAAACTTTCCATTATTTGATGAATAATAATTATGATCTAATGTTTGTTTTAAGAGGCTCGATTTACAAGAATTGCAATAATCTAGTTATTTCACAACTTTTGTTATTATGTAACTTAATATACATAAGTAATACAAAGTATTTTATTTTGCTGTTTGTAATGAAGATTTAAATTATTAACCAACTGTGACCTTTGAAATATGTCAGGATCATTTCAATAGGATTCATCATTTTGCGAATTTTTATTCCATTTGATATCAAAAATGTTATCACATAGCACCATCATTGAACGTATTGCAGTTTACAATATTTTTTTAATTTTAAAGCATTGTTTTATTCAAATTTGTTTTACAGCCGTTTTTAACATTTAAATGCATAGTATTAGGATTATTATTTGATCCATCCCTCTGTCTAATTTGACAAAATAAGAGCTCCAAATGATCTTGAGAAAATTTGGATGTAAGAAGATAGTTAAAGTTCAGAGATTCATTCGCAAATATTGACCTGGCGATACTGAAAAGAGACTTTACTGCAATTCCACGAATAAATGTTTTTTTACCAGTTGTGTGTAAAAGTTGGTCATCATACTTTAAACTGTATGAGTACTTGATTAATGGTATAATCTTATTTTCAAGGAAAACAATATTTTGTTTGGTAATTGGTGACTTGAAATTTTCGGAATATATATTCTTAGAGTTTAAAAAGTCAAATATCTGATCAATTGCACGGCAGTATTTTTCAGTCACACCTATATTTTCAAATGAAGAATCTTTTTGTCGTTTAAAAAACTGTAGTGCATCTGCAGTTGATAAAGACATAGTCTGGGCGGCATACGCGACTTTCATCATAATATTATGATTGTTTATATAGGAATCAAAGAGCTTATTTACAAATTTTAATTTTATATCCTGTCGTAAATTATGTAAATTTGATAAATGGCTCCGACGTATATAACTAAGATCTGATACAAATGTACTTTATACGAGCACATCATAATATCTTAAATTATCTATAAACTTTCAACAGTTCCAACTTTCAAACACAAACATAATATACTAGGTATATTTAAAAAAAATATGTAATTATGTGTTTTGATTTTCAACCAAAATAATATTTCAAATTATTATAATTCTGTTGGTTATCGCTAAGATTGATAACATCAGCTTGTAAACATTGCCCAATCTACATTATGACTGTTGGCTTCAAGTATGGGCACCGAGTCAGGTATCTAGTATATAGTATATATCTGTGCATAGACCTTCTCTATTTCGTTGTCACTAACGACATTCACAGAAATATCATAATTATAATTGCACACATTTATTAAAGGAAAAAAATGTAATTATGTTGTCGAAATAGGGGCCACATAGTAATGAGGAAAAATAAACTGTGGGTCAGTTGAATCTTCAAACCCCCTCCCCCCTGGGTCTGCCTCGTACAATAAAAATTCGTTTACGTATTATTTTAAACATATCAAATACTTCGAACAGTCGTGGCGCCGAATTGCCGAGAAGTTTAGTCGGGCAAAATACATTGCAAGGGGTTCCAATAATGACAATATATCCAAATACGACCCATTTTATTGAAAAAATTATGGTTAGAGTAAATTTTTATGAAGCCGCCCAACGCTTGATTTCTGGGCGAATCGCTAACCTTAACATAATATAGAGTTTGACTGTTCGACCCCACTGACTTCGAAAACTATATACGTCTATTATACGTATTGAAAATCATGAACAAATCGTTTTATTCTCGAAGCTATACACGTCTAATACCTACTCTATATAGGTATAATACGACGTGTGTCGTTGTATTTTTCGTTCTGTTCCATTTGTTCCGGTCACAAATCTATATCATTGCGCGCAATTCAACGGTCGATTTTCTTATTTATTTATTGATTTATTTTTTTCCCTTTTTTTTCTTAACCGACACCGACCGAATAATATTATGTGGTTCTGTTTATTCCGGGCCTGTGCAAACTCCGCTGCGGACGAGAAAACTACTGCACCTTAATCCCCGCGGGCTAAGCCCGCGCGCGATTGACCCGGGGGAGTTATAACCGTGTGCCAGACGCAGAAACCCACTCGAGACAATATGCACGGCTCAAGGCCCTTTTCGGATTGCTGCGGTTAATACCTACGCTCGATCCACTATACTGTCGAATGCTTATCATACCGCGGTTATACCTCTACAAATACGCCAATATCAAAACTGAATTTGATTAATTTTCTAATAAACGGTCCGTCCCCATCCGTATGCTGTTCGGCACAGACATATTATCGGTGGTTTAATTAATTAAAATAAAATATTAAAGAATAATATTGGTCGGTGCGTTATAATAATATTCTGGGGCCTGGGTCAAAAAGGGCCAAAGTCACTTTTTGGTGAATACAATTTGTATGGCCAATCGTATAGAATTTGATATGCTTTTTCTAGCGGTAAATGAGCGTAACTCGATAATCATTATTGTGCGATTTGAAAAGACCAATATTGTTAGAAAAATAAAATTACTGCCTATTGCACAATCATTCAAAGGTCCGAAAATGTGTTTTGTTCTTAATTTCTCGAAATCGATTGAAAGTGAGAATGGCCATTTTTGTTCCAAGCCTCAGAGCTATACACCTAGGGATAAATAATGTGTCGATGTTAATTTCCGACGAGGCAATAGTACGCAATAACACCGCCTTGAACATTTTAGCGTATTGCAGAGACCACATTATTTATAGTATAATAATAATTATTACAAGGCGGGTAACAGAAAAAAAACAACACGACCTCCGTTCGGATATAATTTCAAGATGTCGCGACGAGGATTTATGTCCTATATTCCGAGTACCACGAATGCACGGGCGACGGCGTTTTTAGATTCTCCATCCGTCCCCCTACCCCGATAACTGTTTGCGCGTAGTGAAGTGTAGCAGCATCGTTTTGTGAAAGCTAATTTTTCGCTAACATCGTCATTTTAGATTTTGAGCGTAGCGGTGAATATTGGGATATTGGTTTTACTATGGTGACCCCGATACAGTATTATTTTATGAGTAGGTGTACGCTCTTGCAGTAACTCCGAAAACAAAATAAAACTTATTTAATAGTTAATACAAGTTAAGAAAAGTTGTTATGACGTTTTAATGAATTATTTATTTGTCGAAGTACACTGCAGTATAATATTATATTGTGTCCAATAATGTATAAAGTATTTATGTCCACTTTGGTAAATAGCATTTTGAATTGTTTTAGAATTTAATTAAATCCGCTCGGTTCACGGTTTTCAAACTGTAAAACAGAGTTTATAATGAGCGACAAATAACGTGCGTTTTTCTTGTGGCGTTACATTTTCGTAACTAGTGACGCAGTGATGTTATAATAGAGTCTGCCATCTGTCACGGGCCAATCGAGCGGCGCTCAACTTTTTTTTTTATCTTTATAAATTCATTTATAAAATTGTTTACTCCGAACAGTCTAAACACGGGCGTTTTTATTTTTTTGAATTTTCCTTTAAGACATATTATATTATGGCTATGAGAACCGACCGCTGATTTTGAGTGATTGTGCTTAGGTAAATTGTCTAAAATTTAAGTAGGCATTATACTTTTAAGAGACTACAGACTATACGAGTGCGTAAAACCCGTGCGGTATATCTTGACCACCGGTGTCGTTTAAAATTTATATTATTATTATAACGTTTATGGAAAATTCTATAAATTGTGTATTACAATATTTAACATTTTACGCGACATTTTGTTCAGAATCGACTGTAAACTTGTAATGATAATATATGTATATAATTTTACTATTTATAGCAGGCACGTACACAACAACAAAAAAATACGGGGAGTTGGGGTTTAACTCCCCCCTCCATTATACGTGCCTTATCTATAGTTTTGGTTGGGAAATGTTTGGTACGCTATTACTATGTGTCTAAATAATGTTATTTTCACTTTAAACCCGTATAATAAATAATTTAAACTTTTTAAATTAAAGTCGTATGAAAAAAAATTATTTCAATGCATTACAATAATTAAAATATCTTTCCTTTAATAAGAAATAATTCTACTGTTTTTGATTTAAAATTAGAACTTAAAACATTTTAAAGTTTAATAGGTTACTTAATGTGTTCATTATTTTTACCATATATTACAAACATGTTGATTTCTCGACTTCTTGTGTACCTAATGTACAAAACATATAAATTGAGCAAAAAGTTTTGGGGGGTAATTTATGCAATTATTATTATTATTATTATTTTTTTGTTCAAAAATGTTTGTCGTAACATAAAAAAAATAATTTACATAATATTAAAAATGTTTACAATAAAATATCTACCTTTTTTAAGCGCAATGCTTTTGATGGTGGTAGAGAGTTACATTACATAATAAAATAATAATACATACTGAACAAAGAGCAATAATAAACAAAGAAAAAAATTAATTAAATATTACAATTAAAATGACTAGAATAGTGCAAAACAACAAAACAAAGTAATACAAGATAATTAAACAGTAACAATTAGTAAGTCATATCGCTAAGTTCCATTTAATATATTCACATATTATTACATTAAATTTAAATTATTAATCAAAATCACAATGAATTAATATCTTTATGTTAAAATCATAATTCCAAAATTCCCAATTGAAAAGAAAATTATTTTTTTTATATTTAATGGCATTGAATTGTAATGTTTTGCACCTAAATAAACTAAGCGTGTTTGACTAAAAGACATTTTTGTAATAGTTTATTTTGACGTCAAATGATCTTACTTCCTTTTTTTATTCTTAAATTTTCTATTTTCAAAAATGAATCATAATTTTTTATTGTATATACCCTTTTATACGCCCTTTTGTATACGATCTCTACTGGTAACACATCCAATAATTTAAAATTTAAACCGGATGACGCTTCCAAAGTTCTTTTACCTAAACAAATTCTAACCATTTTTCTTTGTAAAACTTTTAATAGTCTAACCGTGCATTCATTTAAACCCCCTCAGGCCAACAAACCATACTGAAATATTACCTGAAATAACGATAGTCATATGTATATGCGTATAGCATTGTTTTCACAAGGAAAACTGCTCTCAAATTATAAAAAGTAAACGATAATGTACGCAAACGCAAAACTATATTATTTGCATGTAAATGCCATTTCATGTTTTGATCAAAAATTACGCCCAAATATCTTTTACTGAAAATTTTGAATATTTTTTGACATATAGTGTCATTGAAATTATCTTTATTCACACAAAAACAGATTTTTAAATCAGCAGAAGACATGTATCGTATGCATATGTAATAATTCTCTATATTTGCTGATATAACCACCAGAAATGTTGCTACAATCAAAAATTGTACAGAAAATCTGTATTTTCGATCTAGTCCGGTGCAAAGATAAAGTCGTCTCTTTTAGTTTTACTTGCCAATTTTTCGAATAATTAGTTTTTTTCATTGCCTTGATAACAAATAAAAAAATCCGACAAATAATATCCTGCCCAGAATCGTTGTTCATGGGCTATGGTAGAAAATAAATTACTGAGTTCCATATATCCTCCCTTTCAACAACTTTCCTCAGTGGCACGCCCATGCGTAGTATTATACGTTTTTTTCTTTACACTTTTCTTAATAATTGGAAAACAACCGTAGGAGTTTACAGCAATGTGGATTTCATTAATTTTGTCTTTGTATTTCTTCTAGAAATCTCACATCGAATTTCAAATGTAGCATATTTTCTAAAAGTGAATTTCGTCTATTTGGTCCGTTGGAAGTTTCTAGCAACTATTATAAAGTTGTATACGTATATCTCTAAATTATTAAAAATTCGTATCCCGGCAAATAACTTTGTTACTTTAGAATTACTTTTTTTTTTTTTTTATCGTCTGAGTTATGTACTTTTATTTTACATAATTATATCCCAGCATAATAATACTAAACAAACATTATAATTAATTTTTGTATACACTTAAAACTAATATTGTTTTATAAGATGCATTATTAAGCTATATACATAATAATGTATATGCATATTTTTTAATTAAATTATACGATTATCCACTAAACAACATACTTTTACCCGAATACCTAAACTTATGACTCGACGAAGTTAAATTTTTTTTCCCGAGGAACTTGTATAACTTGATCTATATTAATATTATTATTGGGTCTCGGGTTTCGTAGAATTTGCAAATTATTATTGGATACAGATAAAAATACCAGTGAGCTGTACATTTTTTGTTTGTTACAGGCATTCCAAAGATAAAACTTTATTTTTGTATATTCGAAGAATTTTAAACTATTAGGACTTTTTTCCAAGTTTTGATGATATGCTTTGCATTGGGTATAATTTATTTTGTATTTTTCGTCAAATTTTTTATTTGATTTTTTTAATCCTAATAATTTTTTAACAGTTGCATTCAATCGACATATCAATTCAAGTTTATATTATTTTACTTCATTCATTAATTGAAAATTTTCACTAAAATCGTAAAAACTTTAAAAAACGTTTAAAATTTTAACAAAATTGTTAATGCAAAAAAGTTTGTTTTTTTTATTTGTTTATTTATTTGTGGCTTTGAATCCGGCTCACATACCAAATTCGTATTATCTCGAGGAACAAACTAAAAGGCGATCGAAAAAAATGCCATAATTTATAGCAGCGATAATAAATATTATATTAGCAGTTTGCATCAGACACGTTGACCGACATTAGACTGGAATTCCAATTAAGTGCAGGTGCCTTTGTTCGAAAATATTCAGTCTCCCGAAAAGAACGCGGTCGACGGTATAAAAACTCATTTCGGGGGAATACGACGCCCACCTTATTCCTTATATTACACTTCACCTTTACAGTGTACACGATGGTCTGGAGTGACGAATGACGATAATATGTTAACCTACAGCAGACGACCTACTCTAATTTTAATAATATAGAGGCCAGGACCTCGAATTTAATATACTAATAATCCCATTGGAAAAAACAGTTCTCCAAGCACTTGTTAGATTCATCAAAAAAGGTGGCTCAGAACGCGCATTTGTATACAATTTTTTTTTTTTTTTTTTATAAATGCTCTTTGAAAATTTAAAAATACAAATAGCTTTTAAGATTGCAAAACTCGTGTGGAAATGTATTTAAAATGAAAATGGATTTAAAAATCGAAATAAAAGTTTTAAAAATTAGTTTATTGTCATAACATAATGAGGTTCAAACTTAATATTAAAATATCCGTCTAACAGTAAGTTTCGTAAAAAAAAAAAAAAAAACTAACAAAATTAATTCGCTACAAGTTCACAGCGGCTATACACATTATATATTTAAGACGTTCCGTCGCGTCTGATTCGCGAACTTGACTTCTACTATGATTATAACTCTTTCCCTGTATCTTCTGCTATATTACCAGTATTTTCCGCAACACAAAATAATTGTAATCAAATTTAAGACGAAATTATATTTTCATTTAGCGATCCGTCCTAAAGAAAAATATGAAACAACAAACGGAGTACAATAAAAATTTTAGAATAATTCGAAGAAAGCGCATTTTAATGTTAATATAACTGTTGCAATTTGTAGGCAGGAAAATCCAAATGGATATTAACGATCCCGAAACTATACTAGGTTGTACTTTAGATTCTAAACGTACACAGCGTCTTCTCTAAAAAAACATATTTTGTCTAGTTGGTGCATTAGGGAAGGTAATTTTTAATTTTAACAATTGAGAATATCGGGACAAATTACTTAATAAACGGTTATCGTTGTTTCTTATTGTATTCTTTTGTTATAATGCAATTAAAAATAATCGTAAGACCTGAAATATCGACTGAATATTTATGTTAACCCTTTTTTAGATGTGATAAATTTTTCAAAATATTCTTATCTATTATTTTTAGCGATTGGAAATTTTCGCGTATTTTTTGATTTTGATTTTATTTTTATCTGGATAAAATTTTTTTAGACCCGTAAAAATATTTGAAATATATTTCATAACACGAGGTTCATTAAAAGTACTTAATTTGTATTATTTAGTACTTAAAAACAAAATAAAGTCGAACGTTAATTGGTAATTTTTAGATTCTGAGTGTAACAAAGAATGTATTGGTTTTACTAAGGTGTTTATTTTTTTTTTTTATTTTGTATACAAAAATTTTACCAGAAATCTTGAATTGAATACGGGCAACATCATTTCTGAAAGCGAACGTTGCACAGGTGGTACTTTTGTACTTTTGGGAAGTCATTTTTTGATTTTCCAAACGGTTTTCATAATGTTTGGGAAAAACCAGGACAAAACATAAAAAAAAAAACGGGGAAGTTTGCGAAAATAATGCTTTTATTATTTTTCAATTTTGTTATTTGTTGTAATTCAGTAAAAAATATTTGTAGAGACTTAAAATTTGGAAAAAAATATTTATTTTTTCCTTTTCTAGATGTAATAACATTTTCAAAAAATTTAAGTCATTTTTGAGCTATTTATAGACAATTTAATTTCGCGAGTTTTGTACGCAATATTTATTCAGTTAGTACTCTGTAGTAAAATTGTTAAACTTAAAATTAATGCTTGAAAATTTAATAGGAGGTTAATAGTCTTACTTTATGGTTAAGAAAAGAAAATTTGTATTTAATGTAGTATTTTTCTTTTTTTTTAAAGGAATTTTAATATCAAATTTTGACGAAAATTTTAGAGAAAAAATTATTTTTTGAACATATGTATATTGTCAGAATAGAGCGGACTAACTAAGTTTCGAAATTATAGCTTTTTGAAGTTTTAATATTGTACGGACTATTATATGTTCTCGAGTTCGAACCCGTGTTTCGAAAAAAATGTTCTTGCATTTTCTTTTCCCTTTTACCTAAATAAAGAAAAAATTAATGCATTTTGGGTGTACTTAGGGAACTAAACCATCGCTCGCTCGGATTATTTTAAATGCAAAATACCCCTCGACTTGTTGTGCAAACTTTTCTACCAAAAATCTTGCCCCGATGTATCAAGTGTAGCTTATTTTCTGAAAGGAAATTTTATTTTTATGGTAAATTTGAGAAGGTCGTTTTTCGATTTTCTCAAGAGTTTTCCCAACAAATGTGAAAAACCGGGAAAAACGTAGACAAAATCGGTACAATATTAAACAAATTATTAATAAAGAAAATATATATTTAATTATTTTACCATAATATGGCATATCTGTTTTTTACAAAGCATCACTATCGACTGAATTGCGCTTAGAAGCGTTTTTCGTTATGAATGGTTTATCATTGATTACAGATATACATGAAATTACGCATTACAGTGGCTGCACCTGACTTCATAATCCTGGGATGTCTTTTTTTATAATAGTTCAAAATTAAAATGTTAATGAAAATTGTAAAAATGACAGAACTTCAAAACACGTTTTGTACCATTGCGTACATATAATTTAAATTAAAACTCTATATACAATGTGCCACAAAGAAATAACCATTGTAATATCTCCGGAGACAATAAAGATAATCAAATTCTGGTTTTTTTTTTTTTTTTTTTTATATTACTCACTGGGATAAGGACTACAAATATTACAATTAATTTTTCATGTTTTTTATCAAAGCATAAAAAATTAATTACTATATACATATTAGTAGTGCTTATCCCAGTGAGTAATATTAAATACCAGAATTTGATTATTTTTATTATCTCTGGAGATATTACAATCTTCGTTCTGTATACACGACACACCCTCAAGTAGTATCACCTGATAATTTTGAAAACATCGTGTACAAAGATTTATTAACAATAAGCATATAATTTATTTATTATTATAAAGTTACTCGTTTACTGATAAAAATACTACAAGTATATCGATGTTGGTCGGTTACATCTAATCTCTGGCCGTATTTAAACAATTCCTCATCTCTCCCCCCCCCCCCACTCCAGAAATCTACATATGCGTGAAAAATACGTCATAACGACAGTAATAATTATGTTTTGAAGTGCAGTTATGTTCGACCACTCGTACAATATTTGTACGGGCATAGGCGTGTATAGATTTCAAAAACGCCCAAAATAGGTTATGCATCATTACGCGTTTTCGAATGACTGAATTTTGGCGGTCGTAGAAAATATTAACCCGGACATTAGTTTTCTACGTTATTTAGTCATACCCATAACCATATATTATGGTATACTGTAGACTTTCGTGGCGGGGAAGGGGGGGCAAGCAAATAAATTTTGTATTCGGTTCAAGAGGCCGGTTACGTTCGCTTCGTATCATTGTCGTCACATTAAATCCGCCACCGGTAAATATGACACTCGATAGTAAACGGTTATAGATAACCGACATTTTTTTCACTAAGAAATATTCGCAGTCCTCTTTTTTTTCTTTTTTTTTATTAACAAAAACGTTTTCATTTACGAATTTTTCCTATACGTTTTTACTACGTCAATAATTGTTTTACGCGCGTGAGTGAAATCAGAAAGCAATTTTATTATTAGCAAATACCATATGATTTATTATGCTCATTGATTCGTACCGTGTTTCATGTGTCGCCATGTACGCCGGTCTTCCCCACACTTTGATAATCTGTAACTTTATGGGTATTTTATGAACCAGAGACGAGTTGCGCGTATTTCACTGTTTATATAATATATCGTTAAAGCATATGAGTTATAACCAAAATAAAATAAAAATATTAAAACCGTTGACGAAAAACCCGAAAATTGCTTTGTAATAAAAGTCAATTGGCTTGATTTACTGTACGTCAATAAAATGAGATACTAAACCGTCGCTGAAACGCAATAAAAAAAAGGTAGGCGGAAAAAAAATAAAATAAAAACGTACGGACGTACGCGAGAGCGAAAACTAGCATTTCCCTACGCGTTTTTACACTCACTCCCTAGGACTCGGGGACGGATCGGCCAGCCCCGGGAGACGGGGATAATTCCCCGGTGCGTTTCGTCACGTTTAAACGACGCGACACTCGTCGAAATAAGTCGAAATGTAAACGCGTTTGCGGTATCGATTCTGTCGCCTGAGCCGTGCATTGTTATCACCGACGGAATGTAACGACACAAGTGATGATAACCCAGTGTTGTCGAACAAATTCACAGTATTTACCGACGGGCAGCGTAGAACGGCACAACCGTCGTGCCGCTTTATTTGTCTGTTAACTGTGTGGCGTTTTACCGCAGCGAAATAGCGCTGCTATTTCCCAATAGCGGTAGCAGGCTGCTACCGTTCAAATTTGAAAATAGTTCCTATTTTAGATTCGGAGCGTACAGCGAACAATTATGTAATTAATTATGTATTTTTTTTTTCAACTTTGAACAACTTTTCCAGCAGAAATCCTGTTCCGGGTTTTCAAATGTAGCATCTTTTCTGAAAGTAAATCTTATCTACTCGGTATTATATAAGAAGGTTGTTTTTTTTTTGATTTTCCGAGAGGTTTTCATAATAACTGGAAAAAAAACATCGGAAAAAACCAATGGAAAACGGGAAAATGCACGTACGTATCTATAAAAGAAGCTCCGCCCCGAACCGTTTTCCGTTATAAATGGTTTATCGTTAAGTACATACGTGAATTAAATTCCCCTCTACAATATACTACCTTTCCGACTTCTCACCTACAACAGTGGCCCACCCGTCGTGCGAACCGTGTCCGTCTTTTACGGGGCCGGCTCTAGACAAAATATGGACACAGGCAAAATCCAAGTTTACCGCCCTTTTGTTTTGTATATTTCTGTTTATTACCACTTGACCATAACGTATTACAATAATGTTCGCAAAAAATTAGCGTTGTTTGAACAATTTAAAATCGACTACACTTTGTTTGATTATTATTATACTTAATTCGATAAATAATATAATATCATGAATGAAATGGTATACGTACCCCCAACGCATCAGTTTTAGACAGCGGTGAACACTCGTTATTTACCGCGCGAAATTATGAAATCGAATAAATTTAATAATATGCTTTCAATGATTGAAAGCACAAAGCATTCTGAAAGCGTTGATAGTACCGATAACGGTTTTTGTAGAAAAACAAAAACACCAGTCAATAGGTACTGCGTGAATACACTACGCTCTAACGTAACAATCGGAATTATTCATCGCGTAATAATTTATGAACGTACTAATAATTAAAGCATAAATATGAAAAAAAAAAATAATAATAACAACTGTAATACGTGGGGGCGGCTGTACGTTTTCAGCCACTGTAATATTATCTGCGCAAATATCCGACGGGGCCGCGGGCCGCGAATGAGCGACGGACGGACGAAGAGCACACAGTGTTATTGAAACTAACGTTTTAAAATATTAATACAGATCCCCGGCTGCTACAATGATAATAAATGTTTTCGCATCAATGCGAAAACCAAACATTGTGATTTCACAATCCTGTTTTAGTAGATAAGGATCGGCCGTACTCGATGACGTTCGGATTTGTCCCGCAATGTACGCAGCACGTACAATCTTACGTTTGAAATTATAATAATTTTAGTTCGTAAAAATGTACGCCTACGCTGTTGATGTTTGCGTATAAATGCGTAATTAATATTGGGTTTGATTTCGGCGCCATTCGAACGTGTACAGTCGTGCGCATTGTACCGTTCCAGCCGAGGCTGAACTCGGTCACGGTCGCCAGATATCACGTTTAAAAAAAATACTAATTAAACAGTGTTAACCTTTGTTTTATTTATTCTTCCGAAAGGGTTTTTTCGGGTTCGGCGCCAGTCTATACAGCGACCAATACGTCATCCTAAGTACAGTCCCGCTCGCGCAAATAAAACGCCGCCCCTTACACAGTGCCGTCACGGACATAGGCTGGTGTTGTCTGGGACCGGACCCGTCCGGACCAAGTTTTTCTGAAACACCAACAGCCCGTTCGGACCGCGATTTTCCTCGTACAAGTTTAACTGAACGCTTGTTTACCGAGCCTTTGTATTACAGTAGTATTTATGTCTTGTCGTGTACAAGATACACAGATATCTATCGTGCAAAGATAATATATTTAGGTATCTATGTGTTTAGTACAACTGGAATTTCGTTTTGTTTTGTTTTGTTTTTTTTTTAATAACTAAATCCGATACACAGAAATCGTATGTAAACGTTGATAATTTACTTATTACTTAGTTTAACTGGACGTTTATTTAGCGAGCCGTTATAGAAATGTAAATGTTTATTGGTCCGAACGCGGTTCGCCCGTCGCCCGGTGCCTCCCGCCGGCCACGGTCTTTTGTATTATTATTGTTACAATTGTTTTCCGTATAATATCCAGCCGCATTGCTACACTGCTAAACTTCTACCTGACGTGTAAAATATTCGCTCGAGTGGACTTTTAACAGATCACGCGGTTGCCGTTAAATTGCGAAAAATCAAAAATGGCCCAAATTACTATCAACGATACGAGTCCTGATAGAGGAAAGACTAGACTTATTTATTTTAAAAAAAAATGTCCAGGACTTATTTTATTACTGTCATCGACGATGATCGTTATTGACGACACTAAGGAATCACGTAAAACACAGATTCGTGATACCAATGGCCAATGATTACAATAACGGTATAAGTGGAAAAGCGTTTTCGACCAACAATGTAACGAACGAAAAACAAACGCCGCTTGTGTTACGCGCGACCGCGTATTTTGTCACTTCAATATTTGAATACAATACACAAAAATACACACTCGAACGCGTATCACAACTGTTATTTATCGTCCGGGGGTTCGTTTTGAGCTCGTTTTCAACACGTTCGGGTTGCCGCGAAAGACGTTTTCTCGCGTTAAAATACGCAAAAAACACGTCTGCGGAACCGTCTGACTGATTGACGTTTGGAAACTGTTTGATGTTAACGCACACCGATGCAGTAGCGGAATATAACATTCAAACTCGTTTGATTTAATTTATTTTCCGTATTGTAAACTTTAAATAATTTTACGGGCTCGTTACAGAAAATACGCCACCGCGACAGAAATATAACGTGACAATCCGTGTTGATTCGTACGTGCGTTCGTGCACTCTATAGTGTTAGGTTTAAACTCGATTTGTTTATTGTGTTATATTCGTGGCAATAAATTACCTATGCGATATTGGCGTTAGAAAAAAAAAACAAAAAAAAAACGAATGGGCGTTTTTCGCGCCACGGGTGTGGCATCGTTGTGGGTGAGCAGTTGAGAAGGTAGGATATAGAGGGAAATTTAATTTATACAACGATGCATATTAACTGTACGTAAAGATAACGTAAGGTAACGAAAAACGACTCTGAGCGGAGCTCGGTCAGTATATATAGCATCGATTTTTCGAAAAACGCGCGTTTTCACGACCACGATTGTTTAGATAAGATTAAAACAGCACACACTTAATTACAACGAAAATACAATTCGCAAAAACGGTTGCCGATGACAGTTTTAATCTTAAACTAATCACTTTTAATGTTTTTTTAACCCGAAGAACCAGTATTTCCTCATTATCTCGAATATATTAACGAGAATTTCGAAAGAACTGCCGTTCTAAAGTACCGACTAGACGCCGAAACGTAACGAAAATGGTCTCTAATCGTGTTTCGATTGGTGCGAGACGTGTGTTGGAGAAAAATCGTTTCGAGACGAAAAAATGCACGTATCGCGGTAGTGAAAAACCTGATGGGCCGCTCGGGAGTCTAAAAACGTGTATTATACCAGTTTTCGAGTGCCCTCTACGAATCGCGTTTCCCTGTAACGTACTCGACGTTAAAATAATTCACCGTTTTCCCGGGCCCTTCGAAAAGCCCGGAGTTAAAATAGACCGCACACTGTTATCATACGATACAACCGCGAGCCAAAAACCGTGGCCCGACCGCGTTCACGACGTTAATCGCGCCGTTATTCATTTGTAACGTTTCCAAGCGACACAATATGTTTTACTATTATTATTATTATTTTAATTTTTCTCGACAATTTTTCGTGTAAAAACATAAGTGCATAAAATAATCACATAAAATTAAAATGTTTACAAATAAAACGGCCACCGTTTTCAACGACGGGAGCGGTGCTCTCGTGGTGGCCGTAATACAGAATGCGCATTATCACGCAATAACAATAAGAGAGACACGGTCGATTTCCGGATCGCGGAATCGCGTGTAAACGGGCGCGAGAAAACTAATAGCGTCCACAACGTTCACCGTGAACCCTTCTCGCGGCCGTTCGCCGTTTTATATTTGTACGCGCGCGTATAATCACTCCGTCGCGTTATTTAGACTGCCGGTCTGTTTGACCACCGCGAGTTAATTGGTTTTTTTTTTGGTGTTTTTTTTTCTCTCGTCACGCAAGCAATCCCGAGATTCCCGAACGAAGAGCGTACACGTCCCTCTGTGCGCGGTACGCCGCTCCGGGCGTACGTTCTCTTGTTGCGGGCGCGGCTATCGATAGATTTATCGCCGTTATTGTCGTTGTCGTTGTTGTTGTTGTTGTTGTTACCGGCGGCGGTATACGCATTATACCGCACTCGCGACAATTTCGGCGTCTCTCGCCGCCGACCCGTCCTCCGCCGTCCGCCGCCGAAATTCGATCTCCGGCGGCGCCTACGGCCGGCGGCGTCGCGCCGCCGCCGCCGCCGCGGAGAGCCGTGTCGGTCGGAGACACGAGGGGCCGTCGTGTGCAGTACGGCTAACGCGCGTTATTCGACCGGGTTTTCGGTCGTGCGCGTGTAACCGTAACAATAATAACGTTATGGGAGCGCTTTTGTTTTCACAAGACGTCGTTGGCCCGGGTATTACGAAACGGAAAGTCAAACACCCGGACGCCGACCGCCGGTACTCGGCGGCGGCGGCGGCGGCGGAGAGGGGGAGGGNGGGGGGGGGGGGGGGGGGGGGGGGGGGGGGGGTGTCGCGCGTGCAGAGGTTATGTGTGTGTGTGTGTGTGTGTGTGTGTATGCGTGTGCGTGCGTGGCGCGCCAGTGGCGGCTACCGGGGAAACGTTTATCTCGCCGCCGCCGTTGCGGCGTCGCGCGCGGTGACGTACCGCCGTGTGGGTCACCGTCGTCGCGTCGCGGTAAAAAGCTCTCCGTTGCGGCCAACGGTTCCGTTACGACGACACGCGCCTCCGCGTTTGCCCGTCAGATGGCGGTCGGCTCGACCCCGGGGAGCTCTACTGCGACCGCGACCACAATCGGCGCTGCAGTCACAACCGTCTTCTATTTCTGTTTTATTGATTTAATAGAATTTCGTTAATATATTATTTTTCAACGGCGGGCCCTCGCTCCCGCCCGACCGGGCCGCACCGCCTTTTGCGCATGCACGGCTCTATATGGCGACGGCGTCCCGCACGCATACGAGCCCCCCACCAACCCACCCCTCCCCCCGCGCCACTGACGATTATCCAGCTGTCCGTGCCGCCGGGTCGCTTGCAGCCACTGATCCTCTCCCGCCCGCCCCCCCTCCTTCCGGCTGTCTTGCCACTGCCGCCACCACCGCCACGGTTTTATCGCTATCGCTGAATCCCCTCTCCGCGACCCGTGTGCTGCTTTTACGACGGCTACCCCCCGCGAACCACCACCCCGGCCGCTTCCACCGCCGCCGCCGCCGCCGCCGTTACGCCTGCCGTCCGGACACTCGCGTACGTCTCCGACGCGTTCTACTGCAAACGCATATAAATTAATATCGTATGCGTATGACGTATGCGTACGATACATGCACGCGCGCTTTACGTCCGTCACTAATGTCGTTACTACTGTCTGTGTGTTGATAACGCATACAAAATTCACCGTTTACGTACGTTAACCCGGCCGACAACAGCAACACCAACAATAGGCTACCGCCGTCTCACGGATCGCGGTACTGCGCTATTGTTACACCCGCACCTCATTAGTATAGCGCATATCGCCCCGCGTCCTCCAGTTCGCTGTATGGTCTTTACAATTTACCCGTCGTCGTCGCCGTCGTCGTCGTCGCCGTCGTCGTCGCCGCCGTCGTCGCCGCCGTCGTCGCCGCCGTCGTCGCCGTCGCCGCCGCTGTCCTCGCCGTCATCATCGCTAGCCAACCGGTGTCTCGCCGAAAACGCGTACGGGCCGCTGCCGGAACGACGTTCGTGACGATCGTCGGCCGCATTGGCGTATGCGTTTCCTTTAGAAACGGGTACGGCAAGGAAGGGTCCCAGTCGCCGCTACGAGGTAAGTCTCTGTCGGTATGCGCTATCGCGAAAACGCGATAGCGCGGCCGGGGGAGGGGGGGAGGGAGGTGGTTGGGAGGTGTAGTTGTAATAGGGTGNAGGGTGGGGGGGGGGAGGGAGCGCGAGAGGTTGTGTCGACGTGACAGTGTCGGGGGGGGGGCCGTATACCTCATATATATATATATATGTATACACTATAACGATATGCGCATCGGATCTGAGGTTGTGTCAACCCCCTCCCGCCTCACCCCGCCCAGAGCCTGTAGGGCCGTGCTCGGGCCGGGGACTTATCTGTTCGTGGTGTCGACGTTTGGTCGCACGCGCGCGATCTTCGCAGGGTTAGGGCGTCGACACGGACGACGGGTCGCCGGTCGGGGGCGTGGGGGGGGGTGGGTGGCGGAGGGGTTCGGAGTGCTCGCGACGACGGGACGGATGACGCGCAGGGCCTCCGGACGTCCGATATCCGCGTTGCGCTACTGTTACCCACTGTATTGCCGGAGCGGCCGGGCCCACGGAGACGACGGTAAACAGAGGCCCGCGGACCACACGAGTGTCTTCGCGTTCGTGTGCCGCGAGAACAATCGCGCTTTTATCATGCTGTTACAGTGTTAACACGATACCGTTGTTGTTACCGCGCCGGTATACCTACTGCCCAATACACACGGGTTACCCGCGCGGTTACGGTACAATATTATCACTACGTAACGCAACGCATTAATGCGGTATAACGCGCGCGTACACTGCACCCACCCGTATCTCGGTAACTTATCGTATCGCAGTATCGCACGGTCATCGTGTGTGCGTAATAATATAATGACCGCCGGCACGCACGCCACCCGTGCGTCGTGTATTCACGACGTCGATACACGTCATTGCTGTCGACCGTCCATCCCGACGGACTTTATTTCCACCGACACCCCCACCACCCTCTCCAACCCCCCCTCCCCCCGCCCATCGGATTCGCCAACCGCGGCATCGGTTTTCGGCAACGCGAAAACGACGATACGGTTGTTTTTTTTTTTTTTATTCTTTGACGACACTGTTTTACCGATAATCTACACACCTACGTTTTCGGTCGGATTTGTATGAACGCGCTGAATAACTCGGCACGCCTAACCGCCAATTAAGATTTTATAATTATTAGAACTTACACGATTTTCGTTACAGTTCGATTTTAAAAAGCTTTTATAAAAAAAAATTTAAATACTGGTACTACATCTCGACATTTTATTTTTGACCACTAAGTATCTATAACTTATAATAAACCTTTTGTTGAATTTTCAAGAATTTTTTTTCATTTCAAACAATTTCATCCACATGAAACTAAAAAAAAAATATATAATACAATCTGTCAAATATCTGTAGTCATAAATAACTCCGAAATCGCCATAAAGTTTTGAAGAATTTACTATGCCTAGAACAGTGCAATATAAGTATCTGTGAAAATTGCACGTCTCAACGATTATTTCAAACCGAATTCCAATATTCGAAAATTATGAAATCATTATTATACTTTTATTTTCGTAAAATTTCCCGGTTTTTCTACGTTTTTTCTCGGGGTTTTCGAATTATTAGGAATATCAAACAACATCGAAATTACCTTTCAACTTATTGCTATATTTGAATTTCGGTGGAAGATGGAAAAGTTGTTGATGGACAGAAAAAATATAAATCACATATATCATGTAGTGAAACCAATACATACCTCGTTCCACACAGAATCTAAAGAACAATTTACCGGCGTATTTTTATCGCTAGAATTTCTACGTCGTCAAGTCGAAAGCAAACCGGGAGTATACCACCCACCCACACAACCCTCTTCCGCCAGACCGATTCTCGCGTACAAAGTGCAAAAGAGCAGATATTTCGGGAGGGGTACACCGCCCCTCGCAGGACGATACACGCGCGGATAAATCTCTCGACAAGTCTCCTGTCACCGACAACGTTCTTTCCGGAGAATTATTTTATCGTCGAGCAAGTTTCGTAGGCCACCTTACGTCCCTTACGTTCCTTTTTATACTGCAGGACTGCGTATTTTCGTGTTAATCTGACGAATCGGAGAGTACCTATATGTATAATTTTCAGCTATTTTGTATAATGACTAAAATATTTGGTTGTTTAAAAAATTATATTCATGTTAACAAATCACAGTATACAATTTGAACAGCTAATCATAGCTAATCAATAGGTTGTTCGTGTGTATAAACACTTTAACCGGTTATTATACATATTAACCAAACTATATTTGGTTGACATTAACATACTTCGCACGAGGGTGCAGCCACTGTTGAAGGTGGGAAGTTGGGAAGGTAGGATATAGAAGGGAATTTAATGTAAGCAACGATAAACCATTGATAACGAAAAATTGATTTTAAGCGGGGTTCAGATGACAGTGATGCTTTGTCAACAACACATATGTCATGGTATATATGTCATATATATGTATGGTAAAATAGTTAAATAGGCATTATATATTTTCTTTAATAATAGGTGATCCTGATTTTTCAATGTTTTTCCTAGTTTTTCACATTTTCTAAGAATATTTTTGGGAAAATGGAAAAATGACCTCCTTAAAGTACCTTCCTAGTCAGTTTTTCTATCAGAAAAAGTGCTACCATTGTAAATCTATGCAAAATTTCTGGTAGAAAAGTTGTCCACAGATAAGAAAAAAAAAACAACATCTATGTAAAACTATAAGCTTCTTCACTCCAGTCAGAATCTAAAATTAGTTATAAAATAAAACGAGTTAAGAAGAACAATGTCCGTAATGAATTATTTGTGTATAGTTATTATTTTAATAGTGCATTTGATAATTTGTTCAAACAAGATGAACAATCGTGACATTTCGAATTGAATGAAATGTACTTTTTCTTACAACTACACTTTGCTGAACCACGTTTTCCTTTGTATTTGCATCTTTTAAACTCCTGGCCGCCAGTAATGCTCGGTTTCATGGTACAATCATAAAGAGTCACAGTTAAATCAGGGACATCCTCTATGAATCTAATTAATCAATATAAAAACTGGATTTTCTTGGAATTAGTCTGTGTCAAATGTACTTCATTGACATTTCCCACTTGGCTCTTTGAAAACATTCTTTCAAACGTTTTATAAATAAACGTACATACCTTTGTGTGTGGCCACAACATTATATCGTCACGCGTCGCCGTCAATGATGAAAAAACAAACATTTTAATAATACCACAAAAATAATAGAAATTACGAGATAAAAAAAATATAAAATATGCTAGATTTACCATATTAACTAATGGTACTGACAATTATACATAATAGTTTGTTACAATGATATAAATTGTAGGAAAATATGACAAATTCATCACTTTCACCCCGAGTGACTGGTTATTAATTATTATGCATAATTACGAGTTGGTATAACAAATTTTGGGAAATCGTAAATAATTCATCATATTAACCAGTTATTATATACACTAACAAAATTTATTGAATTAACAGTAACATAATTTCAATTTATTCCCGGTCTTGCGCCGCGATGTGTTTCCCGCGGGGTGCTAGATATTTTAGATATTAAACAAATATTATTAAAGAAAATGAATGATGCCTATGTAATTATTTTACCATAACATGATATATATATATATATATATATATATATATTGTTCACAAAGTATCACTATAAACTGATCTCCGTTCAGAATCGTTTTTTCGTTAACAATGCTTTATTGTTGCTTACAGATATACTTTAAATTTTCCCCTTAGTATTTTTCCAACTTCTCACTTACAATATTGGCCCACATACGTGCGATGTATGTCAGTTTTTTTTATTTTATATATTTTATTTTATTTTTTATTTGTTAATCGATGCTCGTACTTACAATTTCTACAGTGTGCTGTGCGTACCTACTCGTTACATCGTTTTCGCGTCGATCATATTACTTTGAATTGAAATAATTATAATTATTAATATTGTCGTGAAATTTATAGAAACTAATCGCGGCAAACCGTCGTTAGTTTTCAATAATTATAAATTTAGTATCGGATCGGTTAATTATTAAACGACAATTATTCAACACGTTGGCGATCTATTATTAGAAAAGACTGCAATGCGAAAGTGTTTACTGAAAATCAAATTGTCGAACAGGATCATCGTGAAAACTTATCTAATAATTATTCTTTATACGATCGGAATACAATATAATATGTATCAAGGCAAATTGTTAATTTTGCGTGTAAACGGAAATCAGCTCCGACACACTCTCAGTTAGAAGACCATTAAAATCTATTTTAAAAGAAGTTGATGAAAATATGTATCGAGTTCTTACAGTTTATTACGACAGACGTAAAAAAAATAAGAGGAAATGTATACGAAGCTCGACGCAATGTATTACCAGCGTGTCCAAAAGCTTAGAAAAAATCCATTTATCGTTGGAAAAAATGGACTTAAAAACTAAACAAAGTGAGGATTTTTTTTATTTGTGAACGACAAAGTATAGGAAACATTATTATATTTTCATACACCATCTCTAATATTTCATTCCGAAAAGAAACCGAGACATTTTACACGGACGAGACATTTAAATATATTTAGCTCATTTTTTTTTTACACAAATGTTCACCATGCACGATGGTTTTAAAACGGAAACTATATTCCATTCTTTTTTTTTTTGTTGTTGTCTACTTTCAAATAAAATTCATATTCATAAATTTCATTTGATATAAAAGAAATGCATTTCTTTAGGTGTGACATTATTGCCGCAGCATGTAACAACTAATTTTGAGACAGAAAGAATCAACGCAGTCTACGAAATTTAGCCACAAACTCAAATCCTTGGGTGTAAGTTTCACTTAACTCAAGCTTATAATCAAAATCATATGCGACCATAACCAAAAATTTGGACTGATGACTTCTGAATATCAAGACCGAGTTTTGGAAATTGGAAAAACATTGTGCCATATTTTTTGATTGCTCTCTCTAGAACCAAATAATTGTTTTCTTCAAAACTTTACGTCTGATTGCCCCACAGATGATAATATATATAGACTATTTCGTTGGTAACTATTCGATAGTATAAATTGTGATTACCATCCAAAAATATAATGGGCATCAGCAATAACCTCTAGTTTACAACGCACAATTGCATAGTAAACATGTTTAGTATAAATGTAGCAAATATTGATTGAATATAATAGTTGTCCACAAACGTGATATTATATTATTATTATTTAAATACTATATACTTGAATTGTATACAATTTATATTATTAGTGTTTTTACACATGTATAATATTAGGTAAATATGAAAATTTTGATTTGGCCGCAAAGAGAAGGGTAAAGTTTTTTCGAAAATCTCGAAATAATATGCTTATGAAAAAATTTCATCCGGTCGTCTCGAGAGGTAAGTGATTACCTACCCTTAATCCCTCAATCCCCCTATGCCGTCTTCATCCATTCTCTGGCAAAGAGAGTATATAGTGCTCAGACTTCATGTATCTGTGTAAAATATGTAATTATGAGTTTCTAATTTAAGATTTTTTTTTTTTAATACCACTATGCTCTATTTAAAGTTTTACTTCATACTCGTATATTAGGTACACACAATCAGGTTTCTAAAAAAAAAAAAATTTTAGTCAGCTAAAATCAAATAGACTCTTAATTGACATTACAGTCAAGTTTAAAATGATTTTAGTTCGAAAACCATTTACTTGTTCCATAGCACCACTCCCTCCTTATCCATATAAATTATAATTAACAAAAAAGAAATAATTATATTATAAAATAACTTATTTATAAGGGATTTTTTTTTTATTCATTTATATATATATATATATATATATATATATATTTCACACTTTTTGGTTTTTATTAATTAAAATCATTTAAAAAGGTTTTAATAATAATTCGGATAACAACATTAACGTCAATATATAATATATTTTGCACGTCATGTCCAATCAGTCACTGCGGTCTTTTACGGTTCCTTCACTTTAAATTAATTTACATAATAATATAACAATCGAAAATCTCTTCGGCGTTCTCGGTTTTCTCGACACAACAGTTTCAACAAAAAAGTAAAATTGAAATACTTATGTCCATGTTGTGTTCATGCGATTTTCCAAGATGTAACATTGCAACACGGTAAAATCCGTCGATTTCCCGGATATCTTAACCAAATTATAGAAAACAAAAGAAAAAAAAAGATCATAATCAACAGAAAGAAAGTGGCTATTGAATGGCAAATATACTTCAAACGGTTTTAGAATTTTGTTTTTGTTTCGAATAGTCAAAAAACGACAAAAAAAAAAAAAACCCGCAGTCACCCAAAGTAAGAATCGCCCCGAATTATTTATAATTGTTTATTTATTTATTTATTTATTTATACAATATCATAAAATTGATTACGCTGGCTGCACTGTTACCATTATCAAATCGCATTTCTCGGAAAATTGTCGGCCACCGTGTTTGTTCGGTGGTACGGCCGGTGTTCGTAATAATATTGTAAGAGTTCGTTTCATTATTTCTTCGTGATTGATTGCGGCGAACGCGTCGTCGTTGATTACGTACAGCAATAATAAATCGTCGTCGGCGAGTTTGTAAAAATTAACAAGTTTTCCAAGAAAACCTTCTCCCGGCACCGGGCGGGAGAGGATAGCGGGGAAAAAACATTACGCATAAATATCTTTATCTTTTATTTTGCATCGCGGTATTTCGACGTGTTATTTTCACTCGCGCATTCAGCTATAACACAGGGACTCGTGGTTATTATAAACGATTGCGGTAGGACGTGTTTGTTGAATCGCGCATGAGGACATTTGTTCGACATATTTGGAAAAAACGAAATTTGATCAACATCGAAAATATTCGAATTTTCTTTCAAATACATTCAGTAGTAGTCCCGTACAGCAGCGGACCGGGTCGCCGGGACACGGCGCAGGCGGCTCTTGGGGTTTACGGGAGGCGTAACGTAAATAAATCGGAACAATACGGTATCGACAGGTGAGAACATCTAGTAGGTATTTTGGAAGAAATGTCTTCTTCTTTGACATTTAAGTCGACGCGCTTTACAGCGGGATCAGTGTTAAAGGAGTTGATAAAATTCGAAACAGTTGTTTTACTGGGAAAATGTATTTAAGATTGTTTGCATTTACAATTGACATAGCTAGTTTGGAAAAACGCTTCAACATTTCTTCAAAACTTACGGCCGATTCAACATGTTTTTACACCCTTCTAAATTGTAAATTCAACAATTAATCGCAGAACCTATTATTTTTTTTTTTTTGTGTATAAATAATAAACTTATGTGACCACACTAGGTCTAAATCCCGGTGACTTTTTTAGACCCAGTCTGCTCCTGGTCCCGTATCATTATCGCAAGTATTAATTATTGTGTAATCGTGAAAGAACTAATTAAAATGTTTAGTTACGCAAAACCAATTCGCACGATAACTGGTTTCGGTTAAAACTATCGGATTTTGAAACAATAATTAGTTATTTTATATTTTTTATGTAAGATCGAAAAAACAAAACGAACGTTTCACATGTGCTTTGGTGAAAATTTGATTTCTTAATATTAAGACTGACGCGAATAGTTTTTTCCTTCGCGAAACGATTTTTACAGTCGAGTTACAGGAAGTAGCACACCGTGCCATCTATTCGGTGGTAAAAACACGAGCTTACGCAGACAGAGTATAACTCGATTGATTTTGGTTTTAGACAGGCATTTATTATACAAGTACGATAAAAACAAAACTCATATGATTCAAAAATCGAATTTTTCATAAAATAATTGAACTGGGAATTGGAGTTTTTGTACATCGAAAAATTCCAAAATGGATTTTTCTTTCATGTGATTTTTGACACGGGTTAATTAGATTCCAGAGTATCCTGTCAAAATGAGATGGCAATTGGTCACCTTAAAAAAAATGTCGCGGTAAAAACGTCGCGTGTGCAATTATGTCACCAAATAAAAATATATTGACTTTTTCCATTTTTTTATTCATCTATTTATAGTTTCATTTCTATCCAATTTAAAAAAAAATACTACTTAAACCCTTTCATTGTAAAGTCCACAGTACAATTTTTTTTTTCGAATTTGATATGTATTGATTTTTTGCTTTGCATAGTTTAATACGTAAAAAACTTTACAAAAGCCGTTTCCTTTTTGTTACCTGTTTTAATATAAACGAGTAAACGCACATATTATGCGCCAATGGCAGCGGTGGAAGGGTTAAACTTTTTACATTTATTAACTGTATAGAAACGTGAAACTAAATAGATGAATTTGAAATTGAAAAAGTTGATTGTTGAATTTTTACATATTTTTTTATGCGGTGACATTTAACATTCTTACCGCGACATTTTTACGTGGATTCCTAAATTTAACAGGGAAGTAGCGGTTTGTGTCAAAACTAACCATCGGATCACCATATAGGTTTAACATAAAATTTCTACTTTCCAGTTAAATATATAACTGTTATTATGCATTTTGAAACGAACTGATTACAGAATCGGATTCACGTTCAATAATCCTAAAAAACAGTGTCGCTAACTTATTTTCCATTTTTTGGAACGTGTATGTTTTTATTCTTGCTCACTCGTATTATATAAAACTATAAAAGAGAAAAAATGTATTTAACTTCAACACAACCCGGTTAAAAAAAAAAAAAAAAATCGTTTTTTCTATAGATACAGTAATTTTGAAATTTCAACTGTATACCTCAATGTGATATGTACTCCAGAATATTGTCCCCATTCGTTTTTAATCTAAAACCAAAATTAAAACGAGTTTTTCTCACGAGCATAATTTTATGTCGTAAAGTTCAGTATTGTGCCGTCAGGTGCTACTCCCTAGCGTCGTCGACTGCGTTCGTTATTTAAAATTGTCTACAGGTATCGTTGTGGATTTGTAATTTCGTGTGCGGGCGCGAACAATTTGTGTTATTTTTTTGAAAACTATTATTATACTCGTACTTTTAAAACTCTTTGGTTCTGACAAAGATATTTACAATAACTATAGATAGCTGACTGTGTTCTTATCAAAATTTGTAAAAGACATTATTCTAAACAATTTGAATATACCATACATTCATGTTCGGGGATCAATGGTTTCTCAAAATCATGGTCATTATTTTAATTTTTAATTATTTTATCGTAAAAAAAACATTTGTCAGTTTGACAGTTTTACGATTTTTTTATTACCAGAATGATTCCATATGGTAACACGACATTCGTCTTAATTGAATATAATTTGTCCACACCTTTTCTATAAAAATAACAACGGTAGTTACTGTATAAGAAAGTATTCATCAGGATATGCGATGAGTAAAAAAAAAAAGTCTTGATTATCAAAACAACAAAACTTATATGTGTATATTTTTACAACAAAATGTATAATGTTATTCTACGCCATACTAGATAAAAAAATCATAGAACGCTGCATCATTACAAAATTGTGTGTCGTAACATACTTACATATTTTTGAAAGATAAGATTTCATAGGTAAAAAAATCTAAAGCAGATTTATTGTAGACAATGTTTTTATCAATCAATCGCTATAATCACGTTTTGATGAAAAAAAAAATAAATAAATAAAAAAAATAGTAAAAAAAAAATTAAAACAAGACAGTCACTGAAAATAGGACTAACTGCGTCCTGTTTAATAATTCCGATTGGAAAAACAGAACATCAAGATGAAAAACAGGATAATCCCGTTTAAAATAGGACGTATGGTCATCCTAGCTTATCGTTTAAAAACGAATGTGAAATGTATTACTTTTCACTAAGCCTCCGGTTTAAACGTCAAACCGTAATGGTAAATGTAAATCCAATATATTAGTGTTACGCCCATACATATTTGTAGAAAAATAGCCTGTGTTCAAAAATAGAGAGGAATTGCTATTTGAAAATAAAATCTATAACTAAAACTACAAAAAGTAAAATAGAAGTTCTAAAACGTACCCAATTAGATACTTACATCAAAATAAGAAGTATGGAAAATAAACGGCAAGAATGTTTTTTACAAAAAGAACAATTTATAAAGGAGAAAATGACTGAAAAAAACTTTGGCAGCATAAATCGTCTTGACTTTGACATTAAATGGAAATAAATAATACATTTTTAAAAATTGTTTTAATGTTTTGATGAATTAGTATTCATTGAACGACGACCGGTGGCCACCTTCTTAATGTTTCCCAAATATTAATTCATCTGGCAAAATACAATTTTTTTAATCATACCTGCAATGTTTCATTATAAACGGCAAATCACTGACTGTCCTAAATCTGTAAAAACGAAAATAAATTTATTTTTTTTATTGCTTGTAAACTTTGGACCCAACTAGTGTACAAACTGCCAAAATCCATTGGGACCCAACTAGTGTACTGCCTATCATCACAACCCCTTGGATCCGAGACCCAATTCGGATGCAGTCGTTATTTCTCAAACGTACCGGAGAATAAATGCTGGAACGAATCCATACTTTTCGAGATGACAAGTGCAGTCTTTTATTGCGTTAAGGTACGTTTTCCATGCAGCGTCTAGACGCACTACTAGTTTGGACTAGTGCTCCGTATAAACGTCCTGTGTATACACATTACAAATGACGAAAAAATGTGTGTTTTCTTCAACCGAGGATGAAATATTAATTGAATTTTATTAATTGAATAGTATTTTAAATACTGTCTTGCCGCAGGGCCCGGATTTATATGCATTTGCATGTTTTTTTTTTTTTTTAACAGTCAAAAACGTAGCTAGATAAGCTACAAGTTTGAATTATAGTTAATAGATCCGAATTACAAAGTTTTAGTTTGCATATTTTGATGTGTACTGCAAATGTCTGTAATTTACGATTTTCCATTGCATTAAAGTCAAATATCTAAGTGTTTCAAACACATTTGTTTTATTATTGTTCGTCGGTTTTATTCGCGTGTACCTATGGTTCGTAGGGAATTTGTTTTATTATGTTATCTATTCACTTTTAGATAAACACAATTCTGTCGGAACCAGTAAGTTGTTGTAATCATTTTTGTTTGCGTATTTCGCGTATTTTAATGATAACCAGTGGATAAACTATTCATGCACGTTTCGTGCGTTTTAAGTGCATACAATTGCGGGCCCTGTTCACACGTGTGTGACGTTACAGTTTTCAACCACGGTAGTCACGCAGTTGTAAACGTATTTCCTCAAACCCTCCCCCGATAACTGTGAGCGCTTCACAAATAACACCGTTGTTATTATGAAATTGATATTGTCACGACGACGATATTTATATAGTGAAGTAAATTCGGAAAAAAACCGCGCTGGTACATTGGATCGCAGTTGCGCGAGCACCTGGAACTTCAGTGGACGCCGTTAGACGCACCGGGCGTAGGGAAACCGGGCGTCTGGACGCGCGAAAAATTCCGCGTCCGGACGCTGCGGGGAGGGGGGGAGGGGGGGGAGAAACGCACCTTTACGCGTCGGTCGCCCCGTGCACCGCGCGGAAAACCGGACGGTGAACGGGTCCGCGCGGCGGGTACCAGCCGCCGAACGAACGCCGACAACAACCGCGTTGAAAATGTCCGCGCGCGCGTCTGTACGCAATACGTTTTACTCCACGTATAATAATAATAATAGTAATAACAACAACAATAATAACGCAAGTGTTTATTAATCGTTACAATAACAATGTTGGTATTATTACAACGTCGAGAGGGGGCCCGGGCGGAGTGGTGACGCGGACGCAAATACCGAACGTTCGCCCGGCGGTGTTTACGCGAAATTATTATCGCAATATCTTTCGCCTCGTTGCGCCGGGGAGTCTGCGGCGGCGGTGCCGCCTCTGTCCCCCCCTAACCCCTCCAACCCCCCCTACGGCGCGAAGTGAAGCGTTGTGACGACGCCCGACGGAAATTTCGTTTGCCCGCAGAAACGACAATATAATGCACGGTATTTATTATTGTGCGCGGCATCGCGTCGTCATCACTCGTGTAATTTACACGCACCTGTCGCCGCCGCCGCCGCCGCCGCCGCCGATATCCAAAAACACTCGCGAGAATGCTCGTGCCGCGGTCGGTGCGCCGTCGTCGTGTGCCGGCATTCGGTTTTTTTCGTCTTTCGGCGGGCTGAACGGGCCGGATTCCCAAGTGGCCCGCGATGTATTACGTTCTCGACCGGCTCGTAAGTAATCGTAATCCTTAAGTGAGTAATGTGATTGACGACGCGAATTTAATTGGCGCGCGTCGGGGGTGTGAATTTGACGGGCGCTGGAACAGATTCGTGGCGGGCACGGCCTCCCCCCGCACCTCTCCGCCGCTACAAGTACTATAAAACCAGCTACATTGCGATAATTTAAAATTTTTACGCGCACGCTCGGTTTTAAATAAAACATAATTTCATTGCTAACCGTTTGAAATTTAATTACGGTGTAAGAAAACATTATGATTTTCTGTACGATTGCTGTTTATTGTTTAAACGAAACCGGCTGAAACGTGCATTCGCACAATACCTAGCCTGGCCTGCTGTTATAACCGTGAATTCCTGGAATTGCGACGGAAGAAAAATACATAGTTTATCCAAACCAATAAGCCACAATAATTTACGACTTATTGGTGAAATACTGAAATAAATTGTTCAGAGGAACTGGACCCCTAGCACCCCTCTACGTGCGCTTATTGCAACGATGAGATTATTATTCGGGCGGGCCAGGTCCGCGGCTCGGGCGTATTATTTTCCGAAGACTTTATGCATAGTTTCAACGCGCAAGTATTGATACTATTTATCCTGCTGGGTTCAAACACATTATATTGTCTCGTCGCACTTTACTGTGCATTGTGGTTAGGTCTGTTTTAGACTTTGGGTCTGTGCAGGTTTGAAACCCGTCTCGGTCTGGGCAAGTCATTAACACTTGAGAACTACAAAGGCGGTTGATTCACGCGTTTGATTATATAATTGGCTTCATAGATATTAGGCCTAGCTCTGATATTTCCGTTAGTATCGTTTGCCAATCATCGGAAATATTCACACGTTATATTAATTGTGTGTACAAACTAATAAACGAGGCAATTTTTTTCTATATATCTATATATACTATATCTACTACTAAAAAAATCGAGTCATGATTATTGATGTTTGTTATTTATGTTAAAAATAGTAATTTTGCTCAATTGCTTCTCATTAAAAAAAAAAAAAAAAATGTTCATTGAAAAGACATCGTATCTCAACGTATACATAATATTATATGTCTACTACATAAATCAAAACGTTATAATAACAATAAAGTTTATTGCATTTAAGAAACACAATAATAAACAAAATATTTAATGAATGAGATTGTAAACGATTTTCTCCAAAAGCTATGAGGAACTTGAAGAGCAGACAACGGTTCATAACTCCCTAGCTAATTGTTCTTAAGTATTAAAATGACCTTAAATTAATTGACAGATTGTTATTTCGGCAAGTTAATAAACTGGAAAAGTTACTCGACGAAAAATGTAACTACTTATAACAATTCAAATACTATGTTATAGGTTTTATTCTTCGATATAATTTAATATTTTAATATTACACCATGTGAATTTTAGCTAAATATTTTAAATTGTTCTATATTAGGTCTATTGTGACAACCGCACAATTATATTTCCATGAATTTTCTAAAAAAAAGTTTAAAACAGTTTTTTTTTTTTAAAACACGAATTTTTAGAATAATATTGTGTTTATGCCATTTATTTATGAAATAGTTATTTAAACATTATGAAACATAAAAACTTTACATTTTTTCCTTGATCCCGAATAATCCTATATTTATTTCGATGGGTTATTCATAATAAACTGGAAAAGTTGATGAAAAATGTAACTTTCTAGTTCAAATGTTGTACAGTTTTTTTTTCTTCGATTTAATATTATATTTTAATAATTCAAAGTGTAAATTTAAGTTAAATGTTTTAAAATAGTCTACGCTCATTATAAAAATGAATTATACAAACACATTGAAAAAATAATAATAATAAAAAAAGGAATAAAGTATACCACACGAATTTTAAAATATTTTATAAGCACGATATGTTTAATTATTTTAAGTTGTATAAATTAAAATGTGTTTGTACGATGACTCGAATACCTTTGAGGTATATGTATATGTAAAAAAAAGTGTATAGTTATCGATGGAAACCAAACGACCGCCAAGCGAAGTATGTTAAAAACTTGTACAAATTCATTTCAACTAAGTTACAAATAATGTACTATTATAACATTATAATAGTTACTGTCCAGCTTTACTGCACGAGTGAAGGTTTGAAGTGCGCAGGGGGCTGAATCCTTCTACTTTCTTGAGGTAAAATTATCTGACTAATTCCCGTTTTCGTCAAAAAAATATTGCCGTTTTTATCACAGCCCTTTTCTGCCAAAAAAATTAGGTACGATTCCCGTTACCTCCGAAAATAGTTAGAAAACTAATGATTGCGAAAAGCAAAAAATATTAAAGAGATTAAAAACTACCGAAGAAGCAATTATAACAAAGAATCTAATGAAATTATAGTGGGCACCTACATTTGTATTAAAACAGTTTCATTTAATTATGTGATTTTTTAAGTTATTATATTAATTATAATTTTTGACTGTTTAATGACTTATATTATTATTATTATAACTAACGTTTTATTATTATTACTTGTAAATTCAGTATTATTTTTGTCGTGCCGTTTTGGTTTTTGATTGAAAAAGGCTATGCTCAATTATTATCCGTCCCCTTCAGTTTGAGTATTTACAGTTCGGGGGGGGGGGAGACAGGATGTTTTAATTATTGTCACCGGGGTATTTTTAACGGAATCGTAACAACCTCCTTTTCCGGACCGTGAAAAAACCGCAAATGTCGCCGCTACCCGTGCGACGGATTATACCGTACAGATAAATTCGCTGTTGGAATTATTTTTATATTCGGTTCGTATTTATTTATTAATAACGCGATGACCACCGCGACGAATGCCATTTCGACATTATTCTGGTCTTCCAACGTCGGCCGTATGGCGATGATAATTCACGCGTAATCAAAGTCCGTGGCGCGCCTGAGCGACTATAATAATAATAAGCGAGTAAAATCTGAGGAAGTAATTAAAAATCGACTTTTGCACGTCGTCCCGGCGTTGTATACATCGCGTCGTCGCGGACGACAACCACAATTCTCAAAAGGTTTTTTTAATTATGTATAAATCGTTTTTCACTCTCTTTCTCGAGAGTATCGTTTATTATACAATGCCGAAACTGCAGTTACAATTTCATACCGATTTAATAATAATTACAAACGTTGGACATTTTTTTTTTTTTTTTTGTCGGTTACCAAAAAAAAAAAAAAAAATCCAAACTCGAGACGCGGACAGAATAACAACGAGTTTCCGGGCAATTGTCGCCCGGAAAATGATTTATTGTTAAACGCCGCGACTTTAAATTACATTTTCGTCATCTCTATACACGCGGTTTTTCTAGAAAAAAAAACGTAGCACTTATTTCTCACCCGGGAAAACGCATTTCGCGCGGACAACTAAATATTTTGTACGATACTCCGTAACGCAATGCATTATATTCGTATACAATATGTATATATATATATATATATGTACACTATATTTCACTTATTCGTTCATTTATATTCCGAGTGATGTTCAATTCGCGTTGATGATCGAGCGGCGATGATATCGCATTTCCGTCCGTCGGCCTATTCCGTTTTAACGAAATCAACGAACCCGCTCGCGAATGCTTTTCATTCGCGTTTTAATTCGAATTTTAATCACGGCCCCGCGTCCGGACATTTTCATATCCATAATATACAGACACCGTTAAAAGTACTGAAACGAAACGTTATATCCCAGTCAAAATTTTTGTATTTTTATTATATTTTACGTAAACCATTTATCTTCCGACATATTAAATCAAAAACACGCCGACAATAATATTATTTTATCGAAACGGCTGCTCGCTTGTATAATATTACGCACATAAATATTACACAATGCACTTGTAATTTTACGGAATTCGATTATACATTGTTAAGGCGCGCGGTTCCCGCAAAAATATTCACGAAACTCGATTAAAAATCAACTCGACGTAAATAATATTACCACGATTTACCAAGAAAGTTTGAATATTAGTGGGTTGAAATATTATAAGTTTCACTGCACCGCCAAAAATTAAGACTAGTTTACGCCACTGCGTGATGAAGTACCTAAGTGGTAGGTAATCAAATATATTTTACTTTTAACCATATTTCAAGAGATTTTGCCAGGACGCAGATGTAATGAAACTATGGTAATTTTTTTTCCCCAATCTCTGGTGATCAGATCTCTACTTTAGATTATTGCCGTCGTATTATCTTCTCATTGTGAATGTGTCCATCGTAATACGACCTCCCCTTAGTTATTGGGTCATACATCCTTTGCGCATTAACACAATTATATTTAAAAATAGATTAGGACTGAATGAGATTAGATCGGGTTTGTTACCCAAAGGCGCAAATTTTTAACATACTAAAATTCAGTGTTTCAATCATCGAACCCATTATATGTTTTACAAACACCCACCAAGAAACGTCCAGCTTAAAATTTAACCACACATATATTTTTATCCCAAAAATAGCGGGTATCAATTTATTGGCATCTGCTATTTATTATAAACCGAATGCAAAATCAAACAATATAAGTATATAACTGTATATAATATCGCATAACAACGTGTAATGGCTGTTAACCCGACGGTCCGTTAAAACGATTATTTACACTTACAATTTCTGTTCGAACTCAACATAGTTATATTTGATGCGTTAATAACGTGTCTACGATATTTTGACACAGGTAAACAGACGATGCGTTAACGATAACCGGCTTTTGCTGTATACATGCCATTGGTTTTCGCGCGTCATTATCGTTTCTAACGTTTTTTACCCACGGGATTTGTCCGATATTCGTTTGGCATTTTCTGTAATATATTATTTGTTATTTTACACTTCCTCGTAAAAGAGTGAACTCCGTCCAAACAAACTTGCGCTAATACGATTTATGGAAAAAGCGGACCAACAACTTTTGGCCCGAATTTAGCCATATCGAGTATAATGAATTTTGTTTCACACCGTGCAGCGAGGCTTTAAAATATTATTTCCAGTCGCCGCCGTGCAATTCGGTTGGGTGGAACCGCCCAAAGAGGGAAACTGCTCGCCGTTTGTTCGATTAAACCGTCCGGATAATAATTAAATAAAAAGCGTTGGCCGTTTCTTTCAATCGGCAGTGTATGTATAGTGCGGCTTCATGCGATGCTGGGTAGCATATTTACAGATCCTATCCGAGTTTGGCCATGTCATGTGTAGTTATTCCTCGACTAAGACCTATAGGTTTTTAGTCAACACTATAGCTTCCTTGGCGCACAATCTGGTTTGAATTAACAAGTAGGTTGAATTTTGTAAAACACCGAAGATTTTCTTTAAAATTTCCTACAACTACTAAAATAAACTAGATTACGTTTCGGCAACAGCCGAACTCGAATAGAATTTGTAAACACGCTGCCGGGGAACTACGACGCGTTCGGGTCGTATTTCTAATCGAAAGGTCGTATTCAAGTAATCGGGACGTTTCAGAAACAGTCCACCATATATTATATTATATTGCCGGCTTCGTCTCAACTTTCCGAGAATTTCACATCGTCTTGTATAATATTAATATTATATACGAGTCTCTGTGGAAATACGATACGCATTCATTTTGCGACATTCGACCGAATTTAAAAGTTTCTCTTCGAATTTCGGAAGTAATCGGTGAACCATTGCAATGGAGGTCATTCTTTTTTTTTAAATTCCTTTTCCGAATAATAAAAATAGTGATAAAAAACAAAATTACCCCGAAATTGAATACTTGTATGTGTACGCATTTTCTAAACACGATTTAATTTCCAAACTGTTTATTATTCTTTTACAGTTAATATTGTTTGGCATTTTAAAATTTCATGTAAATTTCTAAAATATAATATTATACGTGATTTTATCGCGTGAACGGGTTATACCATATTAAACGTTGAGGTCTTAAAATATTAAAAATTCAATATTGAGGACGTATAAAATATAACTATACCGTTCGCATTAAATTTCTCATAAAAAAAAAAAAATAAACTTGTTGGGCGGTCAAATTTTCGAGCAAATTCATGATTCCCTACCGAGAATATTCAAAATCGTATTTTTTTCGATAACCGTTAAATCAAAAATAAATAGAGAGGTCTATAGGTTCACGTAACCCCACACTTTGGTTAATCGATTCCGTACAAATTATACACGTTCATTAATTCATTATAAATAACTTAAAAATAAAAAAAACAAAGTGGGGTAACAAAACAGTAAATTCTCAAATTATGATTTCTATGTAGTTGAGGCTCCTTCCATATTGTATTCCAACATTATACGTGAGGTTATGTGTCATGCAATCTTGTTTCCAGATTGTACATTTAAAGGTAGTAAACAATTTCAAATTACATATTAGTGCAGTTTAACAAATATATAAATCGTTATACAACAAAACAAAAAATACTATCGACCTTATTGATGATTTTCGGACAAATATACAATGATTAATTTAGAATTATCTGACTTAATTATGGAAAAATTGGGAAAATAAACATGCCGTTAAACAAATATTATTAAAAAAAAAATGTTTAATGCATATGCAGTTATTTCAGCATAATATAACATATATTTCATTGTTGAAAAAGCAAGTTGAGTGGGGCATTTACAAATTTGGGGACTGAATTTACGATTATTTACAATGGATTTACAATTGTTTAAAATTAGTCCGGAAACAATCGGCCAAAGTGAGAGGGCCTACTTCACGTACGTGTAAAGTACATTTAATCAACTAAAGATAACGCTTTATTTTTTAGTACCTACAACAATCAATTTTTATGTCTCTACATAATGCACTATCGTAGTATTACTTGAAAAATACAAAATAAACATTGTTAAAATGTCACGGTCCAATGGGTGGGGGACTACAGACCTATCATCTCCTCTCTTACATAATCGACTCAAATCAGCTGTTCCCAGCGTATAGTTATTTTTTTTTTTTCGTGATAGGTTCTAATTCATCATCATTTTTCAAAGTATAACCGTTTATATTTTCCATTGATTTTATACTCAGCTGCAGGTTAGCGTCAAGCCACCTGTGTACTAAAACGAATCCATTACGTTAATTTATTTCCTATATTTTTCCATTTGTATAAAAAATACGTTTCTCCGGACCTACTTTAAATGGCATATCGAAACGAAAACTTTACTGTACAACTATAATAATAAAAATAATTACCTATGGTCAAAAGGACGATGACGATGTGTCCCGATAAGAGTTTCTAATTAAATTTCAAAAAGTCCTGTCACCCTAGGCTACTCCTTGAAACTTGGTTGGGCTGCTAAATTCTCGACACTTTGAAACCCGAAACCCGTGATAGGGTCGACGAGTAACGTGCCATGTACCCTGTAAATTGAATTATTTTAAACCACCTCTATTACGTTCGTATTTCAAAACGGTCGTTAATTTTCCGTTTTCTCGAATAGCGACGGACTGTAATATTAATATAATTTCGATTCGGCCTCCAAAATTAGATTTATACGTACGTATACTATTCATAATTTAATTAACCGACTGCGTTTTTAGAAAAATAGCTTCCGTTCCATTCGAGAATATTATTTAAAAATCGAAATTATGTAGTCCCGACCCCGAAAGCCAATGAAAAGAAACAGTGGAAAAAGATGAAGAAGATAATATTCGCAATGCAATATAAATTGTTACTTTTTAGGATTATTAGTTTTATTATACATCCATCACAGAGATTATTTAAATGGCTACAATATGAATGATAATTGACATTGAAATAAGAAGAGTCTGAAATTACGGAGAGAGAGAGAGAGAGAGAGAGAGAGAGAAGAATATAAGTCTACAGGTATTCGCTACGGAAAAGGCCTTTAATAAAATAATAAGAAGAGATTTATATTACATTCCGAATAACAACAGTAGTACGAAATAACAGACAAGACGATGACTACAGACTCGCAGTCTCGTTTTTTAGTTTCAATATAATATACTACAGTCGTACTTTTGGATGCGACTGTAATTGGATTACACGACAGTTCGTTTAGGAAAAAGGTCAGCCTCCTGAATGCCGAGTCTGATTTGCGTTCTCGAATACGCCCCGACGATAATATAATACTAAAAATACCCACGGAAAATAATATATTATATTATAAAATATACGCGATTATTTATCGTAATTGCGTTATTTTTTTTTTTTATCTCGCAAACAAATAATATCAAAATACGTAAAAAAAAAAAAAAACCGTAAGGTTAGGCTCGTATTATTTGTATGATAATGCATTCACGAAATCAAAAAACCGTCAATATAATATGATAATCACTATAATAACGTGTTTATTTTAGATTACTCGTTATTCGCTCTATTATTTTGAATTACTTAATTGTAATTATTCGTTTTGAAAACGAATGATGGGTGTAATTATAATAATAATAATCTATTCGAAAAATAGCCTAAAATAATCCATCACCTGCGCAATCACTTTATAGCTTATACGAATTATATTATTGCTGTCATTCGTAAAATAATTGCATCCGATGCGCTCTTTCAAAATGCGTTCATTCTGTTTGTAAACTATCGGTTTTTTAAGAAATAGCGAACAAATTTTTAACGCTATCCATTGACTATTGATAACTTTGAAGTGTACGAAAAGGATTTAAAATCGGGTTTAGAGAAAAAACGCCAATTATACAAAGTACAGAATATGGCAATAACATTTCGAAAACAACACCGTCGGCTTTTTACAATGCTCTAAGTTAGTATTTAACCCATTATAGATGGCACAATAAATCGTATATTGCATGCATATTTTGAATACGTGACGGTTAATGCCTGCTCTGTGACAGTTTTATAAGAATATCCGAATATGATTGTGCACTACATGTGTGTTATTATGTAGTTAGGTGTTTTTGAATCGGATATGGTAACGCTACCAATAGTAGATAATATAAGATAAAATATTATTATACTCGGTGATCTCGAGTGGTCTGAAAAGTAATATATTAAAGTGTTTTCCATTCGCGAACAAACAGTTCACAAAAATATATTATCGCTACGAATTTCGAAAAGAAAACGTATTCTTCAAACCCCTCGGACGAAAAAATCGACGTATCCCGTCTTTATTTTCCATTATAATGCAGCGCCAAATGTAATGTTGCCATAATGTTGCTGTGGAAAATGACGAACAATCATACAAAAATAGCTGGTAGGTACCTATATATTATTATCGCGCGTCGCGCACGAAAACATTTTCGAATACGATTCATGAAATATGTATTATTGTGTGTGCGCGAATGCTCTGGGAATACAAAATAGCTCTGCGCTAATTTACGTATTCGGTGAAAATTTCAGGTGAAATTACTATGATTATTTTTAACTGAATTACACATACATACACACACACAAATAAAAAACAAGAATATTAAAAATAACGGACATCGTTTTTTCATTTTTTTTTTCTGAAAAAAACTAAAAGGAAAATTAAAAAAAGAAGACCTTTATATGCCAATTAAATGACATTTCCTATAAAACTTGAGGTCTGGATCAAGATTTCTTGTAGAAATGTGTTTTATAGACAAAAAAAAAAAAAATAACCGCATGCATCATAATAAACCTAATATATTTCTCGCTAGCCGGTACGCCCAAAGTTGAAAAAAAATAATAATAAAAATGTCTATTATTGGATTATTTAATATCGAAGTATAAATTAAATTGTTGATAATGAAAGCATTATTAATGTAAATACTGTATTATCAAGTTTTAATGCGACATTATCACATTACACATATTGTTTTGTTTAAAATATTTTTAAAAATCGATCAATATAGAAACAACTATGTCTAAAACCCATTTAATTTTTGTAAAATAATCTTTCGGTTAACGTCTACAAAGCCCTGAACGAAGAAAAAACCCAACATATTTAAGTATGATTTATATTTAAAGTTATACCTAGCTAAAGTATTTTTAAGACGCAGTTTTGAGTATATATATATATATTAATATAACTATATAATACTGCAAACTGCTGATACCTAACAGATACAGTAATATATTACTTTGTTATAAACGTCAAATCTTAAAAAAAAAAAAACACCCACGATGAGCAGCAGAGCTCAGCGACTAAAATTGAATATTATTCTCTATCTATTTTGCGTTACATGAAACTTTGCAAAACAATAAATAACCGAACACTGTAATAATATAAATATAATAAAACTCTATATACTAAGTATACTACATATTCTGAAAGAAAAAAACATAAAAATCGTTAGAATGGGAGCTGAAAGTTGACTCTCCTAAAAAAAAAATCATTGATATTTGATACTAACGCCATTTAAATTCGCCTAACTTAACCTTTTTTTTTTTCATTAATAAAATCGCATTTAAATAAAAAAAATTACAAATAGTATCTACTTCCTGTGATCAGTGCAATTACAAATATGTTCATGCGATGGTAAATTTGGAAGATTTAAAGAATGAAAATATTCTACGAGTAGTAATGAAGCATCGTTAATATCTCTATTGTCACACTTGTCGCAGTTTTCTGTTAATGGTCGTATATATTTTCTCATTATCTTTATCTAGTACTTCTATTATTTTACAATTAATTTCACCGACATCGACATTTCGTCTAATACTACTATTTTTGTTAGCTTATCATCAGCGGTAAAATCCGATGCATCATACACTTAAGTAATTAAATATTTAGAAACCAAAATAAAAAAGGAACAGAAAAAGTAGCTAACCTAACCTAACCTAACTTTTCATTTAATTGTTTATTATGAATTATGATGACTATTAATAATATTAATATTATATTGTTTTTGTTACTATGACAATGAAAATAAACGTCCTTCAGTCAATTGGAGTGTTCTTTTGAAGATTGATGATTTAATTTCCTAATTTCTTAAATTTTATTTTTAGAACCTGTGAATTCATTAATTCATTTGCGTGTAAGTTTTGGATTATATGAAACCTCTATAAATTGGTTTTCATACAAATTTTTCTGTCATTTTGAAAATCGTCATAAATTTATTTTTATAATTTAATGTAGTGTGTTTGTAACTCGTGATTATTTGGGTACTTATTGACTTTTAAAGATACCACCTGTTTTCAGCGCAGAGTTAAGAATTCGTTAAAAAAACATTCATTCATTTAAACAATTGTTTTTAGAGTGTGCAATTTTATTTGTTGTTAACAAATTTATAGCTCTGATAATTTTATCGGTACATAAAATGTTCGTAACATAAATTTACATCTTTCGTACTATATACCTCATTTCAGTTTACTCTTATTTGAAAATTAATAATTTTAAATATATTTTTCGTTGGCTTGATTATATTTTTAATATCTATAGCTACCACTATGGAAAAAATGATCCGTAATACTGGTTTGTAATATCCCTGCCACAATTTTACTGATTACGTTGGGATTAATTTTAATAAAAATTTAGTCTAAACAAGAGTGTTTACGATTTATCGGAATTCTAGTATAAACATTGTTCAACGAATTAAATCCGAGCTCCAGAGCATCCGATAGCTTTCAGAGTTTCAGCCGTAAACGTAACGGACAAATTTACTCTTGCGTTTATATTATATTCAGAACGGGTAAAACAGACACAATACAGTGACATAGTCTTTATTTTCCAGGAAAATTCTCGACAACAATCAATTACTTGCCTATTATATATTCCAAAACTCCCGACACAATATTGGTTTTATTATGCTTCGGAAAACGAACGGAAAAAATAGTATACGGATATAACTAAGTAAATATTTATCAGGCCAGGGAAACGAATATATAATAACATAATATATTACTCTATATATATATATATAGCTTGCTATTTACTTTACAGGTATGAATAAAATATAACGTTTTTAACGGGATAGGCTTTTCGACTTAATTGGTTTCTTTTCTTGTTTCAAGGAGATAAAATGTGTGGTTATATCGTAGTGGATCCAGTGTCATAACTAGAATCTCGGGGCCCCGACGATAAGATAAGTCTGGGACCCTATAACTATTTAAGTATTCGTAATAAATACATTTTTTTTTAATACTGACTAGTCAGTGACTACTTATCATTAAACGCGCAATTTGTGTTTATTATCAGCGGAACAATAATATACGAGTAGACATGTTAAACGGTTAAATAATTTTAATAATAAACATTAAAAATATTACACAATATAAATAATTGTAAAAAAAAAAAACAATTAAAAAAACACCAGTGAAAAAATAACCAAATGAAAGTACCAATTTAACTATGACTATTATGTGTACATAGAGTATGTAACAAATATTACTGAAATTCGATATTTTTGTTCTGTTCTGCAAATCTGGTTAAATTCATTATTTAAATAAGTACTTGCAACAAATATCATCGTTTTTTCCTTGTAAACATAAGTATAAGTAGTTTTATTTTATTTTATAAATCTAAAAATATGTGTATAAATATTCACTCTACTGAATAAATATTGATTTTCGCATAGCATTTAAACTAAAATTGTAATATTGGTTATTAAAGATTATAATATTTTAAATATATATTCATATAAATATTCTTGTTTTAACTTCATCAATCTGATAAATATTTGGTCCATATGTAAGTTATTAGCTTGTTATTTTTTGATTTTTAACAAAGCAATATTTGATAAATGATTTTACCCCATTGAATTTTTTAAATAGTTTTTATTTAAATTCAATCTCGAAAATAAGAGTTTGACTGATGCGACAGTCACTGGTAATGTGAGAAATTTGTAATAAACATCACTGTACGTGATCAGTACCTATCACAATTTATCGTGTTTGAAATTTTAAACGATCGCAGCGATTTGATTTACATCTTTTGCGTTAAAAATACCAGTTTACAACTATGATGGGGCCCCCTTTGAACCTCGGGGTTCCGATGTTAGGTATCGCCGTCCACCCCGGTTATAGCGCCACTGAATGGATCGTAATGGAAATAGTAATGGCACTTAACATAGAAACAGCGATGTTCATCCTGATGAAGTCCATGATACCATGGCACAAACATCAAGCCAAATAGATGTGATTTTGTAAAATAATCTTATTTTAAAATGTATGCATTTTGCTGAAAAATATGAAATATTGTACCTAATATGTAATGCGTATTTAAATCCAATGTACACTTTTATTCTATTATTTTTGTGGAAGTGTGAGAGCGTAGGGGCCGATGGCTCACTCTGCATGCATTTGTATATCTCCTCCCCCAATAGAAATTCCCGAAACGTCACTGCTCACGCTTTTCCTTTGTGCCCAGATAACCTAATTAAATATTAAAAACCGTCTGAAGGCCGGTTCGCGCGCAGCGCCGTGTACTGCACGATAATATTTTTTAGTTTGTTTTCCCGCCATCTCACAGAATTGAATTGAACTAAACATTATACCGATGCGAAATCTTACATTATACAGACACTCTGTTCTACGGCGTCTAAAAATAAATAGATTGGATGTACCGCGTCCTATATGCGAAGGACGTCCTGGCCATAATATTCGTGAATTATAATAATAGTACGATTTATCTCCGGGGAAAAGCCTCGCCGAGGTTCATCGAGATAAAACGGCAGCTAAACGTATTAAAGTATCTCGTTTGTTATTACAGTGCTTTTAGAAAGTGGCGGATAGGACTTAACGTTTTCATATAATATATATATATATATTTTTTTTTTCACACCATCACTGTGTACAGTAGGCGTTTGACTTACAAATTGTATTGCGTTCCGTCGTACTGTATACATTTTATTCGATCCGTTAGATAAATCTTTACGCGACCGCAAACACCTATAGGTATATGTAATTTATACGGTTTTCGGCGGTTTTTCGTTCGTCGATACGTTTCAATCGGTTTTTAAAATCTGCTGACGACTCGCCGTTGTGATATTATCATTCGATTTGAGTCTATACAAGTGTGAAATTCGACCTAGATTGTGAAAAAAAAACCAAACGTAAAATATTGGTTTTTTTTTTTTTTTTTACTGTAGACTTTTATTCTTTATTGTCAAATTTTCCCAAAAAATAAATACTGTTGTTACTACTTTGTTGTGCCTGTTATATATATTTAATATACGTATATTTATAATATCATATGCTCGTTATATTGTTGAACTTTTCTAGAGGCTCCCTGTGGACCAAATGAGCTTGAACTTAAAAATCAAATTTCTATATAGGCGAATTAAAGTAATAAAATACTGGTTGATTTTTAATATAAGCTTAACAATATTTCGAGTGGAGAGTGTTTTTTTTTTTTTTAAATTTTTACATCTCTACAGACTATCCAAACGATTCCGGCGGTATGAAATTTTGTGAATACATATAGCATTAGTATACAATTTTCATTCCATATCTCAATCAGATCAATAAATTTACCATTTTTTTTTTCTTTTGAAAGTAGTCTTATATTTCTAATACTTATAGTATAATATTGTATTATTATTCATTAAAGTATTCGGTTATTTATCGTTTTGAAAAAAACATTTCTATTACAAAAAAAACACTGCAGATATACTTGGCACGATACTTCGCGGTGGGCCACTATTATAGGTGAAAAGTTGGGAAGATAGGATATAGGATATACGCACAGATAAATCATTAGTTACAAAAAACGATTCTGAGTGGATTTAAGTTATACGTATTTTGAAAGGCTATAGTATTTAAGACATTCGTCAAAATTTGATACACAAATTCTTATTGAAAAAATTCTACATTACACTCAACTTTTTTCGACCATAAATTACGACTTATAATGCGAACCTCCTGTTAAATTTGTAAGCATTTCTATTTGGTCTAACAGTTGTATATACAGAGTACCTACCGAATACAAATTGAGCAAAATTAAAATATCTATATTTAATAGCTTAAAAATAACACAAATGTATTCAAAATTTTACCACGTTTAGAAAAAAGAAAATTGAATACAATACATTTTGGAAATTTTCAAGTTTTCCTATGCTGTTTCCCGGTTTTTCCCAATTATTATGAAAATCACTTGGAAAATCAAAAAATTACCTCTTTAAAGTACCACCCAGTTAAAACTTACTTTCAAAAAAAGAACTACACTTAAAAATCGGCCCGAGATCTTTTGTAGAAAAGTTGTTCGCAGATAAAATAAAAAATTCAAAAATAATTATCATTAGTAAACCAATATATTCCTAACTTCACTCAAAATCTAAAATATGGGGGAGGGGAATTCGTCTCTAGTAATGAACCTCTGCTACTCGCGCAAGTATTTTATTCGTATGCATAATCTAAGGATTCTACGGTGATTTGATTTGTTCGACATAATATTTTTGATGGACATTTTTTACTCCAGGCAATATTTTATCTTATGTTCGAATTTCGTGTATCAATAATATAAGTACTGAATTTTAAGACTCTGTGGTATGTTATGATGATGTATTTTTTCTTGAAAAGTATTTTTTCGGTTAGTAAAAATACTCTGATTTTTCCATGGCATATCTTAAAAAATAAGGAATATCTGTCCGATGGTATTTTATTTGAATATTTTTACAATATTCCAAATACTTATCAGAAAAATTGCTTTTTATTATTATTTTTAAATGGTATTTTCGTGGACAAAATGCTCGGATTTTTACATGCATTATCTTAAAAAAACGTGGACTTTTTACCCGGCGATAATTAACTTGAAATATTTTTTGACATTTTCAACAGTTCCTCAGCTAGTTTTTTAATGGTTTTTTTCGGAAAATCGATTTTAGGGTTACAACGATTAACCGTTTTCAAATAATCGTTATAAATCGTATAGTGGATACACAGAATTTTAATTTTATATTTCAGAACGGTCGATAATGCGTTTCAAAATATAATTTCGTAATTATTATATTATATATGATTGTGTACACCGAAACAATAATCAACTATACCGTGCGGTCGAGACAGCGTTTACATTGTTTCCATAATCACTTTATACTTACATCATACGAGTACTTATACAGTTATGTATATACTGTATACATTATACAGTATACACTTATGTTAAACCTCCGCAAAACAAAACCCTTTGATGCGGAATATAACATTCAGAAACACTGATAGATAACTGAACGTATAATCTAACTACATATTATATGATATTACATTATCGTTTAATGTTTGGATGTTTGTTATTCAATAAAGCCAAAACGGATCAGTGGCACTTATTGGCATACGGGTAGGAGTGTGTAATAATATTCTGAAACTTCATATGTCCTAAAACAATAAACGTTACAGTAGTATATTGCGCGTAATTCGATCTCTAAATACATTTTTCTTTTTAATTATTTCTGTTTCCAACAGAAACCGGAAATTTGTATTGAGGATTACATACAAGAGCATTTAATTATTGTCACGGGCAAGACTGTAGTCCGGGTTCAACATTATAATGAATATATAATTCACCTAGTATAAATTGTTGTTTCAAAACTGCACACAAATACAGTATTATATTGTAATTACTAATAATATACTCGTATTCTATGGTATAGATACACATTAAAAATAATTATTAATAATTAGCGTGTTAGAAAGACGATGGAGTACAACAGGATCTGGAGGACTGGAAGTGACAGATTGAATGGGAGAAAAGGATAGAGGACCGGTATTATTGGGAGTCAGTGATAGCGACAACCAAAACTGTTATAGTGTTATTATTAGATAGAGTTAAAAAAAAAAAAAAAAACCAAATTTACATTATGTAGGGCAGCGTTTTCGATTAATATTTAGGTATATACTAATATTATGATGAAGGTGCCGCGGCCGGTTTGCGTTATTGATTCGGCGGAGACTGATAATATTATTTATTTATACGATGCGGCGTCCGGGGGTTCAATATTTTAATTAAAAGGTCAAATTATTACGCGACAATATTAATTTACATTAATTATTATCATCAACTCGGGTTCCCTGCGTAGGGACGATATCGTTTAATGTATTGATAAAACACCTGTCTATTCAATTTTGACCGTACAGTCCGTACTGCTGCAACAATAAATGTATATAATAATCATTTCTGAACGGTTTCCGTTATTAATGTTATAATTTCGTATGACACATATCAATGGATAATATTTTTATTTTATGCTAAAAATTTTTAAATGTCTTATATATTATGGTTCGTTTTAGATTTAGGACTTATGTAAGTCCAATTACTCTTTAACCTATGTAAAATATACATATATATTTATTACAGTTAATGTGATATAATTAAAAATATATACGAGTACTACGAAGAACCTAAAAAATAAATTATTGTATTTACTACGTCAATTTTTTTTTTTTTTTTTTTAATAGAAAATTCCAGTCTCTTCTGGTTGTAAAAGCCTATAAGAATAACAAAATACAATATATTTTTATTATTGTATAATGTATAGTTTATTATCTAACCATTAATAATCCTTGAAATAATCACTACTCTAAATAATCTTTTTTGTTGACCAAATTGTGTTTTGAAACATACATATTCGATATTTAATTAAAAATTGAATTATGTATTAGCTTGAAAATTATCATACCTTCATAGGTATAAATGATTAATGAGAGACACTAAACCCTGCAAATATTATATGAGCCTCTCCCCCCCCACCAAAAAAAAAAATAATAATAATAATAATAAAAACATATTCGTGTTCAATGAATTTATTTCATTTTAGAGTGGCCGAATTGGTTTTTCTTTTTTTCATTAAATTTTGTTAACCTATATTGAAATATCCATGTACATTACATCCTATATAACTGATAATTTTATAAAAAGATTAGAATAATCATTTTAATAAATATTATTTTACAATGATATTTTTTATACCAAACAAAAATATAATCCTAGTAAATAAATACATTTTCATTTAATTATAAAGTAAATTATTTGTGTGTAACTAATCAATAAAATAACATTATTATAATTTATTATATGATATAATAAAATACAAAATAGAAATCCTTTTTTTTTTTTTTTATTTATGGAATAAGGGTATACGGAAACAAAGCTCCAATACGTATCAATCAATATCGAATACGTTTCGGAACATTAATTAAACGAAACTCGATTAATAATAATCTGTTTCTGCTTGTTTTGAGATAAATCGTTGATCGTATTTCGTTCGGACAACATCTATACAATATAATATATTATATAAAATATATACCTAGGCATAAATACAGTTGATATTGCGTTTTGTATTTCTGTATAATATCGAAAATCGTTTGGTTAAATCATACCTAATAATCTGACGATAAGAGATATACAATGTTTTCTTTAAAAAAAAAAATAAAAAAAACATGTCGTGTATTTAAAATAACAATTACTTTTAAGTCGATTTCGATTATAATGGAAGGGAGGGGGAGAGAACAATAATATTGTTAAAAAAAATTGCGCGTTATTTTTTTTTTCTTTTTTACATAGAAACATAACGGTGTACGGTTATCGATTGAAATTGAAAAACACAAAATGTTTTCCGCTTCACTGGCGGGAAATATAAAATTTATCGCTTCCGAAAACTATACCTGTTATATAGATATTCACGAACTCACGAGTAAAACTAACCACCAGACTACAACGAACTTTGAGTATAATAATAATAGATAATAACATGTAAGGCTGCCGGCACGCCTTTGATCTCGCTATATTATAACTCGGTTGAACATCAATCTACTTTAATGTCAATAATATAAACGGAAAACTTCGCGGGTACGGTTAATATTTTGACATGCAATATCTTGACTGCCGAATTTCCCCATATTACATATTATGGTTTATCTCGTAGACATTATATACACTCTTCTTTACTATTTTGACCTGATTATATATATATCTACAGAAGCGTATTAACGGAGAAATACATTTCTCATCCGCCCGCTTGACATTTTTTTTTTTTTTAAGTATACCTATCTGGGCGGTGGTCATTATTTATTTTGACCGAAAACTATAATATATAGTCCGTTCAGGTTAGTAAAATTATTTTTACCACGGTAAAGTGGTAAAGTAAAAACCCGGTGACTTTATCGGAGTCTATATCTCTACTATACCTAATCGTTATTATTCGCTATTATTGAGAACTAGACGAGTAAATAAATTTTCGGTCTATCGTTTTTACCACCAGCCGAAGTAAGAGATGCATTCACTAAACTGTTATCAATTACACAAACCAAATATGAATGTGTTACGTTTTGCCGAATATGTCTTAGAAACATGTGAAAACTCAGAGTTCCCCCTCATTTGGAACACGAGCACCAATATTTGACAATCTCACGCTACAAATTGAGTAAAGTTATTCCATTCCCAATTTAATATTTAGTTTTTCTCAACATAATAATAATATGTTCATTAAGTTGATGCAGTATTATTAGAAATCCGGACAGAAAATATAATCAAAATCCAATTAAAAAGACTATTTCTAAAGTTTTTCAAAAAGAAATCACAGTAAAACACGAGTTTACGCAAGAAACCCGGGATAAATACAAAAAAAGGTGATTTTGATCAATTTTAATAGATCAATAGACTACGTTTAAAACACCCAGCAAATAGACCATTTACTATAAAAATAATTTATGTGAAATTTTATTTTTTTTATTTTTTGACTGTACATTAAAACCTATATATGATTGAATATACATGATTTTGTGGTATCTTTGACTGTGCATTAATTATTATCTCAGCTATAATACCCAGATCTTTGTATAGATATTATTTATTATTAATTATTAATTATGATGTATAAAATATGGATATGATTTTGTTTTATTAATAGTTGACTGTATACTACAATTTGTATTACTACATAAGAGTGTTAATTTTTAAATAAAAAAGAAATTGTTTGAAATACAAGCATTTTTTTTTTGAAATCAAGTACACCGGTGGAAAATCCGCATATTTTAGATTTTGCCGAACAATTAAAACATTTTTTACTAACTGAAAAAGTGTTTACAGAGAAAAATATAATCTAGTGCTTGAATTATTGAAAATTTCAAAAGAATGGTTCAAATAGAGCGCCGTCAAAAAAAATCATCATTTTTTTTTTAAGGTACATGGTATGAAAAAACAAGAGCAATTTTACTTACCGGAAAAACGTTTTCGGAGAAAAAAAAAATTCACATCTTAGTAAAACAATAATAGCTTATTCTATAACTATACTCAGAATCTAAAATCAATTTAAAACGTTTTCAATACTTCCCCAATAATACGTGTTGAAATATATTACTATACATAATATTGAACTTTTACACGAAACATTGTTTCGCACGATAAATACAATATTTACCGATATATACCTACGCGTTTTTACCGCGTGCAAATTTATATTTTTTCCGGTAATCCAGTGCCGATGAGAGTCTATTATTATATTATACATTTGTTTTGTTTGTATTTTGTCTCGGATTTCGAAAATACAATCAAATATTAATTGCTATTATGGTAAAGGTTGTGCCCAACGGGTGTAAATAATCTTCCGTTGAACTAAATATTTAGGGTACTAAATAACAATATTAAGAGTTTGCAAAAATAATACTCGGCAATAACGCTCTTTTTCACTTAAGGTTTCTGCTCATGTTCGTTGATGCATTTAAACTAGTGAGTTTATTTGTTTTAAATTACTATTTACCCCCTTCTCCAAATAAAAAGGCAAATTATGCATCTGTACGTAATATATACATTAAATACAAAGAAAATGAAATGAAAATTCAAATCAAATCAAAAATTATTTGGTGAAAACAATTGAATAGAAAATAACACAAGGTTATTTTAACACAAATTATTTTCGCAATGATTTTTCTTCTCGGCAAATTCTCAAAAGCATCACGAGGATCGAACGCAAAATGATTTCTCTCTATAAATATATATGTGTACATACATATTAAATATTATTACAACAAACGTTTTTGTACGCCGTTGATTGTTGACTTTTTCATCGTGTCGTCGTTTATTATTTACCCGCACTATTACGCCCGTAGGTATTAGACCCAGAATGTATATATATATATAATTCCCAAATTGTTGTTTTTCTCCTTCCTGAGTTTTATTTAATTGAACAATTGTTAGTTCAACATGATTTTTTCAGTATCTGAACGAAATGAAATCGACGTTCGTTTTTAAATAAATATCACTTTGGGCTGCCATTGCACTTATGGACATTTCACGTAATTTCAAATAACTATTACATTCGATGACGGTAAATGAAAACGATGATTTTTTTTTCATTCGAAATATTTATTCGAAATTTGTTCACACCCGTCCGTTAAATATCCATATACTTGGTACGTATTATAGTATGGGCTCGATACGGCATAGCATTCGATTAGGTATAGATACCTTATAATATATGGACATACCGATATAATACGCGGTCATAGTAAATTCATCGTCTATTTTGTTTAAATAAATTCACTGGGCATTAGAATCGTACTGAAGAAAAGACAGAGTTTCTCTAAATAATATTTTATGTTTCAAAACCTCAGCAAATTTGAAAACAGGAACCATAGCTATTGAAAAAAGATTTCATCCGATTGATTTCTGTCTGAAAACTTTTGTTTTTTATTTGGCTTGTTCAAGCCCTACTTTATGATTATATCAAAAGTACTGTCTTTGCGTAGCACGTTTACTTATGTTTCTACCAATCAAGTAACAGTCAAGTCATTTAATGCTTCAAAGGAACTCTGACGGATATTTCCGTAATACTTATTCCCGTCAGATAACATTTGTTTTGGCTGTTTATAAGCGACATATATTTTGATTTCTAACGTTTTAGCTTGATTGTGAATTATTTTGTACTGGTAGTAGAGAGGCTGACGTCTATAACCAGTGAGAGCGGTTCGTTTGCCGATATCTCCGGTGAATTCCGCAGGAATAATGTCCGGGCTTTTTTTAAACACTGTGCGTACTTCTTCGTGGGAATGACTTCGATAATTCGCCAGTAATAATTGTTAAATTTCTTTTCCCTTCTTGTCTGTTTTAATTCATTAGCCAGGAATAGCTATTCTCGGCTTGTTCCTACAAGCCAAGTTATTACTATTGATGTTTTTTTAATTTTCAAAGTACAATACTGGGTGTGCATTGCATCAAACCAGGTAAATTTAGACTTTCTTGAAACCAGGAAGAGTTTTTGAGCTCAAATTAATCACGGTGTCTGAAAGCTTTGACCTATTTTTAGGTCTTTTGGTCTCTTTGGTCTATTTTTTGGATTGATACCCTTTAGTTAGCTTTAACTGTGTCAATCTGAAAATTTAGAATATTTAATTATTTGTAAAACATAATTTAGCAAAGTATCAAATTCATTCGAAACAAGATTTGATACCCATATTTCAAATAATGGCATTCGAGATATTTATAAGGCCATTTTCTTTTGAATTGAAAAACGTTTAAATACGCAAATTTGAGTAAAATATTTAAACTGATCTATAAAGAAAAATAAATTTTAATTTATATTGCAATCAGTCCAGATTCAGTATATTATGGTATAATTAACTAAAAGTTACTTAGTTCAATGCAGCGTCTATATATTAAAGCGTTTTAACACTTATAGTTAGTGAATTAAACATCTCTATATCATACCTTCCTAACTTCTCACTTACAACAGTACACATGTGAAGTATGTCCGTTTTTTTACTTAATTTTGTATAGCCTTTTACTTTCAAAACGTCCAGATTTAATCAAATTTATCAATGACCTATCTTTTCTCCATGTGTGTGTCTTGCCTATGGCAATTGTATTTTCTTCTTTGTTAAGAACGATTAAAATTCTACGCATATTTCCGAACGAAAACGCACAATTTGTATTATTATTGTGTATTTATTTTGTGTTTGTATTTTTCTAAAGCATACAAAATCGGTACGAGTGGTTCGTATTTTTACGGCTAAACAAATTATTACATAGTACGAAAATAAAACAAAAATCTATTCATGAATACGAGAGTATAATACATCAGCATTCAAACAACGTGCTTGTATTTATTTTATTTTTCATCTAATGCTTACGAGTCTGTCACCGTCGGTTTATTTATACAATAATATTGTCATAATAATTTTAATATTTTTATTAAAATAATAAATCAAAATGTGTACGTATTTATTGTCTATAGTTTTTACAATGAAATACAACCGTCACACGGAAATAATAATTTACATGACTATTATTTGTTATACATTTTTAAAAATAAAATCGTATTTTCAAAATGTTTCGTATAATTCAAGTAAATTTCGTAGTTTTACGTCATAGACTTATATACAAAGAGGATGCGTATAAGTATACATTGGTGCAACCTTTTCCACCAAAAATTTAAGATATTTACAAATTGTAAACATATTACGGATAGTTTCATAATTTGTATCGCAACTATACAGATAATTTATTTTAATTTTAAAGACGTGTAGGTGCATCGTGCGCATTACCTTTTTAGCAATTTACCAGCCTAAAAACCTGTCCAAAAATAAAACCCTCCTCCGAAAATTAATCTTGATTACGCCACTGGGTATTGATTTTTCTAGAATATAATGTTAATCGTTCTATTTCGACCTCTGCAAAATACGCGCGTCTTTGTATACACGTTTTAAAGATAGATAATAATATTACAATGTTTTTTTTTTTAAATTAATCGTCACCGTTTTATTTACCAGGGATCCGAAGACTCGGACGTTATAGCAAATACAGCGGACCTGTCTCTGGGCATCGAGAAGGAAGCGCTGCGGCGCGAAAATGAGCATAGAGCTCGGTCACAGCTATTTAACAGTCGTGTAAGTATATTATTATACAAACATAATAAAATAAATTATTAAAATGATGTTATTGTATAGGATGGGCATGGAGGGTAAGGAAGAAAACAGTGTAGTCATAATAATACATAATAAAACATAAATAATATAGCCGTACGTAATCGGTGCATCAAATAAAATATTATTTGTTTTTTGTCGTTTCTAAATTAAAATGATTGGTGTTTTAAACAGTTTCTATAATATGATGAAAAATTATCACCACCGTTAAATTGCATGCATAATATTTTCATACACGAAGCATCGTTTTCACCATTTAGGCACCACCAGGCCCGGCTCAAAAAGTAGAAGACGTCTAGAGCGGTCTAAGTTGCAATTCGATATTAAAAATATCATTTTAGAACAGAATTTTGCTATAAATATCATACGGGGCAAAAGGAATTTTATTAAAATATATTAAACTGATTTCAAACTGGATAGAAATAAAAATGATTATTGCCATTTTTATGGATTATGTAAAAACAACTGTTTTGTTTTTGAAAAACATAAAAATCACAAGTAGTTTTTATTTGATACACCGAATGTCGTATTTTTGAGACAAATGATTTTCTTTCCAATCTGAATCTTGGAAAAAACTGCAAAATCAATTTATAAACTTTATCGATTTTTGTTTTCTGTTCCTCGGTTGTGAACATAAAAAATGTTTTATTTATTTATAGATAAATAAAAAAAACGAAAAAAAAACTTCAGTAACAAAATAATCTCTATATAAATACATTGTGTAGTATAAATATTAACATTAAAATCCAATTTTAATAAATATGACAAAATATTAACATAAAGTAACATATTTTCATAACATGTAACATACAACCAACTAAAATTTACTTCAATAGTACTTCCTATGACCATCAATATATTAGCAGGTGAAGACCGTAAATAATTCTTAGAATTATTATTGATTAAAAACTGGTAATTATTTCTAGTAGATTTATTAACAATTCGAACATCTAATTGTAACAACAAATAAGGACAATCTATGAAATTATTCAATCATTTTGATAAAAATATTTAGTGAAGGTAATCACTTCTTTTGTTTAATGATGATATTTTTATTTAATTATAAAAATGCATTTTATAGAAACTATTCATCAATATATATTTCGTATATTTTTGATTTTGTTGTAAAAAATTATAAATTAACGATCGTTGTTATATCAGATTTTTTTTTTTTAATTTTCATCGTGTTAGACATAATTCCTACAAATATTTTTCTTTAAAATTTAACACTGTAAAATGAAACATTGATAAAATATTAATATCGTCTGTTTGCTAAACAATTCATTTTTATTCAGTTAGATATATTTCAGTTATTCTTAAATAGTGTTACATTGTACGAAATGTTCATTTTGAATCCATTTCTAGAAGAAATCGAAAGTTTTGTTATATTTTACACTAACATACCCTTTATTATATTTACATTAATTTCGTTTTGTCATAAAGGAGCAATATTTTTTAAATTATAATATTTTATGAAACATATAATTAATAAGTTTGCAAGTATAATTTTTAATTAAAATTAACTAACTATTATATGTCATATGCATCGAAATGTATACCTTACAAATATTTTTTTTTGAAACATAATATAGTGTTTTATATAAATACATACAATTATGTCTTTATTATATTTTTATTTTTTTTTATAGACGAAACCGGTGGCATTTGCTGTTCGCACGAATGTCGCATTTGACGGTAAGAAAGATGATGATTCGCCAATACAAGGATGTGCGATCTCGTTTGGTGTTAGAGATTTTTTGCACATCAAGGTAAGTCCAATTATATAATCATATAGCATAGTAAAATATTTTAATTATACATATTTTTTTTTTTATGAAACTTTAGAAAAAATCACTACATTTTACTTTATGAGTATATTATATCGTCACTTAAAATACAACATTCGAAATCCCATATTTAGGCCAAATTGAGTTGGTGGCGTTTTCTTATTCGATATTTCAGTCAACCTATCGTAATCACTAAAAAATCAGGTGACGTCCAAACCGTAATAATACTAACAGCTGTTAGAATATTTCGTATAAAACTACAGCGATCTCAGTGTTTTCCAGTTCTTCGTCGTGCCACTGCCGTACGGTAATATTACGCTATCATGAGTTCCGATGAAATTAAATAGTTTTCCATAAAAATGTTGTGCAATTGTTCAAGTTTTTAACATTAATTTAGCAACAAATAAGCTGATTGTAATGGCACTATTGAAAAATTGAAAAAAATTAGATATTATTGGGCGTTCAAACTTTAAGTGACGATAATATAAAATAACGCATTTTAACCGTAGCTATATTGTTTTATTTTTGAACATTAATCGCATAATTACAAATCACAATGATTTACTATAGCTGGTAGTGTCGTCGATTATTTTTATTACACCGGCAAAGTATTGTTGTAATTATTGTTTTGGGTACCTAGTTATATCCCTTATATCAGACTGGCAGGAAATTAAATTAAATTTCTGCTGGCCCGGCCAGTCAAAAATTTCAATTAATATTATAGAGTGTAGACTATTTTTTAATTTTTTTTTTTGTAGATTAACTACTAGTCTATATTTATCCACTGCACTTAACACGATTTATTACTATCATGAAAAACAAAAAAATACAAATGTGGAGACATTAGTTATTAAACAGTTTAATAATATATATTATAGGTAATTGTTTACCTATTACGTATATTGTTGAGCTACATTAATTAGTTGTGGTTCCTATTAAAATAATATATAACTACTTAATATTCTACAAATATCACATTAAAACAATATTGTAATACTCGATTTAATAAAATATACAAATTTGTTCTGTCCAAAAAAAATAATACCTATTTATTCGTCGTAACATCAAGTAATGGACTTTATACGATAAAAAAAAAAAAACTACAAACGTGAGCACATAAAAACATTACTATGTTTTTATAAATTATTCACATTTTCAGGGCAATAAAGTTAAGGCAGAGGGAATCGCTTAAATGATCCACATCAAAAAAAAAAAACTCATATTAATTCAATTTTTCAGTTTATTTTTAAAATCCTGAAATAAAAAAATATAATTTTATATAATATTTTTTGTCGTTTTCTCGACGTTTTTCTAAAGAAAAATATTAAACACGTATTAAACGCATAAAAAAAAAAAAACCGCATCATTATATAATAAATATTTGATTTCTTGACGGTGTTACAAGCATGGTGTGGAATAATTTAAGCGTGTTCAAACACAAATATTGTCCGTAGATAAACTAAAACCCGCTAAAAATCAGTTTATTGATGTATCAGTTTGATTAAAAATTATATGAAAATCGTTTTGGTTAATATAATCTAATAATAAATTGAAATCGAAAGTTTACATCTTTATGTTTAAACAGCACAGGGACTCCAGTTGGATTCTAAACTAGGGTTACAGTGACACCTATACGGCTCCTTCTATATGCCTAACAGACAGCTAGAGAGAAATCACAGGGCAGCCACGGGAGTCCAGTATGAATTTCTTGTCCAAAACGGTTTTCTATTACGGCCTTGCACTAGTAATTATTGCCACCCCAAGTGAACGAAATTTATATCGCCAAGTTATGGATCTAGGACGAGGAAAGCGTAGCACCAGAAAAGCGTCCATTTACTCATATTGCATAGCCTATTAACTGAATAATTTAACCATGTTCAAATTCTGTACCCCACTCCCTGTTGGGAATCAAAGAGAAAATTACCTCGGGACTACAGCGTTGTTACTTTATTAGAGATCAAAGTGGTCTCGAAGTAGTAATTTTAAAATCGGAGGCAAAATTAAGACTCTAAATGTCTCCAAAAAGTGTATACTATATCTATAGTATCTACTCTAGTTTGAATCATACAGATAGGAGTCCTCGAAACTCTCCTAATGAGATTTCCCACGGGAGTCCCGGTGCTATTAAGGTTATTATATTGTATAATATATGATTTTTTTTTTTTCATTTTTAAAAAAATTTACAAAACACCACTTAAACGTCATGTATATATATCATAAAATAAATGATTATTGTTTATTATTTTTAATCGTTACAGGAGAAGTATGACAATAACTGGTGGATAGGTCGTCTGGTGAAAGAGGGTTCTGATGTGGGTTTTATACCATCCCCTGCCAAACTCGAACTCCTGCGTCAGATGAACCCATCACGAAGCTCAAAAAATCATTCTTCCAAAAACTCATCGTCGTCAAACTTAGGTGGTGTAATCAATTAAATGCTGTCTACATATACCGATAAGGGGGGAGGGGGGATTCCGGAGGTTCCACTCATCCTGCTATATAAAATAAAATGTCCTGAAAAGCATAATAATAGTATTTTATTGATTTTAGATTAGATTTTTGGTCTGCGTGTGTTTTGTGTGAAAATAAATAAAAGTTCACCAAATAAATTTATCGTTGTATTTTTAAAACGTTTCTCGTAAAATAATTTAAGATAAAGTAACACATAAAAAAATAGTAGAAAGAATAATACGAATTTTAATTTTGTTATTGCTTAATATATAAATATCACACTTTTGTTTAAAGGTAATTTGGGGTACTCCTCAAAATAATTTCTGCATTATTTTTATTAATACATATGTATTTTTAATTATTTTTAAATGTTACCATCCAAGAAACATTGCCTATATCGTAAAGTTTAACGGGTATTAAAATTATGACCATTTTCTAAGAGAAGTGTAAGGGTACTATAATAATGAGTTACACTGATGGCAAGCGTACAAAATCAATTCACATTTTCTCTAACTTCAAAACAATTGTAAAAATAAACACAAATTTTTTGCTCTGATTGGAATCTTAAACAATTTGAGTCTGGAAATATGAATATTTAAGTAGGTACTACCAAAAATTATATTTAAAAAAAAATTAACATTTTCTATTTTTAGCATATTTTTATAAAAGCAAAGGAATGAATAATATATTTGATAATAAATTTATAAAAGTTCCGTACTATTAATACGATGAAATTCGATAAAAGTCGCAATAAATAAAGGAGAATAATGACACGAAATCAAAAAAAAAAAAAATCAAAATAAAGCTTTTGAAGCCATATACATCATTCGAACTCGGCGCTATGAACAGTCTTACATGTATATGTAATAAAACAAAAAAACAAATAAGACATTTTCTATGGTCTCAAATACGAAATCGAAATCCGTGTAAATCGATTTCCGGACCTGCACACGTAGGGAAAATGTCCCTTCCGCAGCTGTCTAAGGACGAGTTCCACGCGAAACAGAAACTTTTTTCAAATGAATTTAAAAAGCAAATCTTCAACCACATTCTTCATCTTCAACAACGGATTTACCTTAAATATGAATACGGGAGCGATAAAGTATACAATCAAAATGAAAAATACATGTGAAATGAGGGACAAGTGAACGATGATGACTGGTCGAGAGCGTAATGTAGATATCGTTGAAAAAATCAAATCAAATCAGTATTAACATGCGGTTGAAAATAAATGCTACTTTTAATAAAGTTTTCAAATTATAAAATATAACAAAATGTAATTGAAAACCAAGAAAAAAGCAAAAACGCACACAAATTTAGAAAATTACAAAATACAAACTTATAAATAGTGCTTTTCCCTCGAAACAAATTTTATACTTATTCCGCAAGGTTTTAAGCAATTTACAAAAATACGCAAATTCATTCGACGATCATACGAGGCAGAACTTGAACTCAAGTACAGTTATTTTTCGTTTTTAATCAGTTTGATTATTCATTCGGGCCGGTCTTTTCGGTCGGCATACTGCACAACGCATACGCAGACCATTTTTTTCGATTTATTCTTATTTAAACGTTATTATTACATAGTTTTTAAGTAAAAGTTTGTACTCATGTGAAATTGCAGTCAATCGATTACACTCCCACACCTCACACCCCCCTCCCAACATTAAACCCTGAAAAATTAATTTGAAAATATTTACTAGGTACTATTTTATATTTTTCTTCTTTGTTTTTATTTATACACTGCAATATTTTTTCTATTTTATTTATTTTGATTTTTTGATATTTTTATTTTTATATTGACGGCTACAGGAGTACTTTATGAGTGAGTCTTCAAAGTGTTGAGCGTTGAAAAACTATTGTTGAAATAAAAACAAAAGTAGCAGAAATGAGAATGTTAAGGTGGATATTTGGTGTGACCTGGTTGAAGAAGGTTGAGCCTTCAGTTGATACTGAACTTTTTTGAAAAATTTCTTGGAGAGCTCCAGGAATACGGCAGGGCCAAAGAGCGAACGAAATCCTTCTCATAGCAGGTGAATTTAAAACCAAATCCATTTCCTGGGGTTCCAGCATCAATGACTGCCAGGACGACCTTACCTAATCTAACCGAGGTGATGGCCAATCGATGGCCTGCACATTGTATAACTGTCCAGGCCATTTGGCGCACATGCCGCCGGCCGCAAAAAGTACCACGTACAAGACTCCAGACCGGTGGATTCTAAACGGGTCAGGAAAAAGAAGGGCCCCAGTCTAGACTAAGCTTGCCAAAGCCAAAGGATGTTGATGGACAATAGTCCCATATCTTCCTAAGGTTGATTTATATAACTTAGGATTATTTAGTCTTCTCCCAAGGGAAATGCGTCAATTGTATATACGATGAGCTTAATTAATAAGCGATGGCTGCAGTCAATGAAGTATTAAGTAAAATAGACCCCTTACTTCTATCGGTTACACTTAAAACAAAGAAAAAAAAAATAGTTTGAACAGGGTTAGAAATGAATGGGGAGACGAAGAGGAAGATTATAAAATATAAAATAATTGATTTAAAAGTTAATGTTTCATTTTCACACCCGTGGCCGTCAAATGTAGAACCGTAAATGGTGTTTATATTAGTTAGATACGTGTGTGTGGTCACTTCAAATATTGTTATATTATTAACTATACATATAGGAAACTATAGTTTACCAATTGTTTTGCTGAAATTTCGATTTTTGTTAATTCGGACGTGTTTGTTTTATTTTTTGATAATAGCCGAAGATGATGATCCCATGGGTAGTAGTCGTATTTCAGCCAAAGCAACGTTAGCCGCTCCAACCGCAAAGGACAAACGGAAAATTTTCTTTAAAAAACAAGAGACCATGCCGCCGTACGATGTTGTGCCATCGATGAGACCGGTGGTATTGGTCGGACCATCTTTAAAAGGATACGAGGTGACCGACATGATGCAAAAAGCTCTGTTCGATTTTTTGAAACACCGTTTTGAAGGAAGGTACGTTCAAGATAGTGGTATATTAATGCTGTACAGCGACACGCGCGTGGCCGAAACCGGTCAATGTATTACATTTATTTGACTCGATTTATTCCAGAATCATTATAACACGCGTGATGGCTGATATATCGCTGGCTAAGAGATCCCTGCTCAATAACCCTACCAAAAAAGCCGTTGTCGACAGCAAATCAGGTTCAAGCTCTAGATCGAACATGATAGCTGACGTGCAACAGGAAATTGAACGGATTTTTGAACTCGCTAGGACATTGCAGGTAAATATACTCGATCAAGTCGACATACGTCACCGTTGCTAAATAACTTATTTACACCACTGTATCGGGGCTATTGCCTTTTTTTTCTTTTTGTTTTTTCATACATAATATATATAGCTTGTCGTTTTGGACTGTGATACAATCAATCATCCATCGCAATTGGCAAAAACATCTTTGGCGCCGACTATAGTGTACTTGAAAGTTTCATCGCCAAAAGTGAGTAATCGATTTCTCCTATATTTTCATATTTTAGATGAAAAAAAAACTCCAGTATTCTCCGCGAAATTTAATTCAAAAACTATACTTCCAATATACCATATCTGCCAATGTAATTATTCGTATGTCGGTTTTTTTTATGGAAATCTATAGATTTTACTTCTCCGGGTCTTAGCAATTTCCTATATATTCAACGAGTTTGTCGTTTGCGCATCATTAACTCCTCAAGTTAGTCATTTACACATAGCACGTTTTTACTTGCGTGTTTCAGTTGCCCTCAACAGTATATTTTTTTATATCAATTCCCCCTAAGCTACTTAGAGTAAATTGTACCAATAGCCCTAAACATATTATATATTTCGTAGGCCATATGAAAAATTAGTCTTTTTGCGAAAAGACTAGGGTCTTTGCAATAGAGTAGTCCGTTTGTGAACTACTTATTATTTTTTCCAAACGGCCTACTGTTTTTGAGGCTTATTGCACAAAGACTATAAGAGGTTAAGACTTTTAAAAATTAAAATCATTATAATATAGTAATAGACATTTTTTTTTTTTTATTTTTTTTAAGGGTAGTTTATTACTTTTACAAAAAAATAAGGTCAATATAATTATTATAATATGTAAACTGAATAAGTATATATTATATTAGTATAACTATTATATAGTATTATACATTATAGTATTATATTTATTTATAAACTGTATCAGTGAAGATTGAGTTATTTTAAAATGTTTAACTATTGTATTAACAAATAAAAAATAAAATATAAATAAAAAATGTAACCACATGTAACAATAAGTAAATATTGTACATATTTTCTCTTTTGTTAGTAATGTAAAATAAAACTAGTATTATAGTCAAAAACTTTAAAACTATCTAAACTTCATTGGTACTCGTCATCGATACAGTTTATAAAATAAATATAACACTATATAATACGTACCATACTTATTCAGACTATTCAGTTTACATATTGTAATAATTCGATTGATCATTTTTTTTGTAAAAGTAATAAATTACCCTTAAAATAAATAAAATAGTTATTACCATGTTATAATTATTATAGTTCTTAAAAGGCCTAACTGCTGTTAGTCTATATGCAATAAGCCTGAAATCTGTAGGCCATTCGGAAAAATAACAAGTAGTTTGCAAACGGGCTACCCCATTGCAAACAGCCTAGTCTTTTCGCAAAGAGACTAATTTTCCATACGGCCTATAACATAATACACACGACCACAATATCACGCCTGTCGTAAAATAGGGAAAGTAAATTATATGCGAATCGGCGCGTATTATAATATAATAAATACAATATTTTTAAATATTGTATTTATTAATAATTGCCAGATCCGTGTATTGTATTTTGTAAAAAAAAAAAAAAAAATGAAATAATGCAAATATTGTAAAGAGAACACGCGTATTGTGATAGAGTCGAATTTATTGTTATTATGTACTTGTTAGCTACTGAGAATCATTACTTGTCATTTTTTTATCGCACGCGTTTAAAATTACCCATTTTGGCAATATTCCACTCTTTATTCGCGCTTTTTTTACGCGGTGAGGACAACTGGTACATTTAGTTGAGGGCGACTGGTCAATATCCAGGCAAACCGTCTACGCCCGTATTTCCGATAATAGCGATGCGCAAACGGCCGATAAAACAGCCTTTTCGTAACAATAGCGATGCGCAAAACGTTCGACGCCGTCGACCCCGTCGACCATGCGATTAAAGATAAAAGCGGCTAGTAAATTGCGGCTGGTATGATTTTTTTTTTCGAGAGAGAGAGAGAGAGTTATATTGACGTGATTTAATCCGGTGTTCGGCCTGTCGGAATAGGTGCTTCAGCGGCTGATCAAGTCCCGGGGAAAGTCGCAGACCAGACATCTGAACGTGCAAATGGTGGCATCCGAGAAGCTCGCCCAGTGCCCGCCCGAAATGTTCGACGTGATATTGGACGAGAATCAGCTGGAGGAGGCGTGCGAACATATTTCCGAATACTTGGAGGCGTACTGGCGGGCTACCCATCCGCCGATTACACCAGACCCTAGCGAAGCACAACTGTTGGCCAGACCGATCAGAAATTCCCCTAGCGTAGACATGCCGATGATGTCGGCCATGATGAACAGTTATCAACCGCAAGGTGAGTCGCAACTGTCGTACTCGTTAGTGTCGAGCATTAACATGTTCACCAGTCCCATTATTCGGATACAGCAATACGAGTAATGTTTTAATAATAATTATGATACGTGTACCTATATTATAATATAGAATATTAAATACGCACGGGAGTGTGTTACGGATATGCCGGGGAAGGAGACTCGGGGTTCACACCCCTAATTTAAACGGATAAGACAAAACAAAAACCTCAAATTATATAATCGTTCAACCGGTTTTTTTTTTTTTTTTTTTGTTGCTTCCCAAATATTCACAATTCACCGTGCAGTGACGTGCCCCGGTGGGAGCTAAGTGAACATCAACCCCTCTCCCTCATTAGCCTCGTTTAAATACAACGAAAAATAATATGGACGGTTCATCATTGAAAACTATAATTACTAATGAAATAAAATCATCGTACATAGCATAACTTACTCGACTAAGTAATATACATGATAACTATACAATTGTGTATATTGAAAAATAATCTCAAGAAGAACGCTTCATACAATAATAAATGTATATACTGCCATCCTAAGCAAAAATGCCGGGAGTCGAAACAAATTTAAAAATGAGTTATATGTATCAAGGAAATTGTAAAATTCAGACGTTTTATAAATGTATATATTTATTTAATTCTCTATGCTGCTAACCTCTCGCCCTCCCTTTAAATTTTATTATCTTGAGAACGTCACTGTAAAAATGTACATCCTCACTTGTGCGTATATAATATTATAATATCTATATTATATTATACGTCCGTAGATAAATATGTACACGATAATAGTATGTTATTATTTCGCGTTATATGTTTACAAGGTGATAATTTTATCACGCACTAGGATGCCGTACATCTCAAAGGATACTAAGTGAATTTTATTTCTGGTTTTTCAAATCATTGTCGAAGCCTTTAAGCTTTATTTTAAATATTTGACCACTTATCTATGTACCTGAAATGAATATACGTTTTAGATTTTCAAATAGCAACCCTCTATTTCAATTACGAATTCAAATAGCGAAAACTTTTCTACACATGTTGATAAGCATAAAATTAATGTCAGATTTACCGTTTATGAATTATAATAATTTAAAGTTTGGACCTGAAGAGTAAGGAAGGATTATAGATTTATCATATTAAAATATAGATATAAAATTTAATACTAGTGTTATGCTTATCAAAATTTGTAAGAAAATATCCTCTATTTGAATGTGTGTTAAAAAGAGAAGGGGATTATTATTTGAAAACAATATTAAAATAAAACTTAAACGATTTCATAATTTTTTTTTTAAACAAAAGTCAAATTTATTTAAAATCCTTTGAGGAAATCGGTGTTTCTTATTAAGTTGATCACCCTGTATACATAATATGTATTATATATTTAATAATATTATTGTCATCTCGCAGTTTATACACGAACTCTTATAGAATAAACTGTTGTAGTATATTGTCAAAAAATTGTGTACGATGACTAACTTTATTTCATATTGTATTCCTGTTTTGGTATTATTTTTAGTACGTTTAATGAGGAAAACAATTTGTGTTTTTTTAACAAATAGAAGGTAGTACGCAAAATTATAATATTTTAAGTCTCCTCGTGAGAATAGACTCGTGTCGAATAAATCATTAAGACGCCAACCGGTTGTCCTGATCGAACTGTGTAGTAATATTCAGTACTTGACTTGGGAAAAAAGTAGTAGAGGTAATCTAGCTACTTTAAAAAAAGTAGCGTCCCTAGCGTTTTAATATCCCTCACATTACTCATTAAACACTTAAACACGTATCATACAAAACAGAATAATACAATAATTATTTCGGTATTACTACTGTTGGACTATTTTCGAATAAAAAATTCTATTAACCGATGTCATCATACATGTCAGAATTTAAAAGTTGATAAAGTGCACCACTAATTTTTATCATAAGCACATAAAACACATTCTTCGATCATAGAACAAACGAGATAATAGCATGTTGTTCAATGGTAATACTATAATAGATCAAAATACATTAATGGTTACTGTTTACCTAGATTCATAGATAATCAATGGTTATCAATGTTTATCACGTATCGTATAACATGAGATATCAATGTCTTACATTTTGTAAGATTTGTGTACTAACACAAAAATTGAAGTTGAGCAATTTAATAAAAAAACGTCTTCAATAACAATCAGTCCCATGAAATCCCCTTTAAAAAAGAAATAGGGGTACACTAGAATATCCAAAAAATTAGTTGAGGTACTCAGCCTTCCAACGTCCTTTCCATCCCTCCAAACAAACACTGAATGTTATGCTACCCCGCGACTTCTACTTCTGGATAGTGTTCAGCACAACCCCGAGAAAGTTAGAAAATTATATTTATGATAATATGTATGCGATTGTGTATTTCGAGTGTGAATTATCGTTTATTAAAATCGTTTATGAAAAATATGATTTTAGTATAGAGGTATATGAAATAATAGGGTAAAGGGTTTCTCGTATAATTATTTTTTAAGAGATTTCTTTAAGGGTTTAAGTTTATAGGAACCAATATTACTGGCTGGCTGATAATATAATTTGAGTGTAGAAACGGCGTAAATAATGCCAATCCCGTGGAACAGAAGAAGCACGAAGCTATATAATAATACGCTTATTACTTATTTAGATTGGATGATAAACATAAAAATTATACGATTTCGGTAACGCGGAGCCAGTCACATGTCTACATAGTGCGCTCGAAATAAATTCCTATCCGAAGTATTTTTGCAAACAAATCGGAGTTTATTTTCGATTAATTTCCTCCTTTCAATTACTTCGCTTCTCAAAATTTTACAATCAGACATAGGAGTATTTAGTATTCAAGTATTACAAATTTAGGGTGGAGACGAAGAAAAAGAAGAAGAAATATTACGAGTTTAAACATAGATATTGAATTTACGCTTTATGTAAGACTATTATCGTTTATCCTTTTCAGTAGTTTTCTTATCATATTCGGACGACTGCCACTTGCCCATACAAGTACATACCGTGACAGGTTGGTACACAGTTAAGCGATTGAAATATTTATCCGATCGAATGCCGAATCGATATAAGAATCGCAAAAAGATTGCAGCCGAATACGATATTTCAATTTATTATAAATGCTACCATCGTTATCATAACGTACTCAACATCATACGTAATCTCAATAGCTACTCGTTGATCCAAACATGAGACAAACAACTGTAAAACCAAATCCATAAAAAACCATGTTGGGTTCAGATAAATCAAGTGTGAAAACTGAAAACTCTAACCTACTTGTCGGTCCAAACCTAATACTGCTCCGTGGAGAAATTAGTATCATATCTCCTAAGATCAGTTTTAAACATTATCTAGATAAATATTTAATTAAATTTTATGTTATCTAGATAATTAATAAAATTGACTATTTTATCCAAGATAAATAACTGAATTATCTAAACTAATTTAATATTTTTTATGTACTCGCATTAAAATGTGCACCTTTTTCTGTTTGTAAACAACTTTTCTAATCAGTAGTCTATCAAATTGGAAACTTAATCATTAAAAATAAACATTAGATAACAGTATAATTTCAACGAGTATTTATTTTTATTTTTAAAACATAAATTAATTGATAAAAAATTATACATAGGTAAAATATTAAAATTTGCAATTTCCATATTTTTTTTTTTTTTTATCTGGGTACATAGTGGTTTATCTGTATCCTTATCATGATACATTTTTAAATATCATTGCCTAACACTAATTAGGGATAAAACTAAGTCGATGAAAAACCACGACGGGCAGATAAAACAGGGAAAAAACGTAATACATTTGATTTGTTTTACGACCGTCGGACAACTTTCATATTATATTATGATGGACGCCGTATAATAATTGAAATATTTAAGCACCATCAGAAAGCTTGCTAACGCGTATGATAAGATAACTATTTACAGCGTTTGACGGTTTAAAAAAGTGCATTGCGATAAGAACGAGAACGAAACCAACAAGAACGTCGTATTCTACTGTGGCACTACAGCGTTTAGAGGTTATTATGTCGCGAACCCATACACGTGGAATTTGAATTTTTTTTTTTTTACTGGTTTTGAATGTGTATTCGTTACTACCCGAAATCCTCGTCAGAAAATAATAAGAAATTAATAATACTATCCCGACAGAGTTTTTTAAACGTACACTAACGGATACCTAATTAATTGTGTTTTAACAACGACAAACATTTATTATAAATCCGTCCAAAACTAATCAGGTGAATTTTTTTTTTTTCGTTTTACGGCCTCTACAGTGGTACTCCTCAGAGAGTTTTCAGGTGACGGTTGTTGCAAACAATGCTATAGATCCATAACAGGATAGGTTAGTAAAATCTTCAAAAAAAACGTTGTTATTCTTAGGAGGAAGTGATACCATTACTTACTGTCTCGGTCCAACTGACGGACAACATAGCAAAATTAAATAGAACTATCCGAATTTCCGAGTTTAGATTGAAATTAGATCTTCTTTTTCTCCTTCAACTTCATCCCAACTATCGGCAACCCTCGTTTTAAATTTCTACTTGGCCCGATCTCCCATCTCGCTTACACCAGCTGTCCGCACATCATTCTCAATCGCATCCAATCACTTCTTTTTCCTGACATGCACAAATCAGTATATTTTTTTTATATTGTTGACTATCAAACCACGCCTAAGTTTCCTCTTATGTACACATCCCTTATCTTATATCTTCTTTCGTTACTCCACCCATCCACTGAATCATTCTTATTTTTAATACACTAATTTTCTATTCTATTTTGCTATCTACCGTTGAACACTCCGAACCATACAATATAGTCAGTCTTACCACATTTGTATAGAACTTAACTTTAAGTCGCATTAGAATTCTTTTGTTACGTAATACATCTGACGTTTTTTTCCCTTTTATCCAACCATACTTAATTTTATGTTTGTTTATGTTTTCACCAAAGCGTTTGTACAAACGATTTTAGATACTCAAAACTTTTAACCTAGTCTATTATGTCATCTGCAGATGAAAAAAAGCCCATTTTTTCACAATATGAAATCCAATCGCTGCGAGTACTGGTTAACGTTTATCACCTCCGTTTCGCCGGACACCCACCGAATCTTTTAACCGGCATTATTTTTTTTAATTTGTCTCGCGCCCGTCACGCGTTTATCTATACATTTCACTAGGAGAAAAACTGATTTTAATCAGCAACCTAAAATAAATACCTAAGGTAAATGTCTTTCCGGTGATCGAATCGTACCCTCGAATCTCCTCAAATGACTGCACAGATCATATCGATTTTATTTATTTAGAACGCCAAACGAATTTTTATTGTGCAACTACATGCTAGAAAAAAAAAAAAAAACAAAAATATTAAAACACAATAATATAAACCGTATATAATGTGTTTCTCAAACTTATAGACGTTTTTCCTTCTTAACACAAACTAATTTTCGTACCACAAATCAAACCAAGTGAATATTTTTATGCTCGTCATTAAAATTATTTGTATGGATTTATCGTGAAAAACTGCATTTTTGCATGAGTTTCTCGATTTATAATTGCATGTGCGTGTCTACGAGTATATATAATCCCTGTCCACCAACAGTTACTGTGTAACATTTTTGACAGTAATTAAAATAAATATAACGTGTCCGTTTGTGTACTTTTCAAGAAGTGGTCGTCTATCTTACGAAAGATCGATTACACTAAATGGACGTGACACAAGTGATGCATCTGAATTTCGACCGTAAAATAGAAAAATACATCACGACGACAACCAATATTATGTCGTTATTTATTTATTGATATTTAATGACTATTAATGACTTCGAAAATTCGATACGTTCGCAATCCCATGACAGTTTACGATATTTTCCGTGGTTTCCCTGGATCAACTCGCAAATGTAGCCCTTTTCTCGTATGTTGGACAAAATACAATAATGAAAATGGAAAATTGTGTATTTTGTACTATTATTGAGATGAAGGAGGGAAAGGTTAGCGCCGTTAGGACACCGGCTTGTTGAAAACCCAAAGACGAAACTCGGGCCAAATATCACTTTTTTTGGCGCGATTCGGATTTCGAATCACGTCAATGGTATACTCGTAATTTAATTTTACATTATTACTATTAAGTTGACCATCTCCGGTTTCGTTACTAGGACCAGAACGTCCGGACCGCTTTATTAAACCGCATCGACCGTTGTTCCTGTAACTACCTCTATACCCTCGTCACCTCCTTATCTAACCACACGCACGACAACGACATAAACAAAATTTTAAATTTTAGAAAAATTGCCTCCAGTAACCAACGGTTTCGGCCGTGAAAATTGTGTTTTCAGAGTACCCGTCCATGGAAAGGATACCGCCACGTCTGGAACGTATGCGCAGCACCGAATACGACGATTACGAACTCAGCGATCACGACAGCATGGTGTACGTGCCGCCGGCCATTGGGTACCATCAGCCGAAACAACAGCAACTGCAACAGTACCATCTCAAACATCAGCTGCACCATCCCCCGCAACAACATCACCATCATCATCAACACCAGCTGCAACCGCTCCAACAGCTACACCAACATCCACAACAGCAGCAGCCGCTGCCGCCGCCACTGCATCATCATCATCATCATCACCATCGTCACCATCATCAGCATCCGCCGCCGCCGCTTCAGCCGCTGCAGCCGCTGCAGCCGCTGCAGCCGCTACAGCCGCAGCACGTACTGCACCATCAGCAGTCGCAGCACCACCAGCAGCCGCACTATCCGCAGCCGCCGCAGCAGCAGCAGCACCAACAACCGCCCATGCGACGGCAACACAGCGTGTCGTTCGAACGGAGTCTGCCGCAGCGCGGTCTGCCGCCGCCGATGCGGCCGAGTGGCTCTGGTGCGGGCAACGCGGCCGCCGCCGCCGAACCGCTAGACTGCTCGCACAACGTGCACCGTCAGCTGTCGTACGAGTCGGACATACTGACGCACAGCCCGCCGGAACACCCGTCCGAGCATCGCATGTCGTACATGTCGCCCAACCTCAGACCGTCGTCGTCGTCGTCGTCCACGTGGCGCGGCAATCCGAACACTTAGTACGAACAGACGGAATTTTAATAATATCACATTGAAATGATATAATATTATAACACGCTGTGATGATAACGATAATAATATTATTATTATTATTATTATTATTGCATGTGTTATAATATATTATATTAAAGGCGCGAAAACGGTGACGTGTATTCGGGGACGACGATTCAATTTGGAGATAATTCGTAACGATAATGTTATCGTCGTCGTCGTCGGCACCGCCATTTTCGCGCCTTAAAAATGTGATCGTTATTAATATTGCCGTGTAAACCGAACAATTGCCATGTTTCACCTGTTTAAAATAACTATAATAATTATAATATTACCTGTCTTCGTCGAATAAGTATACACTGTGCCCCTCTCCCCAAACCCCCGCCCCCGGTCCCCCCGCCCCATTCACCCTCCGACGTGTTTTTCCTCCGCGCTCGCGACGCCATAATCGATATTATTATTAGATAATAAATAAACCGATATAACTGCGACAATATTATTACTACAGCCATCCCGTAGGCGCTAGTCGCGATAAAAATCTGATATGTACTGATTAGGTAATAGTATGCGGTACCCGCATAGGTAATGAAAGAACGGATAGGGCATTGCAGCTGCGAGGCATTTTTTTTTTTAGTTTTTCGATCCAACATGATGGGGAACATGATAGGTCGTTTGTTTACACTGCTGTGTAAACCGCGTTTTACCGCCGGTTACCTGACACGCCCTAACCGCTATCTAGTTATCTGTGGGCTTAACGATTGTAGATAACATACTGGTTAGGTATACATGGCCGCAGCTACAACCCAGTTACACCTAAATAGCGGCCATCAGCTATTTTCGCCGTTTTTACCATTTTTGCGGGTCACTTACTCACTTCGTCCGTTCTTTGCGAACCGCAAACGTAGTCATACCCGTTCATTTGTTATCTATAGCATGTAAATATTCTTCGCAATAAAAAGCACGTCAAAAAAATAAAAAAAATTAAAAAAAAAAATAAATAAATAAATTATAATACATTTTCGTTTGAATAGCCTTCTGGATAATCGGACCGTGAAAATCGCGCTTATCGAATTATCGACAGGATGACTTTTCTGAAAAAAAAAAAAAAATATAAAAATAAATTTCAAAGGGACGCATCCCGCTTGGAACGAAAAATAAAAAAAAAAATTAAAAATCTCAACCCATTCGGACCAATATTGTTGACCCGTTTGGACCCGCGGTTTTTAACAACTTCGTATATTGTTCATTAAAATAACAATATACGAATCCGTTTGGGCAAACACAATTTGTTAATTAATACAATACGCTGTCCATTCGTGCCTATAGTACTACAAAAGACCGTGTCAAACAATACGAACAATTTTCATACCCGTGATGACGATTGCGTTATTTCGGGTATTTTATTTTTTTTTTTTTTTTTTTTTATTTTCAGTGTTATGTTTTTTTTTTAGACACGGTTCTTTATACCGAGCCAAACGGGTGACGCGGTATTATCCGTCAAAAAAAAAAAAAAATAAAATAAAATAGCTAGCGTAATACAATTTATTATTTTTATCGTAGCGTTTGATTCCCCTCTCGCCGTGTTTGTTGACGGTTTCCCATTGACGGTTTCTATCGTATATAATAATATTATTATTCGTTTCATCGCTCGTTTATTCCATGATTTTTTTAAATTTTTTTCCTATATTATGTTTCGCATTAATCCGCATAGTTATCTATGCCAATTTCATTTTTGTTTTTGTTTTTTTTAATTATTTTCTAGTATTTCCTGACGTATCTTTAAAAATACCCTTTGGGAGGATCGATTTGCAAATCACGACGGAATTTCTTATGTTTCGTAAATATGCGGTGTACAAAAATAAACAAAAACGATATTTGTGTATAAGAAAAAAACGCCAAAGGGCGGCGAAATCGTCCTCCTACACGTAGTATAAAGCATATATATTTTCGAGAAGTTTTCTTTTGACATTTTGATATTATATATTATTATTAAAAAAACGGGTGAAAAAAAAAAAAAAAAAACTCTCGAAAGGAAAACAATTTGGATTTTATCTCGGGACGTCGAGGACGCGTTCCAGACGGGGTAGAAAGGCTAGGATATCTGAAGATCGAACATATTTCTGAAAATAAAAATCAGACCATTCTCGGTCGCGTATGCGAATCGCACGCGCGGACTAACGTACTCGTATGCTGTACAGGCACTGCACGTCATTACGGCGGTCGGTCGGTCGGTCGATGGCGGTGGGAATCCCACTTCCCGCCGTCCCGGGTGTCGTTGAAATGAACCGAAAATAACTACGGTACGACGGGAAACGCCGGATCGATCGTATTCAAAGGGGGAAAAATTCCCGGGTTGTCTTTTCGAGCTTTTTTGGCGCGCGCACACAGCGCACAGCCCGCGCGGGCGGCGACGGCGTCGGATTGAAAAGTTTTTCGCCCCGCTCCCGTGCAGCCGACGCGTTTACTATCGTCATTATTCAGATGATAAATTTGCGCAGGATTTGTGCCCGTAAATTTCGCGTTTGTTTCTGTTTTATTATTATTATTATCATTATTTTTTTGTTTTTTTTTTTTTTTTTATGTTCCCGCCCCTGTTTCCGAAAGTTTTTGAATGTAATTATTTCCCGGGGTTCCGTACCGCTATAACATTATAAACCCGTGCGTCAGTAGCGAAAAACAAAACACAAAAGAAAAAAATCACGCTATTTTCCCCGCGCACGGTTTTCCTACGCGACTCCGCGACTATAGTAACAATAATTATTAGACATAGAAAAAAAAAATATATAACCATCCGGATTCCACGTCGTCGGGAAAACGTATTCCAGTCGAATGCCGGTTTCGCACACCCTATATCTACTACGGTGCGATCGTTATTGTGTTATACGGCTGTTGCAGTATCGATTTTTTTTTTTTAAATTTTTTATTTCTCAGATTACCATGCGTTATTGCCGGGCCCCCTCTATCGCAAAAGTTTCCGAACAGCCGGACGTCACCGATGCATAACACTGTATTACCGAGGGGCGATCCCGTATCATTTCGCTTTCTCTATCTCTATCTCTCTCTCTCTCTCTCTCTCTTTCTGTTTCTCGTTTAATTTCGTTTTTGAGCGTGATCGGTTCTTCTCGCCACCGTATAGTATTGTTTCGACCGTATTGAAAGCGGGTGCCCGATATACATATTATATAATACACCCGCTATATTATGGCAAACGTTATAATACTCGTCGAAGAAAAACATCGTTTTCTAACGGCCTTCTTTGTTATTAGACTATTACAATAACATAATAAGACGAATACAGACAAAAAAAAGAAATTACAATGATATTTTAAAAAGTTAAAAAAAAAAAATGGAAAAATAAAAAAAATATCTCCAAAAAAATTTAAATTCTTGAATAATCGTAATAATATATACCATTCTTGCTGTATCGTCCGCGTGTGTTTGTACACTTATTATCTAAAATACATATAACGTAGTTTTTTCTCTGTTTTTCTTTTTTTTTTTTTTCTAGCCGTACAATATGACAATTTCTATATTCAATTACTCCCTCCTCGGTAAAATACTCCGCTGTTTCAATTTAGTACAATATAATATTAAGACTCTGGGCGATAACATAAAAACGATTGAGAAATGATTTTGGGGAGTTTAATAATCGAATTATGATGGTCTAATTTCTGCTGCAGGGCCACTGCACACCGTCATCGTCGCCATCGCCGCCACTATAGAGATCAATGCCTTTTGAATGTGATTTCAGTAGATGTTATCATAATGAAACGGCCGGTCACATAAAATTATCAAAACACTTATCTTCGCACCACTTGTTCCTAATAGGTTTTCGATTATAATACACCGCTGTGTTAATCATCTGTCGCACTTAATGTTTATAAAATTGTCTTATTATATTTTTTCTCGTAACATAGGTATATACTTATATACATAATGCCATAGGATAATAATTTATTATACTGAAGTATAGGAAAACCGCATGCGAAAAAAATGAAATGATTACCTCCTAATGCCACTGTAGTTTAATCGATTTTAGTATATTTTAATATACATATTATATAATTAATAATTTATTATAGGTTTAGGTGAATTTTCGTTATTCGGTTTTAATTTTTAACGGTATTTTGAATTTTCCGAGTGGACATTATGTTTTATGTTGAGTAGGTATTTTTGGTATTCCATAGTCGTCGTTTTCCATCGCGTCTTATAGTGCGTGTCATAGCCGTCGCGTTGAGACTCAGGTACCTAAATAGTGATATTTTATTCTTGGTTTTTTATGATATATTTAGATAATTTATTGCAAATTTCGTTATCTAAAATTAAAATCTCTATTAGCTTTAAAACCGATGTTACTATTATAATATTACGTATATACTGTGTAACAGCTATATAGGCGTGTATACTTTTCGCATTTACACAATTATGCTTATTTTATTCGTTGTTATATTTTATTATCTTATTATCTATATTCTACATAGTTGAATAATTGACTTATCTATATTTCTCATCTATTAGGTGTTTGTTTTAAATAATTATTATTGAACAATTTTTACTTATTTGTATAGTTTCAACACTGGGACTAACCTAACCTACATAGCAAAAATGTTTTTTTCTTCTTTTTTTTTTTTTGTCGTTTTTGTCGAGTAACCAGAGTTGTAGCATGATGACAAATCCGCCGTCTAAACCGTATACACCTACTTTCGTCCGCTTGAATTTATAATTTATAATTTTAATACAATAGAATAATAGATATTTTATGTAACTTTCTCCTCCTCCCCTCAGTTTTTGTGTTTTCTTCTCTTAATAATCGCTAACCAAATATCAACTATAGGTATCTACGTTTTTATAAAAAAAACGGTCGTATTTAAAACAATTACACCAATAGTTACAGACAACATTACTTCATTTTTTATTATTTTTTTTTTTTTTTGTATAGGTACGACGGTTAATGATAAAAAATGATCGGTTTTCAACTGTTCGTCGTAAGACGTGAGGGACTCACTCTATACAATGTGACCTTTTTTTCGATTCTGTAAATTACATAATGTTTAACGAGGTCGGAAATACGTGTAACAAACTGAAAAAAAAGCCATCAAAAGCTACTCAGACATGTTTTCCTCTCAGATCGAAAATTACGGCTGGATGTTCACCATTCCTTCCCCACTACAAGTAATGTCGTACGGGAGTTATTGTTTGTCGGAAAACAATTTTGAAATCGTTGAAAAAAAGTCTTAATTCCTTTTTTTACACATCGTCGCCGGTCACGGTTTTTTATTCGTGTAATTTTCAGTGTAAACGCGTTTATATCGTTCAACTCTCTATCTCTCTCTCTCTATCTATCTTTTTCTATATTCATCTTTATTAAAATTAATTGATATATATATATTGCGATACTATGGTACCATGATAATTTGTATCGTACAGTGTGAGTCGTAGTTGAGGAGGAGGGGTTGATGGGCTATACACTTAACCCGATCTCCCCTATTTGAGTTTAGGATATATATATACATATATACATATAATACATATGTTTTTCTTTTATCGATTTACTTATAAACTTACAACAATAGTGTTTTAAAAAAAAACACACTTGAATATATTATATGCATGACTTATATATTATAGACGTAGCGGTGTACGTATAAATTAAAAATAATTATATTATATATTTAAACTACATAATTGAATGTCGATAAAACGTATAAAAAGGTCCTGCTCGTGGCTTTTCCAAATTGTTAACATTTACAATATTAACAAGTTTAAATGAATTCGTCACAAATAGTTTAATCAGTTTCTGTTGCCATTATATTGAGGAGTTTGCGCACGGCTGTTATTATTTTACAGGAAAATTCTCATACCTATCGTAGAATGTTTTGATTACGATGATTTATTTTTCTGATGGGAAAGGAAAAAAATCTTACATGACACGTTTGATTTGAATTTTAAATTCTGAGTCAAACGAGGAATGTATTTTCTTTACAATGGTGTTTATTTTTTAAGGTGATTTTATAACAATCTGGAAAAACGGGAAAATATTCGAAAAAAATGCTTTTGCTATTTTTAATTTTGTTTTTTTTTTGTTTGAATTCGGTTAATAATGTTTGTAAAGATTTGACGTTTAGACAGAACACATATATTTGCCTTTTATAGACGTGGTAAAATGATCAAAACATTGAACTATTTATAGATAATTTAATTTTGTGAGTTTATTACGTAATTTTTATTCAGTAGGTATTCTGCGAATAAAATTATTATAGGCACTGTGTATAATTATTTATGAAGATATTTTGGGTGTAGACCATATTTAGTAGATCACGTATTGTCCGTGAGCCAAAAATAACAAAAGTCCACGTGCAGACGCCTTTAAATATATCAATGGTTTTGCAGAACAATAAAATACGATTTTTGTTTACGGGATTTGGAAAATTTTGAAAATTGTATTAACTAATAAGTAAAATAAAAATTTTTCGAACATACCTAACGAACCCACTGGTACTCCGTCCAAAATTTAAAAATTAAAACAAATTCTTGTCGCAGCAGTTAACAATAATTATTATTATTATAGGTTAACTATGATAACATAATATCGCGTGTATCTCGACGTTTTCAGGTTGTCATGTGTGTGTGTGTTTGTGTATGTGTAATAAATCTCTTTTCTAATATACTATTCACGTAGTGTGAATTATGAATGAACTGTGTTATAACCTAGCCCACCTGCGTTTCCTTTGTATCGTGAGAATTTGCATCTTAAGTAAAACCAACAAACCTACGTGTAATAAAAACATCATCTGAATACAGTAATATATACAATATAATGTAAGAGAAAAACAATTTTAATGCCGCTATTACACTGGATCGACATTAGTCGATCGACACGTTGATTCGAAACCTGCTACCGAATTCCGTTCGACCAGCGTGCCAATTTTACTTGTCGATCGAACACAAATCGACCGATCGACCGAAAGTCGGTAAACATCAAAGGAAACTAAATCGACAATCGCACGGTGTGCGCTGGTGGCATAACGATTATTAATAAAATTATCGTAGCTTTTATGAAATGGCGATTGTATGTAATAGTAAATCGACAAATCGGCAACACGTTCGACACGGTATAATATTGTCGATCGACCGATGTGCCCGTCCAGTGTAATACCGGCCTTAAGACATTCAACTTTTCGGAGACTTTAGACATTCCACGAGGATAAAAATACATAATATGCGATTTTATTTTTAGAACATAAACTAAATAAATAGGTATGCCTATTTATGTATTTATTATTTTATTTATTTATTTACACATACATTTAACCGGGACAGGTATTGTAAAACACTTTATCATCCAATGCCATTATTCGTAAATTATTTATTTCTTAGTTCTTAAAATTATTACTATACCTATATACACACCGCTTAAATTATAACCTGTATAAAATTATTATAGTTTCACTGTCATTGTTATTATTATAACCTACCTACTATTGTTATTATTATATCTACTACAATTACTATTATTATTATCATTATCATTATTATTATTATTATTATTATTATTATTATTATTATTTTTATTATTATTATTATCATTATTGTTATTATTATTATTATCATTAATATTTTGTATACAAAATAATGTACCTAAATTATGTTACTTCCCCCCTTCCCCATCCCACACTAGTAAATACATTGTTTCAGTTTTTTATATGACCATCTACGGTTCTCCGCGCAATTCTAACTCCGGTGGCAGATCCAAGGAGGGGGCAACATTTATCAACCTCCCAAAACACGAAGCATAATACGTTTTTATAAAGTTTTCAAAAAATAATATAATTTTTTCTAATTGTGCTCTACTCCCTCCAAGAATTATGGTCTGGATCCGCCACTGCCTAACTTCATGTGCATAATACACACACATACTCACACACTCAGTGGCTCTGACACGATTGGTGGGTTTTTTAAAGATTTAACTCTCCTCTCCCCGAAAAACAAAAAAAGAAAATATAAATAATATTAAATGCTTTATCGAACAAGTAATTTTTGCATTATTCCACACATAAAATAATCCAGTGAGATTGCTTTTATTGGTACCTATATTATAATATACTTACTAGCAAGAAGGAGCTTTGCGGATTTCATATATTTTTTTTAAATATAAATGAAATAATGACGTGTATTACCGTAACGCTTGGTTTTTAATTACCCATAAAGTTATAAATTATATACCCCTCAACCCCCGAAAAATTCGAATCCACTCCACTGCGCACACAAATCACATCGTATATGATGTAAAGGAGCATACCCATAGAATACAATCATAACACGCAGCGCACGCGCTTGAATCTGCAAATGTAACATAATGTAATAACAATAATAAAAACACGTGAAAAACCAACCGCTATGAAACAAATGCGAAATATGTGGATGTGTGCGATATGCAGGGGCACAGATAAGGGAGGTGAACGGTTTATCACCCCGCTTCCCCCACATTTTGAAATAACTACAGGAAATGCATTTAAGTAAAAAATGGAAAATTACTTTCCCCTTTAGTAAAAGGATAATATAACTGTTTTTTATTGAGTTTTTCCTGTATTTACATGTATTGTTGCGTGTTATGTTTGCATTCCATGCGTGGATCCGCGACATTAGACGTAATATAAAATATCGAGTTGTTGTACTTACTATAATACCTACATATAATAATAGTAATATCGTACACGGACGCGCGTCAGCCCTCTCCTCCCCGTAACATCCCTGTAAACACTGTAACATATTATTAATAATAATATATACGTACACCTAAAATTTAAGTTTATTCTAAAAAATAATTATAATAACTGTTCGAATACTATTACTAAAATATTATATTATTCATATGATTTACACAATATTATAATATACGTAGATAAATTAATAAAAATTATCGTTGATTGAAATGATTTACGTAGTATTATTATTGTTTTTTTTGTTTTTTTTCTAAATAAAGAGCGAATATCCATTCCTTTTAATCATCCAGATCCAGTGGAGGCATTTAGAGAAGGGCATGATGATTTATATGCACCCACGAAGATCCTTCTGAAGGAGGAATAGGGGTCCACGCGAAATCTTGAAAAATTAATTTCGGCAAAATCCTGAATGGAAAAATATTGAAGCAACAAAACCTATTAGATCATTTTCTAAGGAGTTAAAATTAGGCAACTTATGTAACAGATACGTCCGAGTCATGTCAACGACGAAATATCCGAATTGGTTCTGAAACGTCTAAATTAGTTCCCGGGTTGTTACAAAAAGTATATCCAAATAATCGGTTCCCGTGTTTTTACGAAGGGTGTATTCGAATCGGTTACCAGATTATTTTAAAAGCAATTCGAGTCTTGCTTAACGTTGAACTGCACCGACTAGCATGAATATTTTTTTTCTAATTATACGTGAATCTTAAGCATCTATGCTTTCAAATCGGAATAAGCCAGAGCCGCAACGTTTGGATGTACTGGGGGTGCAAGGACCACTGTTAAGTCATAACGATGGGCCCAAAGCCGACCAATTTGGTCATAATTTTTTTTTTTTTATGTAAATTATTAGGTATATTTATAATCGAATACAATACAACGGATATCTCGTTCAGTGTCGAATTAAAAAGGGGCCCGAGGGACGCCTCCCTTTTCGTAGTTATATTATATTATATATGTAGTTTTAAAAATATGAGTTAATAATGAGTATAAATCTTCGTTCAAATTACGTTCAAACCAATTATCGTAAGATAATGTTGATACTTGATTGTGTGTAATCTCATCTATATTTATATATCTCTTGTATAATATTTAATTAGTAAAAAATTAAAAAAATCTAACCTAACCTAACCTAACCGTGGGTTTTGATTATGATAAATAATGTGTACAATAATATTCTACATTATAAAAATAAAACAATTTTAATAAAATATTTTTCAATTTTGTTATCGGACATGTTTGTTATGATACTAAACCATCTATTCTTTGTAAATCTGGTTGATTTTCTGGCTCGATTTTACAGTAGCAACATTTTAAACATATTTGCACAATTAAGCGGAACACTGATAAGATAGAGTTATTCAACCTTATCTTCTAAGACCGTGACCTAAAATATTCATTATCTCTTTCTAACAAGATCGTTCGATTTTATTTACTTTAGTCATATAGGCGGTGAACGTTTCAGTTATCTTATTTTGATATTAAATATTTCTTTAATTCTAAAAATATATTTTATTCTTGTTTCTAAAATAAATATGAATGTATTTCTAGTTTATAATACATTTTTATATATATATATATTATAATAATTAATAATATATTTTCATATTGTAGTAATATAACAATGTATAGTTTTCAAAATTGTAGGTGGCACACTGTAAAACATATGTCTTTGTGTTGGTTATACTGTTATCAATAGCTGGACGCCCGACTTAATGTTCGATGTAGCTATTTATAGTCGGGAGAACGAAAAGTAGCCGCTGATGCGTACGCTCCTCGTGGTGTATTTCTATCATGGTTTAGCAAAATTATGGAAACATAGCGTGCGTATTTTGAATTATTAAATGTAATAGCGAAGCTATCTGTTGTGCTGGTTGACCGCGCACCACCCAGATGTTGTATATTGATCGCACTTCACGTATCTCGGTTTGATTATTCCTGTTTATCGAAAAAAATCGTTACTATCGTATTCGCCAACGAGGCAACACCCACTTTTCGTTCTGCCGATGTTTTAAGAGTTAATTTCTTATATTCTAATCCATATTGTGCGTTTGTATTAGTTAACAATTGACAATCTAAATTTAAATAAAATGTTTAAACAAATTAACAAATAACAAATTTTTTTTACGTTCGTAAGAGTTATTCCAGATTTGTACGTTTCATGAGCCCACCCTGTACAATCCAATTTGTTATTTATAATAAATAACTTATTCAGCTAAAATATGGGTATGTTATTATATTATTATTAATTACAAAAATCGAAGATGGTAACAATTTTGGGGTATCTGTTAAAATAGATACTGTTGCTCACATACAACAGGTCGAACAATTGCTACCAATCATCTTGGACAAGTGTCACACTATTATGTAGTTCGTGGAAAACTAGTCAACGAGGTTTGTATTTATCTAAATATTTCAATAGCAGTAATAAAGGTTTAATAAATAGTAATTATTAATACCATGTGTATGTCATATACAAATGACTAGTACTTTTAACTATACAATTAATAATGTGAGTGATAAT